TTGCAGAAGGAGGGCAAGGAGAAGGGTGAGAAGGGTCAGATGTAAAACCTTTTCAAGAAAGGATGATTGGGGATAATTTTACGACTTGTATGGGTATATAAGCTATTGATGAAATGGTCGGAAGACCTTATGGAGTAAGCGAAGTTGTTTGTTGTATATATCACGTCAGATTCAAGCGTCTAATGGATGAAATGAGATAAACTGGAAGAGTTGAGCAAGAGCAGTACTAGCATGTTGAACGCTGCTACCGCACCATCATCATCATCATCGGCCCGAACGCTGTCTTCCCCAATTAACAACAATCTCATCAAAAGTTCACCACGCTAGCCTCCAATACCCCCTCATCTGCAATCAACCTCTTCAACACATCCTCTCCAACGGGCTTATCCACACCCAGAATCATCAGCGCTTCGTTACTCCCCTCTCCTTCACCATTTTGCTCATTCATTCTTTCCTCTACCTCCTCATCCAGCGGCGCGACATTCATAAACTTGATATTAACACCTGCTTTACCCAGAAGGTTGCCTACATATCCAATCTTACCTACCGAGTCGAAGTTTCGGCATATGAGTAGTGTTCCACGGGGTACGAATTCGCCTTTGAACTTGTCAAGGCGAGAGATGAAGGGTTTGTTTCCAGAGACGAATCCTTGGATGATCTGGTCATCATTGTCGGTCGTACCTTGTTGAAGACTGCGTGCAGCAGATGGAGAAACGTTCCTGGAGCGGGGTTGTTGACTGACAGAGCGAGACGCGCGGGCACGTAGGGTGATGAAGGAAGAGTAGGGCTTGTCTTCTACGTTTTCGCGCGAACGCTGTTCGTTGATGAGAATACCGCGTTCTTTGGCAAGTAGCTCGGCGTTGACAATGTTGATGTTCAGACCATCGCTTGAGGTAATGGGGGTAAGGAGGCCTTTTACTAAGGCGGCGAAGAGGGGCTTTGTTGTGTTGATTGTGGCAAGCTTGCCTTCATAGATGAGGTCAAATGTTGTGCGGAAGGAACCTGTCTTTGCTGAAGAATAGTGCTGGGTATAGAGGCTACCCATCTTTTCGACTAGGCTAATGAAAGGTTGAAGGGTTCGGTATTCGTCTGGTAGAACGATTGGCGCGTTGACAGCTGAGCGAGGTAGCTCACCGCTGAGGATGGAGACGACTTGCTCACAGACATCGATCGAGACGTTTTCTTGAGCTTCTTTGGTGGATGCACCAAGATGCGGTGTTGCTACCACCTTTGGATGGGCAATCAAACGTGTAGCTGACGAACTTTGCTCTGGTGGTTCCGAGGTGAACACGTCAATCCCTCTGAACGTAGGTGTACGAAGTCAGTGTATGTATTGCATGAAGTTTGTACAGAGACACTTACGCTCCGGCGATGACGCCAGCGTCCAAAGCTTCGACCAAGGCATCTTCGTCGATCATACCACCTCGCGCTACGTTGAGAATTCTGGCAGTTGGCTTCATCGTCTCTAGTTCTGCTTTACTGATCATGCCTTTGGTTGACGCAATCAGAGGAGTGTGGAGTGTCAGAAAGTCAGCTTCTTTCAAAATCTCAGCGAGACTTGGACGGAGTGTGACCGAGGCTGCTGCTGCTAGGTTTGGGTTTGCATAAGGATCGTACGCAATGAGACGCATGCCTAGGCCATTCGCGATGCGAGCGACCGTGAGTCCAACTGGAAACACATTAGTCAGACGCTCACGAAGTAACGAATTGAACTGACCTTTTCCCAGACCAACGATAGCGAGAGTCTTTCCTTTTGCCTCTACACCAACTAGTCGGCTTCTTTCCCACTTCCCAGCCTTAATACTTTGTGAAGCATCTCCAACGTTGCGAGCTACCGCCATCAACACTGTATCACGTTAGCTGATATAATATTGGCGTGGCTTGGACTACCCACGCGCGATAGTGTGTTCCGCCGCGGCATTGATGTTTCCAGAAGGTGAGTTCACTACAATGATACCGTGTGAAGTGGCGCTTTGGACATCGACATTGTCGACGCCCACACCGGCACGTGCGACAACTTTCATCTTCTTCGCAGCTTCTAGAAGCTCTGCTGTTACTTTCGTCTCGGAACGCACGATGAGAGCGTCATATTCGCCGATGATCTTTTTGAGCTCTTCTGGGGTCAGTCCCTTCTTCTCATCCACGTCAAATTGGTCTTTCAACAATGCTAAGCCATCTGGCGACACTTTCTCGGGTATCAAGATCTTTCGCTTCGTTGTATGCATGAGGATAGCCATGTTGAAGGGCGGCTGCGCTTGTTCTCAAAAACTAGCTAGAATGGAGTGATGAGGCTCACAAAAGGTCTTAGTGAATGCAAGTGATAGTATTCGATTGCTGTAGTTTCAATGTAATACTGCAAGGCAATGCTCTATACTTCTATGAGAAGATAGTATGAGACACAAATGCCAGATCCCACAGGAGGAATACACTCCGTTTTGTACATCGAAGAGGACACTTGCGCCGCTATCGGTCTTCTGCAGTAGCTTGCGTCAGATAATCTCTTTGTGGTAGCCTTACCTGTTGGCTGTATTTACCCCGCACTCCTTTACCCCACGGGGTGAACGCCGCTGCTGCAGGGTCAATCTCGGGAACTTTTGGCTGAAGCCTTTGGAAGCTTGAAATCGGCGATGAAATTGAGCTGGAGAAAGGTAAAAGATCGAAAAGATGGTCATGTAACTCGGTATGTATTGTGTTATCCAGTTGTGGTTGGAGCACTGCAAACATTCGCGTCCGTCATCGTACCACGCTGTGCGTAAGTCGCGCAGCGTGGGTAGCTACGTATGATGTGATCTGCAACGATTGGAGGCTGAATTACTGCTGAGTGGGATATGCACATCACGCGGGTAGTCGGCGCCGCGCATTTACCAATTACTACGTGTCTTGAGCTTCTCGTTCTGCACCACCTCGATCCAGTAGTTATCGGGATCTACATACGTTGTCAGTTGCCATTTTGTACGAGTAGATAACAACTTACCTAAAACGAACGCAATGTTCTTCATGCGACCATCAGTGAGCCTCTTCTTCCAGTTGACCTTCTTCTCTTCGAAACGAGCACAGGCGGCGTCCAGGTCATCGACAGCAATGCAGATGTGACCGAATCCTTGTGGCTCATCGTTACCGTTGTGGTACTTGAATTCGGCATCCTTCTCAGTGCCATAGTTCCATGTAAGTTCGAGTAAGCCTTCACTGTCCGACACAGGGTTGACGCCATTCGCGGTCGTCTCTGGCGCATCGGCACCGTATCCCAAGAAGTATAGATTGAAGCCAGCATTTGGGCTCTCTGAAGTGCGCTTGAGCTTCATTCCCATGACGTCTCGATAGAAGCTGAGCGACGCATCCTTGTCCTTGACACGGATCATTGTGTGGTTCTATGATTGTCAGCATAACACAATATAACCACTGGGGCAAGACCCACCATGCGGTATGAGCCAGTATCCGTATCCTTGACGTTCTCCGTCTCCTCCAATGGCTTCTGGCCAATCACCTCAACCCAGTAGCCATCAGGGTCGAGCACGAACGCAATGTGGCGCATGCGACCGTCTGTGAGCTTCTTCTGAAACTTGTATCCGGCATCTTCTAGCCTCTGGCACGCTGCCTGTAGGTTGTCCACCGAGATGCAGAGGTGGCCGAAGCCCTTGTGAGGTTCCGTGTTGCCATTGCTGATCTTGTAGTTTGGGTCGTCTTCGGTGCCGTAGTTGTGGGTCAACTCCACGATACCCTCGCGATCGGTCCAGTGGTTGCCGTGGGAGACGGCCTTAGGGCTGTCGTATGCGAGGAAGTAAAGGTCGAACTTGGCGTCAGGGTTCTTGATCTGGTTGATCTGCTTCATGCCCAAAAACTCATAGAACTGTACTGATCGCTTGGGATCCTTGATCCGGATCCTGGAAATCATGAGTTGCTAGCCAATAACATAGGGAAGGTGCAGGCAATGCCATGCGGGTACTCACATGGAGTGGTTAAGCTTGTACTTGGACGGATCGGTCGCCATGGTTGCTAGTGTTCGAATGAGGAAACTAGGTGTGTTGTTTGACTTGAGTGGTCGAAATACAGATGATACAGCTACTCGTGAGGTTCTTATTATTGCTGAGCGTTGAAATAGCATCAGTCGGGCGTTTGTTCTAGTAATCACAGCGCAACTGAGGGGAAAGAGTTTCTGAAGACCAATGACGTCTGCGATCCAATGAGGAGCTGCCAGTTGCCCCTCGTCCGGCATTTACTCGGACATTGGCCCGGTGGGGAATATGATCGCATCTCGCGTGGTCATGAACGACAGTTCACCTTTCAGATGTGATTCAACCTTCGTCGCGCATCCTCTTCAGGTCAGCGGAATGGTTAGGCGTGTGTTAGGTACCAAGGGTTTCGCTATTTTCTAGTTTACACCTTCTTCCAAAATTAGCGCTCTGGACATTTTTGCTATGGCTCTTAGCAAGATGCTTGTGGAAACTGAACTGTACATATTCCCACAGTCGATTTCCAGTATTAGGCACAACTTAAAAGATACAAGCTTTTTAGCGCAAGATTATCAATATCCCCATGTCGCGTGAAATCCATGGCTGGGCGCGAGAGCACGTGCGACGGAAAACAAGGCTCCGGCTTCTGCCCAGGTGGTCATAGCTCTCCCTCTTCATGAACTTCGTCGTTGAACGTCATGCTGAGGAGACTGACACGCGCAACTTCTCTCCTGTGACGTTATTAGTCTTTCCTCGTGCCCTGACGCGTTCCTTACCGTTGCGACGCGTCCCCCTACCTTGGATCCGCCTTTAGTCCCTAGGAAGGCGCAGATCGGTGACCTAGCAGCAGCACGACAGCACGAAAGTAGTTGCGCCAACCATACCCCAGGTACGTGGGCACTCTTCCACCACACCACCATCCATCCATATCGCTCCCAACTGCCGTCCCGCGTTAAACTCGTGTATTGTTACGTATCACGCAAGGACTTGCACACACACATTCCATTTTGCTTTCCTCGCTTTGAACACCCGCTATTATCTTTCCTAATCATGTCGTCAGTACATCTTCCGATGATCAACATCGCTAAAGTGAGCGACTGGCTCACTAACAACACAAACAAATATGTTTGGCCCCAGCTATTGTAAGTCACATGTACCATGTAGTGTTACCCTACTGACATCAATAGCTTGATGTCCCCAAATGGCACACTATTAGCGTACTCGAAGCCAGTGCAGACTAAGGAGCTGCGCGACCAGGCTGCGCTCATATCTATGACCTGGAAAGACCACTGTCAAGGGCGTCAGAAGCCTTCAGTCCGCAACGGAACTACTCAGGATCATTCGCTGAAACCTGCACTGAAGACACTCACTATCGAGACCCCAGACTGCAACATTATAGTACGCCTACTGCAACCAGAACTATTGCTCGTCCTTATCGGCCGGATCGCTCCGAGCAGGAAGCAAGCCTTCAAGATTTCGGCTGAAGGTCAAGGAGACCCACGATACCCAGAGTCTGACGTTCCTAACTCACGTCCTGGCTCAAGTTCTCAGCTACTGCCTGGTGATGCTGCTACTGGTAATTTTGGTGCTGAAGACCGTTTGACGGCTAAAAACAAGGCGCCTTCTCTGCTTAGCAACATGAGTCAACGCGATAAAGACATCAGGGGTGGTGCACTCCATGTTCAGCGTAAACAACTGGACGCCCTAGCCGAATACGCCTTGAAGGATTTCGCAGCCACCGGGTTTGTGATGCCTGCGGACGCAGACCTACAGTAGGACGAGGATCTAATGTTAGCCGTACGTGCGTTGTAGTTTCAAAGTACTTCGCAAAGACGTCGGCTGACTGTTGCAGATCCGGGCGTCGACTTCTCAGACAATGCTACCAGAACTTCTACGGAAGTACGCCAGGTGTTCTTCAATGTTGGCAATGGTGATTCGACTCTGCTCGCTGGGACCCTTGCGCCGTTACACGAAGACAATGGAGAGCCCGAGCAGCCCAGAATCGCCGCTCCAGCTGGTCCAAGGAATATGAATGACGGCTCACACGATGCTGACTACAAAGATTCTGCGCGCAATGAGGTCGATCCGGGGTCGAATATAGCTTCATACGACGCCCAAATCTCGAGTAATTACCAGGAGAGTCAGCCACTGCCGCAAGTTAGCCCAACACGCTCACAAATCCCGACACCCACTGTACAGAGGGGGTCAATTCGTGTTCGATGTTGTCTTAAACCGCAACCAGCCCCATTCACTGTGAAGAAGCTGGCTTTCGGACAGTTCCGACCGCAAGATCCGCGTAGGGCAGAGCTGGATCATATATGGCGAATTACCATTGATGTAGAGAGAAGGCAATGGCAGATGCGGCATGGATAAAGCGCTTTCCAAAGCTAAACTTGAGAAGTGGAGAGCCAGTGGAACCATAGGAAAGTATGGCACTATATTAGACTTGGTATGCATGTTTGATAGAATGCGATACATCGCCATGCAACTGCTTGGCTTTGGATTCCACTTATGACAATTCTGATGCAAGCTTTCACATCGGTGAGTTGTAATCACCCGTAGCAATACTTGTGCTGTCCTCAGATGCCTGTGATGAACGCAGTCAGAATCACCAATCACAGTGGGAGGAACTGAATCTAACTTGGACGAACAGTGTGGCCCGTCTATTGACAAACTATATATCACGCTACCCCTACACACTCGCGCCAAGCGGTGCTTTTCCATGGAGCTTGAAGTACCCAGGTTGCAAGTTCTGAAAAACTTGTGTCGGGTCATACTTGTTCGATATAGCTTGCAACCTTGCCATGTTCTCTGCACAGTACCCAGCTACGACAGGCTGATAACCGCTGCTGTATGGCATATAGTAGTAATCGTTATCGACTCCAAGCTCCTTAGCCATAGTTTTGGACACTTGGATATAGTCCTCAGCAGCCTTCATCATCATCGTTGTGTCGTCGCTAGTCCCGTTCCAAGCCATGTACACCAAGACGTGGAAGAACGGCCCGTCTTCAGGGTAAAGGCCAAGGGCATTGCCGCCGTTCTTCTGCATGGCTTCTAGCGCAGGCTTGGAGAACGCCTGGAAAGCAATGTTGACGGAGACGGCGGGGAGAGCAGGTGCAATCTCGAAGAAGTAATCGGTCATCTTTTGGATGAGCTCGGCGCTCATCTTGAATGATGCAGACCACATGGAAGTGCGAAACCCAGATGACATATCATTACTTCGGTGAGGCGTCAGATCCTCGAGCGTACTATTGCCGGTGTTATCTTGCATGAATGGAATGCTGAGGTACTCTTTCGCGATTTCGGGAGGGTTTGCGAGATCGACTGGAACGAAGTATTCCAGTTCGGTGAAAGCGAGCTGATAGGTGTCGTACGTCGTGAAAGAAACGACGTGTGCAAGCTTTGTATCTTTCTCAGCATTGTAGATGGCGTTCTCGAAAGCGGTGATCAATGCTGGTGTGGCACTTGTGTCATGAATGCGCATGCCGCCCCACGGGAGGCTGTACAACGGTTTCATAGTTGAACGTCGTGACGATACCGAAGTTGTTGCCGCCACCACGCAGGGCCCAGAACAGATCCGGGAAAACTTTCGGGGATGCGTTGACGATAACTCCAGACGCAGTGACGACTTCATAAGAAGCGACATTATCGCAAGCAAGACCGTATTCATTCGTGAGGTCGCTGATGCCTCCACCAAGGGTAAGACCGCCAACGCCAACATGTGCTGCCTACGTTATGTCAGCGCATGTCCAGAAGTACACTTCGCTGATCGAGCGAGCTGAACATACTCGGCCGCCAACAACAGTCAAGTTGTATGGAGTGAGATAGTGGTAAACATCTATCCATCGATTGCCCGGACCGATAGCAACAGTCTTCTTGTCGGCAGAAAGTCCGCGTGTAGTGAAGTCTTTCAAGTCAACTGTAATGCCCCTTGTATACTGGAAGCACCTGGGAAAGCTGCATGTCCGCCACTCTTGACAGCAAACGGACACTGGGTAAGGCGAGATATCAATACTAGTGTTGACATTCCAAGGGCTGCCTTAGGAGTGAAAGTGCAGTACGGTTCAACGGCTAGTTGTTGATTTGACCAATACTCTGCATTCTGACCACTGGCAACCTTCGTCTTACCGAAGACGAGCCCGAGCGAGTTACACTATGCAGAAAATTAGCACGTGTTGAAAGGAGGCACAGCATCCATACTTACTGCGATAGAGCAGCCGCTTGAGGACGATCGGACGACCAAGTTTGCCAATTCAGGAATTGCGGACACGTTGACACCGTTGCCAATGAGTGCATCGGTTACATTGAAGTCTGGTGCTTCGAACGTATCTTGGGCTGACACCCCTACACTCACAGTCAGAATGCCAGATATTATCGTCCCAAAGACTCTCATAGCAGTAAGAATGTGTAGACTTCGATATCAGGTGGCCAGCGAGGCTGACCAGCCTTTTAAAACGAATATACGCTGCCGACCCGGCATTAACATGCGGTGCGGAACATCTAGATTTTATATGGATCTTTATAGTATCACCTCCCCGGTTTTGGAAGATTACTAACAATGGGCCATGGTCACATCTTACAAGAATCCGTCAGGCAAATCATCGTGATCTAAGGAGTGTCGAATGAGCTTTTACTAGGTAATGGTGCCATTGCAGTGAGAAAGTTTTTGACAAAAACACAGAGATAGAACGGAACAATCGCACCGATATGCATGAGCTTCGTGGGATGAGCAAAGAGGATGCGGCAGGTGGGAAGACTCCGGGGCGCTGGTTGACGACCACGCCGCAATGCCAAGATGACGCGGACGCGGGCGAACCGTATCGGGACTGCGCTAAAGCCAGCCTACATAGCGCTTTGCCTTATCGATATTGGACCTGGCTTCTCAAAGCATGCGTCTGCACCCCGCGGTTCTCAAAACCTCAATGTATTATTTTTTTCAAAGCAAGAACCTTGCATGATCCTATTCATGCTACTAGAAGACTGGATACCAAAGGACGACGCCATCATAACCTCTCGCTGAAAGGTTTTTCTGCATGCGTGACAGACCCTTCCGCATCTTATCTAGGTAAGACAATGACATAGGGACCATGGTGCACACTCTATAGGTGTCCGATAACAGCGGCTATCCGCAAACGTCTTATTCGAAGTTCCAAAAGTGGGCGCTTTAGAAGGTCAAACTCGACCAGGGGCAGAGAATTACTCATTTGGCCCCCATCACGCGCCGGGATATATAGGTAATTCACGATCATATTGTGTATGTTTCGGCATGTAGACGGCTACGCCGACGTCACATACCTTCGCTGTCGTCTATTTCACACCGAAACTATGCCTCATGAAGTCGCCAAGAGCAAGAGCGGAGCCTCAAGCGGAGAACCAGGCAAGACCTAGGTTTATCCACCAATCGACCTTGGCCTTCACATCGTGCAACAAAACTACCTACATCAGCGCATCAACTCCTACGAAGATATATTCGCTTTCCCAAGGTTCAAACCACCTACCTAGAAATCTTCTGGAGGTTACACGCATCAACATGTCCGCCAATGCGCTCATCGACTCGCTGAAGAGCGCCAAGCTCCTCCCTTCCGCTATTATTCCAGAGTCCTTCACCCCCGCTCTGGACCTCAGCGTCAAGTTCTCCTCCGGACTGGCTCCTGAACATGGAAGCCTCGCCCGCGTGAGCCAGGTCAAGGAGCAACCTATTATCTCCCTCTCTTCGCCGCCAACATCTTCCGCCGCGACCTACACATTCATGATGATCGACCCAGATGCGCCGACCCCAGATGACCCGAAGTTTGGTTACTGGCGCCACTGGGTCGTCGCCGCTATCCCTTCTCCATCAGCGACAACGTCTCCAGACGACATCACCACGAGAGGAAAGACGCTGACGCAATACTTGGCACCCGGCCCGAAGGACGAGAGCGGACCGCATCGATACCTGTTCCTCCTCTTTGAAGAGAGCGCGGGCGAGAGCTTGGAGAAGGCAGATGTTGGAGGAGAGGAATTTGTAGAGAGGAGAAGCTTCAGAGCAGAGGAGTTGGCGGCGAAGAAGGGGTTGAAGTTGGTTGGAGTGCAGTGGATGAGAGGAGTGGGTGATGGGTGGAAGGGAGAGAAAGACGAACTATAGGAATTCTGACTATTCAACTAGGAAATATTCTCTTTCGATAGATATCCCACATACAACTCTATTTTTGCATGTCCTTATCAGCGAAACTTGCAGTGGTAACTTCACTTGCTTCATGGGAGTATCAAACCTGAATCAAGACGATCTTTGGATGCACGCACATCTTCATAACCCTGACAAAGGCCGACTACGGAATGGGCGAGCTACCGGGAATGGCACACCTCACCACTCTTTGGAGTTCGATCTGGAAACGCGTCGTAGGGGCAAGGCTGTTAACCGAAATAATGTCAATCCAAGCGTGCCGGGACGCACGGTGTAACGGGACGGTTTTCGTTCCGGAGCCTCGCCGTCTCTCATCTGCATCATTGTCGACCTGTAGTCAGCGTGTTAACCTTCTAGAGCTGTTTCTCTTCGAGGGCATTAACCTCCGGCACGAGTTTTCGCGATGTTGCCCTTGCTGTCAATTGTTTTGTTGACGTCGTTAGTCTACCTTCCGTTGATACCCCCCTGTTTGCTCGCGATGAAGAAGGTCTCTGCAAAGATCGGAGGGTCTATTAGGAAGCAGAGATGAAAAAGAATCCATGCTGTACATTTAAAAGGATTTTCAGCCAAGCGAATATACAGTCCGGCAGTTTCGCCGATGGAAAACAAAGATCGTCAAAAGCATTCCAGCGCGCCGGTACTCTCTAGCGTATCTTGGCATGCAGGCAGCTTGCAGTAGCGTGCTCAGATATCTGTGTACCGTGTCGTAATGAATTCGACGCTATGCCTGCAGCGGGTGGACTGCTAAGAATAACTGTGGCGTGTACCGGCTGTCAAGCGTCTGCCCTCGTGCACCCGCTGTGCGCCTAGACACTTTTCTTCTTCTCGCTAATCATGATGCAGGCAGCTCAGCGCTCTGCCCCTGTGCGTATAGCGCCAACAGGTCCACCTATTATCTTAGGGATGCCGCTCTCAACGCTGCGCGATAGCCTTGCAGCTAACATGTTGCGCGCACGTTCAGCCACGCCTTCCCCGCCTTCAGCCTGATGCGACGCCGTCACCACGCCAAGAATGCAACAACAAGCGTTACCTCTAGGTTCAACACTATTGCAGCTTGCAGTCTGCTATATGCCTGTCTACTTTAGTACTGTACTAGCTCTCTATCCTCTATTCTGTGAGCTGACCAGGAGAAGGAGCATGAAAGTTCGTTGCTGCGCTCCCATCAGGCTGCCGCATTGAGCCTTGTTTCGTTTCCACCGCGCGCCCACCACACACCCGCACGAGTCGATGCGTCTCCTGAGGTACGAGGACGATGGCCGCCTCACGATCACCAGCTTCGACGATGGCGCGATACCCCCTTATGCGATACTTTCACACACCTGGGGGGCAGATGCGGAGGAGGTGACCTTTGCAGACCTTGCAAGAGGCGGCGGCAAGCACAAGCCCGGGTACAAGAAGATTCGCTTGTGTGGAAAGCAAGCACAGCGAGATAGACTGCAGTACTTCTAGGTTGACACATGCTGCATCGACAAGTCTGACAAGGCTGAGCTATCTTTGGCTATTCGGTCCATGTTCCGCTGGTACCAAAACGCGACGAAGTGCTACGTATACCTATCAGACTTATCGACAAAGAACAAGGAAGCTGGTGATTTGTCTACCGAGTTTACTTGGGAGCCAGCCTTCAGGTCCAGTCGATGGTTCACGCGTGGCTAGACGCTCCAAGAGCTTCTTGCGCCAAGTGTTGTCGAGTTCTTCTCTCAAGAATGGGAGAGGCTTGGTGACAAGATATCGTTAAATTCATTGATCAACAAAACTACTGGCATTCCACACCAAGTACTTGAAGAAGGCACCTTTTCCCAGTTCGATGTCAACGAGCGCTTACGCTAGAAAGGTGACAGGAAGACTAAGCTAAGAGAGGATATAGCATACTCAATGTCAGGCATATGTGATGCGGACATCGCGCCTGTGTATAGTGAAGGCGAAGAGGAAGCGTTCAGACGACTTCACGATGAGATTCGGAAGCTGAAAGACTGCCTCCGTGATCTACGTTCCAGTGATCCTCGTGACGATAAGAAGCGCATCGAGGACACAAAAGGTGGACTGCTAGCAGACTCGTACCGCTGGGTTCTAGACAATCCTGCTTTCCAACAATGGCAACAGGACCCGCACAGCCGGCTGCTATGGGTAAAAGGCGATCCCGGTAAAGGCAAGACGATGCTGCTCTGTGGCATCATCAACGAGCTGCAGAGTTCGATGCCGCAAAGTGCCCTACTGTCGTACTTCTTCTGTCAAGCGACTGACGCGCGCATCAACAGTGCCACGGCCGTGCTACGAGGGCTGTTGCACATGCTTGTGACTCAGCAACCGTCGCTTGCGTCGCACGTCCGCAAGAAGCACGACCACGCCGGCAAAGCCTTGTTCGAAGATGCGAATGCCTGGGTCGTCTTAGCAGAGATCTTCGAGGCCGTGCTCCAAGATCCAAGCCTAAGGATGACATACCTAGTCGTCGACGCGCTAGATGAATGCGTCACCGATCTGCCAAAGCTGCTAGAGTTTGTTGCCAAGCAGTCGTCTGCATCTTCTCGCGTCAAGTGGATCGTCTCTAGTCGCAACTGGCCAGACATCGAAGCACAGCTAGAGCGGGCAGGACACAAAGTAAAGCTGAGCCTTGAGCTGAATGCGCAGTCAATTGCGGCTGCCGTTGACGTCTTTATACAGCGAAAGGTAGATCAGCTAGCGCAGGAAAAGCGATACAAGATAGAGGTTCGACATGCCGTACTTCAGCACTTGAAGTCAAACGCCAGCGATACCTTCCTCTGGGTAGCGTTGGTGTGTCAGGACCTTAAAACGACGCCAAAGTGGAACGTGCTAAAAAAGCTAGCCCAATTCCCGCCTGGGCTAGATGCCTTGTACAAGCGGATGATGGACCAGATAAGCGAGTCTGACAGCGCCGAGATCTGCCTGCAGGTACTAGCTTCGACTGCGATCCTGTATCGGCCTGTTGCGGTCCCTGAACTGGTTGCGCTCGTGGAGCAGCTTGAGGACTTGGACGACCTGGAGTCGGTGCGGGAGATTATCGGCTTCTGTAGGTCGTTTCTCACCCTGCGAGAAGATACAGTCTACTTTGTGCATCAGTCCGCAAAAGACTTTCTCTTTGCAAAGGCTTATAGCGAAGCCTTTCCCGCTGGAAGCGAAGCCGTTCATCGGACGATCTTCTTAAGGTCGCTAGCGATTCTATCTAGGACGTTGCATAGGGACATGTACAGCTTGGAAGCACCGGGATATCCTATCGAGAACGTCAAACTACCCGAGGCAGACCCGTTAGCAGTGTCACGCTATCCGTGCATCTACTGGATCGACCATCTGTGCGACTTAGAGCCTAAGTCTTTAGCGAGCAGTGTCGGTAGCCTGCAAGCCGCAGATGTTGTCGATAAGTTTCTAAGGAAGAAGTATCTATACTGGCTAGAGGGGCTTAGTCTGTGTAAGCGCGTAGGGAAAGGCATTGTCTCGATAGAAAAACTGCAGTTGCTAGTGCAGGTGTGTCGCAAGAGATCTACATGCCTTTGGTTCGACCTTGATGCTAACACTAGCAGGAGATGTGTGATCAAGACAGGCTTACTCAGCTTGTTCAAGACGCACGGCGATTCATTATGTACCACAAAGGGGCAATTAAAGGTTACCCTCTTCAGACCTATGCATCCGCGTTGCTGTTCAGCCCGACAGGTAGTCTCGTCAGACAGCTGTTCAAGCACGAAGAGCCAGAAGCAATCAGCATTAGGCCAACTTTAAGCGAGAAGTGGAGCGCGTGTCTACAGACGCTCGAGGGCCATAGCGATGATGTCAACTCCGTGGCCTTCTCGCACGACTCGACGCGGCTGGCCTCGGCGTCCTACGACAACACCGTCAAGATATGGGATGCGAGCACCGGCGCGTGTCTGCACACGCTCGAGGGCCATAGCAGTTCTGTCAGGTCGGTGGCCTTCTCGCACGACTCGACGCGGCTGGCCTCGGCGTCCAGTGACAGGACCGTCAAGATGTGGGATGCGAGCACTGGCGCGTGTCTGCACACGCTCGAGGGCCATAGCAGTTCTGTCAACTCCGTGGCCTTCTCGCACGACTCGACGCGGCTGGCCTCGGCGTCCTGGGACAGGACCGTCAAGATATGGGATGCGAGCACCGGCGCGTGTCTGCACACGCTCGAGGGCCATAGCGATGATGTCAGCTCCGTGGTCTTCTCGCACGACTCGACGCGGCTGGCCTCGGCGTCCGGTGACAGGACCGTCAAGATATGGGATGCGAGCACCGGCGCGTGTCTGCACACGCTCGAGGGCCATAGCGATGATGTCAACTCCGTGGCCTTCTCGCACGACTCGACGCGGCTGGCCTCGGCGTCCTACGACAGGACCGTCAAGATATGGGATGCGAGCACCGGCGCGTGTCTGCACACGCTCGACGTCGGCAAAGTTCTCTTCCATTTATCGTTCGATCGCAACAGTTCTCGCCTCCTTACTGAAATTGGGTCTATCGATACTCAGAGCTTAGAGACATCTAGCATAACAGATCTCAAAGAACCTGCGCGTCCCTTGCACGTAGGCACTGGCTTTAGCTCAGACCTTATATGGATCCAGCATGCTGGCAACAACATGCTATGGGTACCGTCAGAGTATCGACCATCGCACTCGTCTGTGAGTGGGACTATGGTTGGCGTAGGTGTTGGGTCTGGAAGAGTATGGATTTGTAGTATAGACCTTTAGGTCAGTTGTAAACGTTTCTCGCATAAATGCAAAGACGTAGTCTTCTCTCCTTTATCTCTTTCTTTCTAATTGTAACGGGCTGAACGCCCTTTAGAAAGCTCCTCGATGGAATCTCGGTCTACTCGCAAAATCCGGGTGCTACCTCGAGCACCCGGATTCTCTGCGCATCGTCCGAACGTCGCTCAGACGATGGCCGCAGGACCCAGAAGCTGCCTCGTGCACCTAGACCATACCGGCCCGATTGTTACTCAGGCAACTAGCTTGTATATAGATAACCACGTAGCTAGGAGCTTAGCTCCCTATCGAATACAACCTCTTGTATACCTCGCGATTGCTCTACGGAGCGCAGCCCCTTACACTAATCCTCTCTATAACAGAGAGGGACAGGGATGCACATGAATAAATAGTCTTTGTATTAGCGTTGAGAAGCTTCTAGAGCTGCTACAGAGGGTAGCCTGTTAGTATGACTATAACTTAGATAGATAACAGGGCCTTATAGTAGAGCATGTTGACTTGCACGCTTCTAGAAGCTGCTAGCACGCGCTACAGCTATTTCTGGCAGCGAAGTGCTATAGGTATAGCGCCGAATTTGTTACGATAGCATACGGCGATATCTGAGCACGCTACTAGACGCTACTGCAAACTAAGTGCCGCTAACAGCGCACGTCCTAAGGGTCGCGTTTTGACAATCCTGCCGTCTGCGCGGAGAAACTGCTAGGATGTATCCTTTTTACCCTAAATCGACCTTTTGAGGCTGCGGTCTTAATCTTTGCTATCTCAGCTTCTTTGCTGGCCTACTGAGCTCTCTACAGAGTTGTACTATCTTGAATAAACAGGGGGGTAGTAGCGGAGAGTTAGGGACAGCATTAACAGAACGAGAGACAGCACAGTTCGCCACCCGCTTTTCGGCGTCGGAGACTAATGTAATAGGAGAATAAGAGCTGCAGAATAGATGCGCATGACGCTTGTTTACATACAAGTGCGCTGCGAGCAACCCGAAGGCCCGGAAGAGAATGTGTCCTGTTACACCGTGCGTCCCGGCACGCTTGGATTGACATTACACACTTCTGTGCAGTAGACGCAGAGCCGCACAAGCCTACCCGGAATATGGTTCCTGCAGGAAGACTTCAAAACCATAGCCGTGACCTCTTCCTTGGGATCAAGGCAAACGCACACAACTGGAGTAGGAATATTGTTGCTAGTCCGTTAGGCATGGATCTGACCGCCGTGCAGCGTGGCCTTCAGTCAGCACAGCGCGCTCCTCGTTATCATATACCCCTCCCAAACGACAAACAAAGGCGAGATCACCTGTATAGCAAGCTGGGTACCCATCCCTCCCTTCATGGATCTGAGAGGCTTCTTCGAGAGTCAAGCGTCTTCAGCTCCACCTACTCAGCCTCTGATCACACAGACACGACCCAATCTCCGGTAGCATTGCTTCCCGTTGTCTCCGCAAACAATTGTGACTCCGCGATTTCACCTCGAACAGCTTCACATACTGTATCACATATGCGTCAGCAAGCACCAGCACTAGCTATGGATAAATCGCAGAAAGATATACGTTCCAAGGGCAAGAAGGGCAAGAAGGTCAACACTTCTAGTGTAGATCGAGTGGGACGCAGTTCGCATGCTGATACAAACACCCAGTCCGGTTACGTTATCAACCAGCGTTCGATAATGGCGCAGAATGCACAGAAGCGGCATAATGGGACTGCTCTTAATCTCTCAAACTTCAACGCACAAGAGCAGAATCAGACCTTGAATCTCAGCCATAACGCACCAAGCCCCACACCGAGCGCTGACGAGAAGCACCTTGGAGGAAGTGGCACGCGTCGTAACCAACCAAATTGAGCTGTCTCTGGTAGAAGTAGTAGATGTTAGTTGATGGTAAGCCTGATTGACTGCACATGCATCAATTGTTGCAACTGATTGGAAAGCTCAATACTATTTCACAATATACCAGTGAGGAGGAGTTGCCGTTTTCTTAATCAACCCAATGCAACACACCTTACTCCTATCAATAACATCGTCTGGTAAATTATGAATGTCGTTCGTCCTTCGACAGGATACTGCATCAATGGATGATTGGAATTCCATGTTCCATAGATACTGGCGAAGACACTGTTTCGTGACACGATGCTTAATATGTGGTCAACGGAAACACTCTTCACGACTATATTATATATAGCGCCCTCGGTGGTCTTCCGATCGATGGTTCCTTTCACTGGGTCGAGTAGTCTCATCGTGAGTCCTACTCTGCTTCTTTTCGTGTGATTTGCGATTGCGATATCTTGGTGTGTCTCGTGAGGGAAGTCGATCGCGTCTTGGACTGAGAGATCGGCCGTCTCGACGTCGTTCTTGATGAGCATCAGGTCTAATTGTCCCGTTCTGCATGCCTCCCGAAGGCGCAGAACCATGTATGTCCTCCATTGATGGTGGCGAGAGCATACTGAAATGCTGAGATATGATTGGAGATGGCTGCTCGTCATCGCGCCGATCAACACGATCGTTCTCATGAGCCTGACAACCATCATGGTCGGCACGATCTTCTCTAGAAGCGGATGGCTGCGGCGCACCCCTCTGATCACGAACGCTTGATGCTAGACCTCCGAGGTAGTCGGAAGTGCCATTAACTCCTTCGCCTTGGTGATGCCGTCTAGTACGTTGGTTGTTATGCAGGTTTGCACGCTTTGTTGATTGACGGTTTCGGGGCTTTGCGCATCAATCATACTTGCTTGCGACCTGCTTTTAACGCTATTTCTCCAGCTCAAGACCTCGCTTCGTTGCCTTTCTGCCCTTTTCTGTCGACCAGAATCCAACTTCGGCATAGCTGACAGTATGTTCTCTACATCATTATCACTAGGATGAACTCTCTTGCGTCTTTCTTTGTCTTTCGAACCACTATCTCTTGTTGGGTTTTCATCGTCTCCTCCGGAATCGTCATTTGGCACCAATCGCCCTGCGTCTCGCCAAACTTTGACTAATATCTTATCGACGTCTGCCCAAGACTTACGCCACCTGTTGAGACCATGCAAAAGGTTTTGTTCACCTCTTGTCAAGTTTTCTTCGAGGATAGCTTGACTGGCCTTAAGCCGCTCGACGTTCTGGGATAAAGTCTCCAATATCTTCTTCTGCGACGCGGTTGTTTCTTTGTTCAACTCGATTTCTGAACGTTTGACACTCAAGCGGTGTTTAATTGACTCAAGAGTCCCAGTGATGTCAGCTTGCTGCATAAGCTTCCGGCGCCTCCATTTCTGAGCATCTTGTAGTGCAGATCTGTAGCCACATCCTATAGCGAGGGCTGTCTGGATCTTACTCTCGAGCTCTTCTGTCAAGACAAGGACAGAAGTTTTGCGTCTGCCATCTCGTGAGTTTGTAAGGCGCGGCTGCAAACCGCCCGTATCCAAGCTACTGGCAGTTTGAAAGACCCATGTTTCACGGGCTCTTTCCGAGAAAGTCGAACCTAATTCTGCGTTATCGTACATGACTTTTACTTGGTGGGATGGGGTTCTCCCCTTTTTTACGAGAAGTTGCGCGAACTCTCTGTGACTTTAAGTGAGATGATCAAGCCAGCATGACCCTTTGACATCAGTGTCGCTTTGTACAACAACGACAAAGACGGCTTTTATGATATCAAGTACGCTATGCCCAGATTGCTCACATGAAAGACTTTACTGGGAACAACATTAGATTTGCCCTTTGCATATGAGACATTGGAGCCCATGAAGCTGTTTGAGGCTTGTTGAGTAGATCTGAACACGCTCGAAGCATATGGGGATCATCAGGTTTGCGATGAATGCTGATTTACATTGTGTGCATGCCATCAGACTGACAGATACAACTACTAAAAAATCATACGCCATTCACTTAGTGGTATCATAACTCTCTCTTGGTCGATCGAGTGCCACGATAGGAAGCCCATGACTATGGTGAATTGGTTCTCTGTGGGAGCTTAGGGTTCTTGCTGCCGACGGACCTGTTGTGTGTTGCTGCATTACGACTCTGAATTACATACACTTCTCCTCTCTTTCATCCTACCTCTAATAGCTCCACTACGCAACCACTTCCACGGCTGGGCGTTCAACGCGATCTCAACTGCTTTATCATAGGGAAGACTCGCTAGTACTAATTTTACCAACAATGACAGGCCATTGTGACGAAGGTAGCACCTGGTATCTCCACTAGTCTTATACGCTTTGCTAATTGGAGTAGAGGAAGAGCATTCACGTCGACCACAAGAAAACCCGAGGAGGCGTTTCGCGTCGCTCCCCGACGACGACCCCTTGCCACTTCAGCGCGAACAAGCAGAGAACAGCGACTCAGATACCTTGACAAGGGAACCGACAAATCCGGCTCTTTCCAATCTGCCAGATGATACAACCCCTCAAGAAAAAGATCATTTGCCTGAGCCACACTCCTCTCAACAAGAGCGCGTGCCGGTTGTTGATAACCAAGAGGGATTTCACACAGCTGTAAATCGCTCGCAATCTCCACCATGTCCACGAGAAGAGCGTAGTCCTGCTCGTGATGGCCTTGAGGACACAACGCATCGCCCCTCTGTCCCACAACAGCTGCAGTCTGCAGTCGTTACTGACGTATCACCCAACAAAGGACAAGAGTTGCTCGCAGAGTACGCAAGATTACGCCGACTGCCCATTCTCAGTATCGACCTAAACACGTACGATAGTCAACTTCAGTTCTTGGCCATGATGCAAGATTTTGCTTCATGGATGGCTTCCAATGGTGGCAGCATACAACGCGGAAATCTCGGTCTTGAAATACCTCATCTTGCAGCAGTCTTCTACCCCCAATACGAGGGCTTAAACACGTTGATCATGTCTAAGTGGTCGACTCAGGTCCCAACCCCGATACAAGGTCGCTTGGATCGTGTCTTCAGTCCCGGAGACATGTTCTGGTTCCGCACTTCCGAGTATGCGGCGAACCCCAAACAGCAGTTGGGCGACAAATGTGGCTTAACTGCTCGTGGACTCATGCTCTCAGGCTGGAGACTTATCCTAGTTCTGAAAGTCCTCCCGAATGTGCTACTATGCACCTGCGGCCGAACTGCTGGGGACAGTGATTTGAGCAAGACCAATCGCAGGGATCGATGGTAGTTTGCACGATTGCTACGATCTGACCGTAGAAATTGGCCGAGAGATATCGAAGCCAAAGACAGCCCTCATGGAAATACCTTCATGGATCCGACAGATGCGGGAGGCTGGCCAATACAGGACTTGAAGGACCATTGTAACTTCAATGTGGTTGTAACTCAAGAAGTCATCCCCACCGACGGTTTCAAATATGCGGGCAGACTCGAAGACGAAAGTCATAATAGCGTTGAATGGATTCGCAACGCCTTTTACTTTGGGATTGCAGTCATGCCTGAAGCCCCAACGGGGGTCAACGTGACCGCAGTGCAGCGCGGAATAACAGACATCAGGACGCCTAGATCCCCACCCCGCGTACCAAAACGAGTAAGGCGAGATATCTTTCCTACAGCAGACAAGATGTTACCTCTCCCCCCATACATTCCACCGCCTGCAGGGCATGCCCCTGTCTATCAAGACCTCACCGCTACTCCCCGCGTTCCTAGGAGTCCTTGCAGCGCAACTGAGGCGCGGTTCGAACGCGATCGGATCAATAGTGCTGGAAGGAGATTTTCTGCTCGTTCGACGTATGGTCCGGATCCTGGTCCGCAACGTGGTCGGTCGAGAAGTCGATCACCGCGCGATCGTCAGAACGGTCGATTTCGAGACTATTCTCGAAGGTCACCGCCTCCTCAACATCGCTCCGAAACCCCTGAAAGACGCGGGCGGCCAGAAACACGTGATCAGACTAACCACCGGTCAGAAGACTACGACCGATCTCAATCTCGGCATCAGCGTTCGCCGACACGTCGATTCGAACAGCCTCCTGACTTGCGTCTTGATAATTACATCAACAAGCCTACGTTGAACGCGTACGGGTTGGTCGAAGCCAATGCCGTCAAGTATGATGACCACGATGGCGATCGCCTGCTCAATTATAACGCGAATAGTCAGCCGAGCAACCGCGATCGCGACCGCGGTCGTGGACAAGGTGACTACCACGAGACCAATCGTGGTCCAGGAGAACGCGGGCCGGGTAGCGGCAGAGGACGCGGTGGTCGTCGTCGTTAGTTGGGCGCGGAAAAACCTTTTGTTCGCTCCGCAAGTCATCTAGCTTCTAGTTATGTAGCCATTCTATATTCAGTCGACGAGCAACATGGGGTATGTGCGGTTTCTGTACGTGACGATGGAGTCCATGCGTATTCTATTGCTGAGACGACTAGGAACTCCTCGTAAGAATTGCGGTGGGAATCGCTGAGCTTTTCATGATGTGGAGGAGTATCCTTCGGTCGGGTGTAGCGAGTGTATTGAGGTATCGGTGTGGGAAATAAAGGACGGTCGTGACGTAAGCTGATGGCTCTTAGACGGTCTGGCTATAGTAATACCGTAGGCTTTGTTGTATCCAATCTTGGCTTGAAATCCGTATTGTCCATAACACTGAGAGCTTGTAGTCCCATACTCTTTCGTCTCTCTTTACATGGTGCACTTGTGATTCAAGCGTGCTGGCTGACCGTGCAGCGCGTGCATCAGTATCGTGAATTCGCTTGCGACAGGTAGTGCCATGCACAAGACTCGTGGGCTTCGAGCGCGACGGTATGCTAGCCGTTAACAGACAAAGAAGAGTAAAGTATCGAGTAGACACATCTTGAGCTAATCCGAAAGCGACATGCAAAACACGCCAAGTACGCGTCGTGACATCACTAACGACTATTAGTCTTCATTGCGAGTCTCCAATAGAATCTCGTTTTAGCAGTAACACCATCGCAACACATGTTAACTTTTTGTAAGAACCACTTTCGATCACATCAGTGGCTACGACTCATCCGGAAACTATAAACCTTATCGCATTCGGTCATCTATCTAGGATTGACATGTTTAAGCTCTCACCAGTTCCGCAGCCAGGCTTAAAGAAGTCGCGAATGGACAGTCTACTAGATCCCGGCGTCTGTCCTGCAACGCGTTGCATACCCGATTCTCCCTGTACCCACCCGACAGCCGTATGTTCGGGAGTTGACGTTCGACTATCGCTGGCTATCGAGGGTGACATTTTCTGTAACCTCCTTTCACTTGGGGTTCGGTCAATTCGCTTCCGCTTGCTGCCACTAGGATGACAACTATGAGCTTCAGGAAATAGTTGGGGTTGCGTATTCCCGCTGTCATACTGTAACGCCAGTTTTCGAAGGCCGTCCTGGAACTCTTGAGCCTGTTGTGAGGTTGGTGCGATATCCGGGAAAGCTTTGCCTGCTGTACTCGCCCCACTATCGTCGATAGTCACTGCGCTATCCAACTGCCCAATACAATCTGCAATACTAGCTGATGGCGCAACTCCAAAACCGACGACCTCAACATCTTCGTTTCGATTGCCGCCCGTTATGGGCAAGTATTGCGCCGGTTTTGTAACATCCAGAACCCCTTGGAGAATCTTGCTAGTATCGCACATGAAATCCGCTAAACGATTCAATTCCGCACCGGAAGTAGCCGAGCGAGTTGGCGAAACGGTCATGTCTCTGTACCGGCGGTCGTCGCTCCACCTTGAGAAGGACTGAGAGCGAGAACGCGATCGCCCACGATCCCGCCGGCTTGATCGCGCCTGTCGATGTACATGTGCGCTAGGCTCGCGTCTACGATCTCTGACCCTACTGTTCCGACTTCTCGAACGAGGGCGAGACGCAGAGTGATGAGATCGCGTACAGCCTCGTTCATGCGCATGTGAACGATGGTTTGCACTACGTGATCTGGCTTCTAGCCTCTGATTTTGATCACAGTTCCGACGTCTCGGACTTCGAGATGTGGAGTGGCAACGCAATTCTCCGTCTATGGAGACTGAGGCACTTCGCGCGTATGTCTGCCCATGCCGGGATTCGTTGACTCTCCCTGCGAGCACCCATACACGATCGAGTTCCTGCTGTACTGCAAACCAGGCGTTGCTCCATCTCTCTTTGGCCAACTTCACTGTATCTTCGTGCGTCTGATGCTGACGTTGGTTCCATTCTTGCGTTTTCTGGCACTTCATGCGTTCTTCAAGAAGCTTTACAAGCTCGACTCTTTGCTCACGTGTCGCCCCCCCTGTTCTCCTCATCTTCTTCTTTGTAGACTTTATTTGATACTCTAGCTCATCCTTCCAGGACTGCGTCTTTGCTTCATTTTCGAAACGGATCTTTTCTTCAGCAGCAACCTTCTCAGGGGAAGTCCAATACGAGTGAGCGATACACAATGCTTTCTGTATCTTTTCAGCCAGTGGTTCGGATAGCAACACCGCGGCAACAGTCCCCTGATCCTCAGGAACGTCTATGAGTCTCGCTGATCCATTGGTACATCTCAATTTGTCTTTTCCTTCTACCGTCCATCGACGATAGATACTGTCTAGTTGGTTGGAATGATAGTCAGGCTCGTAATCAGAATAGAAAAGGTGGTGATGCTCCATGTCAGGCAGTACAAGATGGAATGATGACAGATTTTGGTGAGACGTAAGCTTGGATAAAGGAGTTTTAACGACGATAAGGAGAATGATGATATAGACCTAGACAAAGGAAGTGAAACCCCCACATTTATCCGCTTTAAGGAACCAAGTGTCAATACAACAAAGACAGCCGGCTTCTTTCACGAGGTTCATTCGCACATATGGTTTTGTCCTGTCCTACAACTGTCAGTGGAATCATGGGATTAGGCTATGTTCATCATCCAATTCACGAAGCATGAGCCTCGATATACCGGGAGTCAGATGCAATGACCCCCGTCATTCACTCGGATCGATGTAATTGTAAGGCCTGCATGTACCTCAGCGATGTTCTTCCCACAACTGCAGTTTTTATGACCCCATCGACACGAACACTCAACCGCGGTGAATCTTTCTCAACCACAACTTGACGCATAGAGGGCGAAGATCTGATCATGCCTCATCGACGCCAATCAGTAGACTAGCCTTCAGATGATCACCGTCCGCATACCCGGCACGCTGACACCGAATCTGGATCACCATATGGCTTCCTCGACTACAATGAACTGGGAGAGTCTAGCCATCGAGGTCGATCGTCTTCACCTCGGCAATCGCCCCGCCGAGATGAATTTCAAGGGTATCGTAGAAGACCCCGCGATCGATCTTATAGCAGATCTCTAAGTCCCGGATATCGTCGTAGACGCCCTAATCCTGAACTTCGTCGCGATCAGGAAATACAACGGGGACGACGTGGCGCTTCTGACCGTTGGCGCCCAGCAGAATCACCATACAGGCATTACAATGTGGGCTACACTATCACAGATCATAATCAAGGGAAGAGTTTCAACTGTGGGCCAGAATACTTCATGAAACCAGAAGTTCTGCAAGATGTGATGTGAAGATATGACCCTGGCGATGTTGTGTCCGTTCGACATAGCGACTTCTCTTACGACAATCAAGCGGAGATTGGAGCGAAGTTTACACTGTTCTCCGAAGGCAGACTATACATCAAGAAAGATGTTCCCTTCATCCTTTTCAAAGTGGAGCCTGGCTATGGCATTGGCTGGCTGGGTCGCAGCGCGAGTAGTCGTGGTTTAAGAGGGATGCATTGGATTCCAGAGTCGGATTATCCAAAGTATATGGGGGTAGCCACTCAGGGTGATCTAGCCGGACCTGCCGGGAATGACAGTCCACACGACCAGCTTCAAGTGATACCAGTGGTTGGATCTGAACGCCTTTATCCCACGACCCATGTCTTCGTTAGTGAGTTGGTAAAGGTTCCTATACCACGGATCCATAAGCACTGGGGACGACTTGGCTTCGAAAGTTACTACCGATTAGTATGCCTGATGAACTTTCTCACGGCAGGACCTTCGTCACTGAAAGCAAGCCCAGACTCGATCCCGAAGGATATTGGCTTGGACATTGGTGCACTGAGGACTTACGGAGTGCGAATAACTCTTTCGTGGGAGATTGGGCAGAACGACTTGCAGCTTACGCCGCCAGCCATCCACTGAATTCGGTTCCAGCAAGCACACAATCACGCGTCGATAGTCCACAAGCGCAAACTCGACCGCAACAAGCAAGAGTAAGACCACAGCTTCAAGCGCCATCAAAAGACTTCCGTCCACCTCCTGCCGTGCGCTCAGTTCCGGGAAACCAAGAGGGTAAGACCTCGTCGCCAATGCCAGGTTCGAATTGACCTACAAACAAAGTTGGCCAACCTCCGGGAGCTCCAAATACCTCAAGTCACCATGCAACTCAAACTCCTGCAGGGCCGGGAGCAACTGCTCGAGACGAAGCTCAACCGGATCCGCAAGCGTACATTCGCCAAGCTCACGTTGTTGATGCAAGCGCGAAGGGTGGTGTAGCTAGTGCGATAGGATCCACACGTGACATCGATGCAGGTGTGTACAATGCGTCGGTGCACAACGAACAGCACAACCTGTTCAGAGCAGAAAGCGCAAAATTCAGTGGGTCAGAATAAGGTGAGATCCTTGAATAGTTGTGTATAGAAGCATTGAAGGGACAGGACGAAGTGACAGGAGTTTATAGAGTTCCGCGAAGCAAATACTTTACGACGTTCACGTAAGGCCCCCATCTTAGCTCATGCAAGATGATCTTATGAGATAGCCTCGAAAGGAATTGTCTTTCGTGTTGCTGGCTTTGGCGAATACCAAAATATCATTACAACAAGATCGCAAGCCAATACTTGCCGCATTATGTCTGTCTTTGCGTACTTAGTCATGTCCACACTGTACAAGAAGCGGCTCTTCTGACGCGTCACCGTGGTATAGTGCCAATTTGTGGTCTCACCGTACATACAGGCTAAGTACGATACGAAGGTCCGTGATAATTTAATGAGGCTGGTAAGTAGACACGTGAAAGAAAGGTAGCGATGCGGCTCTTCCTCCAGCCAGGGCTGTCTGCCAAGAAATCGGAGATTGCCGGCGTCGATCATCACAATTCAATCAAGCATCGCTCGTCAACCACAGCAAGAACGCCAGCTTCCTCTCCACAGGCTACACAGCATGCTTTGGGTAGTTGCTCGGCTTTCCACCATCGCGCCGATATAGACCATAGACTCTCGCTCCTACGCCAGCTCGCATCCCATCGCTTCCGCCAACTACGTCACGCGCAAACAATGGGCATCTGCTCGTCGTGTTTGGGAGGGCGAAAGACTTCCGAGGCAGACGTGAGTCCTGTCATACTGTTTGCTGCCACTCTATGCCTATCGCTGACACTTTCTTGTAGCACTCGGATAGCTCGCACTTGCTCGGAGACCCTTACCAGCCCAACTATGGTACCGCCAGTAGCACCCACAACGCGCCCCAGCCCGACCCAGAGGAGCTTCGCCGTCAGCGAGAGAACCTGGAGCGCATTTGTGCTGAGACGAACGAGTGAGTCCTGCCTTCCTCGTCCTCCACCGCTCCTTCTTCATAACCCTCCTTTCCAGCCATCGCACTTTCCTTTATCTTAGTAAGAGCATGACACTCATCTGTTACAGGCAACTGATCCCCGTCTCTCAACCGAGCGCCCTCCCGGAAGTCACCCAACAGCCCTCCAAGAACGACGAGTACGCCCATCTCTTCAACGAACGCTTCAAGTCGATACGAACAGAGCGCCCATCCTCCGCCGGTGACAACGAAGATGACGAGACCACCTGGCTTGAGAACGCTGTCGGCAACCAAGGCGAGGATGAGCTGGACGAGATCAAGCCAGCTAAGGGACAGCTGACGATCCAGTTCGGTCAAAGATAGAGACGCCCATACCGCAGGACCTGTAGTCGGTTCCACCTTCTGGACCCCTAGCCTGGGCTGAGGCTTTTGGCACCTTTTCATATTGTTCTGCATTGCATGAGCGCCAACACGGATACCCATAATCTTTCCTTTCTGTTGTCTTTCTATCTTGACATGAAGCCTCTTCTTACGTCTTTCTTAGTACTAGCATAATCATGTCTGTCTCATTATGAAATCTTCTCGGACCTTTTCTGTCCTTTGTTTGGCAAGACTCTGTTCACGAATGTCGCGCCACACCAATCATGTTCTGCATCAACACTAATGCTGATGCAAATGGATTCTGACCACTTGCCCCTACGGCAGTGACTTGCTATCCTAGGCAACTGACAGGCTCTCCATATCCAATCAATACTGACTTGCCCCTTTGTACAGGGTGATACAAGTCCTAACAAACCCATCTATCGCCGACAAGTCTAACCATGCAAAGAAACCATAGAGGGACGAGTTATATCATCGCTCCCGACCGGTGCAACAACCTCGCTCGTCCTAGGCAGGCTTGAACAGCTGACCTGGTGGAGCATCCACAGGCTTCTCGACACTGACGCCCAATTCCGACAGGATACGGTCAGCATGCTCGCCCGTCAACTTCGCCAGCTCTTCCCGGAACGTCTTGTTGATGAGGTCAAGACGTAGCTTCAGGCCCGGTTGCACTGTGAGCTGCGTTTCCGAGTCCAGCTTCTTGAACGTTTGTTTGCCCCACACCAGCGCCGCACTCTTCATCGCGCTAAGGATGGCCTCGTTCTCATCTTCGTCCATCGTCTCGTCCTGGTACCTAGCTGCCTCCTTCTCCACAAAGGCTGCAACAGTCTGCGGGTCTGCATTCTGTTCAGCCTTCTTCATCTTGTCAGCTTTTCCATCATCGTTGACTATTCAAAAAGAAAAAGAAAGAAAGAAAAAAGTCTTGACTTACGCTTTGCTCAGCCGTGTGAGCTACAGTTTCATCTTGGTCTGTCTCGTGTACTTGATTCTGCTGTAGTTTCGCTCTGAGGCTTTTCTGGATGTTGTGGTACGTCTGGTTACTCGGCCTTGGCTTCCCAGCCCGCTTGATGATATCAGGAATCCTGTTAGCCGGGTTGGAAATGACAGGCTCCCGGCGAGCTAACAATGGCTGATCCTTGTACGGCTTGATGCCAACATCGTAGAGATCCTTGTCACCCATGAAGTCGCTGCTTAGGAATCCGCTTGGCCCATAACCGATCGAGGTTCCTGTGTTACCAGGGTCAGAGGCTGGGGATGATGGAGCTCGGTGTGTAGGAGCTGGGAGTGACTTTCTAGTTGCACGTGTAGCTGGTGGTGTTCGGAGAGCGGTAGCAAGAGCACTCTCGGCAAACGTAAGTTCAGATCGACGGCGACCAGTACGGCGACGCTTGCTGGGTGTTGGGGAAGTGTCGTCCGGCTCAAATTCGTCCTCGGAAGACTCCTCAGTCTCACCAAGAGGCGCCTTCTTCTTGATCGCACGCTTCTTTGCCGACGACTTGGGCATAGCTGGGGTAATCTCAATCTTCATAGGACTGGGATCTTCCTCATTCTCGACCTTGTCGCCTATCTCTTCTGTGCTCGGCAGTGGCTTCTTCCTCACCGCCCTGCTTCCGCTACTGGCGGAGAGACCGCCTCCAGTCGCACCTGGAGTCGCCATGTTGCCATGAAGAAGTCCTTTATCCTGCTTCAAGCGCTTTTCGTAACATGGTTGGCAAACTTGGAATGTGCAGCCTGGACAGCGTCGCATGGTATCCATGTTGCGCTTGTCGCACTCGGTACACTTGGCTGTGTGTACAGTCACCTTACTATACTTTGACTCGTCAACGGTACAAAGCGTCAATGATGAACCTCCTGGAGTGCGGGGAGCACGGGTCGGAAAAGGGCTGTTGGAAGCGCGTGGTGTACTCGGAAGGAGTGTGCGGTCACTTCGGCCTGGCGTCGAAGGAGCGGGTGCGGGTGCGGGTGCGGGTGAAGGTATGAGTATCGAGGTCGAATCCTTGGCGCTTCGACCTGCACCCGGTGTCGCTGGAGGATCCATAGCGCCACGTGGTGAGCTTTGCTTAGATGGCGATGTTGGTTGATCAGTCATCTTGGTTTAGTCGCCTTGTCCTTGCGGAGAATGAGCCAGCTCAAATGTTTATCGCAGTATTCTGAAGAAGTTGGAGGGAAAGTCAAGAGGTGGTGTGGATTACCTTGGAGAATTGGTCGCGATAAAGGCTTTGAAAGTCGGCTGAAAGTCTCGGTCACTTGCCGCTTGGACCCTTATGTCTGTCGAGGAGCTGTGGAGAGAAATTGGAGCAGTCGGGCATTGACTCTATCAATCTGATAGACGTATGTGCTTTACGCTCGGACTACGGCGGGGTAGAACTTGGGTTATGACGCGGACAGTCTCAATGCCAGGCTCCGAAGATGGTGGAGAGTATCAATCCGGCAATGCAAACGATAATGAGCTCGGATTGAGGGAGTTGTCGGAGACCCAGTCATATGTAATGGATTTCACTCCCGGTTCACGAGGATGTTCCACAATCCTAGGCTTTGACAAAGGATACTGAACACTAGAAGAAACAGGGCTGTATGTGGAAGACAAGCGCAAAGAGAAGAAAGTATGGAACGGTACCGCCACCAACGAGCTATATGCGACTTGCCCGATAAGATATGTGAAGAGAAGAGAGTAGACTCTAGGGTTATCGAAACACTCACAGGCAGGATGGGGCTAGAACCGGAAGTGGAAGCGAACAAGAGGGCGAACGGAGCAGTCATTGTTCACTAAATGTGAAGAGGAAATGCTTTATACATGTGACCATATGGTGGACTTTGCATCCGGTTAGAAAGAGGTGCAGTCACATCTGTCACGACTAGTACTGGAGTCATGAGTTTGGACATGTTACATATCCTTCACATACTCACGTGTGGTTGAGCCGCATGCGTTGGTGTCACGACGGCGAGTAGGGTCCACCAGGGTAGATTGACCAAACGGTCGGGAACGAAGTTGGAAGATTCGGTATACTCGATGCGGTAATTTGGTTGGAGGGATACGAGTAGTCATGAATATGTTGAGGCTTCATGCTATCATATGCTTTCAGCTCTCCGTGTACTTGTCATCTTTGCCATTTAGGAACATATTGCATCCTTTGGGCTCGTGGTGTTCGCAAAAAACGTGAACAACTCAATCAGAATTTCTGTTCGTACTCTCAAGGTTATACATGAGCGAAGAAGCGCTGGCGTCTTGGTGTTGCGGTGCATTGTCAGGGGTGCAACACGCCCGCGAAAGGGCTCAAGGTCAAGTCAATGTTGGTTGGTCGTGGTCCTTCGACGGCCCCATCTTTGCCATGCGAACGAGCGGAGCGAGCGGGCCGATCTCTCCGCAGATCTAGATCTGTTGGTTGTGGTGCCACATGGCGTAATACATGTCTTTGCGATGCTTCCATGGGTCAGAGAAAAGACATGCTTGACAAAACGGAGCCAAGATGCAGCGCACGTAGGAGGTGATGATACAGATATGCTCAGTGGGGCGAAGAAGCATTTTTCGAGGTTCTGAGTGTTGAGACCGACAGCCCCATCTATGTATCAAACGCGGTGTCTTAGACTCATGACGTGGCGACGGATATTCGAGTACACGATCTCACAGACCAACGGCGTGGGGCTCGTCCTAATTAACAGCGAGGCGGCACATTAATGCAGCGGTGTGCATATGTGATTAGTCGGTTAGACCAAACGCTAAGTGTCGATGTTCTCAATAGCATACAAGGCGACGTATCGTGTGCATTGTTGATCTACCCATGCATGCATGGTACCTGAGGAACTGCAGCCGCGCTTACCCATTCTGTCGCAGAAGGAATCCGCATCCTTTTAATGTGACACCTGCGAGTACTCGCATCATCCATCATCTCTAACCTCGCTACGAGCCGCGAACCATTTCCCCAAACCTCGATTGCCGCCTTGAGCGCGGACGATCGCTCTGCCGCTATGGCTGTTGGGGTTTCTGCCTGGAGCGGGTTCTGGCGCTTGCTTACGGCTCTAGAGAAGTTTGGTGTAGGCGGCATTTCTCACCGGCCTCTGTCTTGAGCAAATGGGAAGCTCTATATATAACCTTTTGCAACCTCTTCAGCAGCGGCCGCACCGAAGTCCAGCCGTATGACGCAAAGACAAGCGAGCTGGACTCAGCGGTGAGTGGAATGCATGGTGTTTGCAGTAGTCCAGCAGCGGGCACTAGCCACACCGACTACGCTAACATGGGCGCGCAGCTTCTTCAACCTGGACAATGCGCTTTGCGCGACGACCAAACATCGCGCGCTCATCAACAGACCGCCAAAACCATCAGAGGCGCGTGACATTTGATTGCGCGGAAGAGTGCGCCATTGTCTCATATAACTTACCAGGCTGTCGCAAAGTACGCGTCGCAGGCCTTTGTTCAAATCCCCAGGTACCGGAGTGCTTAAGCGAACGGAACCCTGCCACCTGTACGGTATCGACGTATTCGAAGCCTCCTGGTTCAGCCCGCCGGATATTCTTAAGCGGAGAAGAGTGTTGTGGTGGCGGTGCTGGCTGCAGACCATACCACCAACTCAGAAGCTGGGTTTCGCAATTTCAGCTTCCTCGACGGCGGCCAACTTCGCAAAACATCAGGCATCCTCGGCGGCCACTCCTTACCGTTTCAAGAATTAGTGTGCGACCTAATCACAGGCCTCCAACAACTGTGTGAGACGATAAGGTCGCTTCTCACGACTTTGCACAACTCGTGCAATTGTGTGCGGTCATAACGAATCTCCTCAGAACAGACCCTTGGAGAGCAAGAACATCAACGAAGACACGAACTCATGCTTACGACTGCTACCATGGATCAACCACAACCCGCGACACCACTTTACCCGGCCATGGCCCTCCTCAACTATATGCATGCTCCCACCGTAGGTTTCTACTACATGGGAGCTTGCGCGTTCAGTCTATGCATCTTACAAAAGGCGCGATTGGTATCACAAAAGAGACGGCGAAGCATACTTATCTCCATGCTCACAATTTTGGTCGCGTACATCACAGAGGTACTTTACTACTTCAGCCGGTCAATGGGCGATTGGGACTATGAGCCACCACAGCCTGCAGCGATCCGCTGCTTAGGATCAATATTGGTCTGGAGTCCATTGGCGTATATGCTTTGGTCGAGCAAGGCACTACGATGGCATGCGTACTTTGGCGCATTTGTTCTACAATTTGCTTTGGAAACTACAACGTGTCTGATAACGGCATTTTCCATCCCAGAGCAGAGTCGGCAGAAGAATGCGCCATTCGTGATTGACTGCGTTAGGGCTATTGCGTCTCTCATTCTACTGTTAGATGCGTTTGTGATTTTGGTCACTAAGCAGGCTGAGATCAGCACGGACGAGGAGCGCCAATCTTTACTAGGGAAGCAAGCGAACGGATCAGCCACGGCTAACGGTAATGCTGGGTACGGTACCATCCCTACAGAATCCGCAAGCGACGACGAAGAAGCAACGCCAAAAGATGAAGACAAGGATATCAAAGCCCAACAAGCGAAGCGTCTCGAGGAAGAAGGTGGTTGGTTCGGGTACCTCAAAGGCTTTGCTGTTTTCCTGCCCTACTTGTTCCCTAAAGACGACTGGAAGGTCATGGCTTGCCTGGGTCTGCGACTCGTTCATATGCTGCAAGAGCGTGTCCTCAACTTGCTTACGCCTCGGCAGCTTGGCATTATTACGGACAAATTACAGCACTCTTACGAAACTCAGAGTGGCATCATGCCCTGGAAAGATATCGGCTTGTGGGTGTTGTTCTCATACATCAACAGCTATGCCGGTTTGGGTATTGTCGACGGCATTGCGAACTTGGTCATCTCCAACAGCGCATATCGTCGTATCACATTGTTAGCTTACGAACACGTGCTGGGCCTCTCTATGGACTTTCACACCTCGAAAGACTCAGGCGAGGTTCTGAAAGCTGTCGAACAAGCCTCATCCTTGAATTCGCTCATTGAAATGGTTCTATTCGACATTGCACCGATTCTGCTTGATCTTGTCGTGGCCATGTACTACGTCACTCACCTTTTCGATGCATACATGGCTTTCATTATTCTCTTCATGGGCGCCGCATATATTGCTATCGGGTTCTACTTCACGACTCTGTCACAACCCAAGCGAAGAGACTATGTCGAGAAGCAGCGTACCGAAAGCTCAACAGTCAACGAGACGGTCCACAACTGGCAGACAGTTGCTTACTTCAACCGTTTAGTGTTCGAACACAAGCGCTATGCGGAGAATATTCTCGCTACCATCTCTGCCCAGTACTCGTACTATTTCCGGTCGATGGGTGGCCATGCAGCACAAGATCTCTTGACAACTTTCGGGTTCGCAGGTGCTTGCGTCTTCGGTATGTCGCAGATTGTGACTGGGCGTAAGCCAGTTGGTAATCTGGTCATACTGATCATGTACTGGCATACGATGACATCGCCACTTTACGTGCTTTCTTACAGCTACCGACACATCTCCAGTTCACTCATCGATGCCGAACGCTTACTCCAGCTACTTAATACTAAACCTTCAGTTGCTGACCAAGACGGTGCTAGGGACATTGTAGTCTCTTCCGGAGAAGTCGAGTTCAAGGATGTAGACTTCCACTATGACGAGCGGAAACCTATCATCAAGGGCGTTAACCTGAAAGCTGAGGGCGGGCAAACCATCGCTTTTGTAGGCGAGACAGGAGGAGGCAAGTCAACGATGCTGAAACTACTCTTCCGGTTTTACGACGTCACTGGAGGCTCCATCATGATCGACGGCCAAGATCTACGTTCAGTCACACAAGCCAGTCTTCGCGATGCCATAGGTCTCGTCCCACAAGACCCCGTCCTCTTTAACCAGACCATCCGCCAAAATATCCGCTATGCCAAACTTGACGCTTCAGATACCGAAATTGAGGATGCATGCCGTGCGGCCGCCATTCATGACGATATCGTCGGTTTCCCTGACGGCTATAACTCCAAAGTAGGCGAACGCGGTGTGCGTCTTTCTGGGGGTCAGCTTCAACGCATAGCCATCGCTCGCGTACTACTCAAGAACCCCAAGATTGTCATGCTGGATGAAGCTACATCAGCAATCGACTCTTCGATCGAAGCACTTATTCAACAAGCCTTCCGTAAATTGAGCCAGGGCCGGACCACCTTCGTGATCGCGCATCGTCTGAGCACGATTGCAGATGCGGATCAGATTTTGGTGGTGGAGAAGGGTGAGATTATCGAGAGGGGGAGGCATCAGGAATTGTTGATGAATGAGGGCGGGAAATATGCAGAGCTTTGGTCCAAGCAGACCGCGGGACATCTGTCCAAAACGCCGTCCAAGGAGGACGTCACGAAGGATGGGGACGTAGAAGCGAATGTAGAGGCGGTCGAGAACAAGACATCAAAGGGCGAGGATCACGCCACAGCCACGGCCGTGGAACGGAATAGTGATAGTGAGGATACGACCACGAAGCGCAAATGAGCGTCGATTGCTGTTTTTGAAGGATCGTAATCAGGCTCACGGCCACGGACCTTTGTTGCGACGAATTAAATCAATCGCGATAAACATTATAGTCGCTCTTCTACATCTTCCGTGAAACTTGTCCGCGTGCTTCTGCTTCCTTCAACATCAGGTGTCATCCTGGCTGCCTAGAGGCTACTCAAGCAATGCAGACCGGGACAACAGTTCCGCCCTCGCGTTTTTGACCAAGAATAGAGAGGCGTCCTCGGGAAGATTTCATGCCGATAGTGCCGCACAGACCGCGTGCGCCAACCAAAACAAGCGCAATTGAAACGATTCGTGTGCCCGCAGGCTGAACGCGCAACAGGACGTTAGAAGACGTGTTATGTTGGAGGGTAAGACTGACGACCTACTCTGACATATAAGTCTGCGTGCGGTCCCGCTTGGCAGTAACAACGTCTTCTTGTGAACATCGCTGCTGTTACTGTTGTGGCGCAGACAGTTGTCATACGTCATACATAGCACTGCATCCTCTTAGGCTGATGCGCCATCCCTTGCCTCGATCATCAAGCTGTCAATCTCTCGGCACCCCATCCTCGCCCTTACCAGTCCATCATGGCGGTACCGAAACGCTTCTTACTTCTCGCGTCAGCAGCGTTCACCTGGTTTAGTCAGCGGTATGCTCCTGCTGTGACCATCTCCAACGGCCCAATCAAAAACACAACTGCGATTTTCGCTATAGCCTTGTTTTCCCGGTTGTTTTGGAGTGTGATTGTCTATCCACTATTCTTGAGTCCGTTAAGGGGGTTGCCTTCACCGCCGGTATGTGAGAGGTCTGCAACAATCCGTTCCCTGGGGCTAATATTGCTAGGACGGGCATTTTCTGCTTGGACATTACCGACGCATCTTCAAAGATCCAACTGGTGAACCGCAAAGGGACTGGATCGATACTGTGCCAAACGATGGCGTGTTACTTTATCGCTGGCTGTTCAATGAGCCGCGTATCCTTGTGACGAATCCTAAGGCGATTGGTGAAGTTCTCGTGCACAGGAATTATGAGTTTGTCAAGCCATCGAGATTGAGAAAGGGTCTGGGTAGGTTGCTTGGAGTTGGAATTCTGCTAGCTGAGGGGGATGAGCATAAGGTATGTGTACATGAGACGCAGTCCAATGGGATGGATGCTGACCTGTATGCGATTGTAGCGCCAACGGAAGCTGCTAATGCCTGCCTTTAACTTCAGGCACGTCAAGGATTTGTACTCCATCTTCTGGAGTAAATCACAAGAGCTTACAGACAAGATCTCTGAGACGATCAAGAGTAGTCCCGACGGGTCGTCTGTCGTTGAGATTGGCCATTGGGCTTCTCGCGCAACTCTCGACATCATTGGCGTCGCAGGAATGGGCAAAGACTTTGACGCCATCAGTAACCCTAACAACGAACTCAACGAAACCTATCGCAAGATCTTCGCTGGCGCTCGTGGCGCCCAGCTCATCCAAGTCTTACTCAATCTACTTCCTCACTGGCTCGCCGTTAATCTTCCTTTGGAGCGCAACGACGTCATCGGTAACGCAGTTGAAACCGTCAAGAAGGTAGCCCGCGAACTTATTCGCGATAAGCGCGAAAAGATGGAAGCTGGCGAAGCAAAAGGCACTGATATTCTCAGCGTAGCAATGGAGTCTGGTGGTTTCTCCGATGAAGATCTAGTAAACCAACTCATGACCTTCCTCGCAGCCGGCCATGAAACAACGGCCTCAGCCATGTCATGGGCCGTGTATTGCTTGTGTCAGCACCCCGAGGTGCAGACACGCTTGCGGCAGGAGATCCGCACCGAGTTGCCGGAAGCGCTGGAACCTGGCGGCCAAATTTCTTCGACTGAGATTGACCGACTACCGTATCTGAATGCCGTGTTGCAGGAGACGATGCGTATCTTCCCTCCTGTACCGCTCACCCTCCGTGAAACCGCCCAGGACACAACAATTCAAAACCACTTCATTCCTGCAGGCACCACTGTCGTAATCTGCCCCTGGGCCATCAATACCTCCACCCATATGTGGGGTCCAGATGCCCGCTCCTTCAACCCGGACCGCTGGATGCAGCCTGGGACTGCCAACACCGGTGGTGCGGAGTCAAACTACGCCATCACAACTTTCTTGCACGGGCCGAGGAGTTGCATTGGAAGAGACTTTGCGAAGGCAGAATTTGCTTGCTTGGTCGCGAATTTGGTTGGCAAGTTCGAGATTGAGTTTGAGGAGCCAGGGCACGTGGCGGAAGTTCAGGGAGGCATCACGGCAAGACCTAAAGGTGGGTTGAATGTCAGGCTTAGGGACGTTAGCAGCGAGAAGGCGTAGGTAGAGAACCCACCATTTGAGCGGCATGACGATGTGAGGCGGTAAATCGAGTGGTGTGTTCTTGACTAATAAACGATACGTATTCTCAGCATTGAATCTCTATGTATCAAGGTTAGCCTGCATGCACATGAGGTAATGGTAGCCGCCACACAAGGTACCTCTAGTGCTGTCCTCCTGCTAACATCATATTCGTTTCCTGGTGATGCCTACGTGGGGTAGTCGAAGAGCTATACCGATTAGCAAGGGGTATCCTAGACGTTCGCTGCGAGACGAGCCGCCGGTGGGGGTTGGAGCGCGCGCTATTGGGCATACACTCTTCGGCTTTGCCCTAGACTAGCCCAGTTGTTATGGCAAAGATGCAATTTCCAAGTTGATGCATCGTATGCAAAATACTCGAACAGTTTCAACGACGATAGTTGCAGGTTAGCGCTTTAATGCTTCGGAGCTGTCCGAGGTTTTCGTTGGGCGAAGTCGGCGGCATGCGATCGAGGCAGAATGCCGTTTCTGGACTGTGATTGGTCAAGCCTTTGGCGAAGACTGTACCACAATCGCCTGTTCTACAAGGTCTGCATAGGCTTTGACAGGCCTTGAGGCAAAGTAAATCTATCCTTTGTCGCCGTCGAAATTAGTCTGATCCTCTCCCCTGGTCCCACACATTCTCGTATGTCAGTCTCAGTTACTACTGAAGATTTTTGAGAAGTCCAGTCGTCGTTGCGACGAGACCAGGAAACGAAGGAAGCAGTAAGAGACAGTTCCCGGTTGCGTGCTTCAGCGGTCTATTGATTGGCGCGGAACACGTATAGCGTCCGTTCCGATATGCAGATAATATGCGAGAGCGCTATGGGAAGCAAGATCGGCCGAAAAGGGTAAAGTCGCCATGCGCAAGGCTTGTAGCAACGACGAAAAGAGCATGATGGATGAGCGTCAGGGGGTACGTATCGCTGGTACATGCGACTTACGTAGTCGCCCACTACTGAGCTGTAGCGAGATGAGAAAGGTACTGGGCTGCCCAGCATACCCAAATGTGCTGTTTCGCGATATGATTGGTCTACCCAGTGCTTTACATGTGTTCCGGCTATGCACACAAATACTGACTGCAGCCCAATACATCCAAAGTGCGGCTTTTAGATGTGCCTTTCGTCGTATGTCATGTACGAACCATGTCTGATTGACCCTGCTGACGACACGTCGAGCTGGCTTATTGGCCGCCTAGTCGATTGTATGCCCTCTGGCATTCACCTAACCGCGTCTCTCCACACGAGGAGGAATGGCATTATACGAGTGACGACTTGCGGTATGTCACGAGCGCTTAAACTTAGTCGCCGTGGTAGGGCTGCGCTCACAACATACTCAAAGGCTTAGGTAGCCCGCGTTCCCTTTCACTCCTCTGATCTGGACGGCCCCTGCTTTTCTTCGCACACGACCACAACACGTAATGAGTCACCAAAGGATGACGTCGATCCGGACGGAAGTTCGCGTGGAGGGACCGTGGTGGAGTTGGACTTTCAGTATGTATGAAAGGCGATCGGCCGCTATTCAGGCCACTTAGCGTTCGCCACGTAAGTCGACATTTTTGAACTTCGTTCCTGGCTCTTGACACTCATACAACCTTCTACGACCACTGTATAGCTTAGCTGACCTCGAAATCTCCTTTCTCGATCGGAAGGGCAAGGAACAACAGAGTGCAGCGTACACGAAAAGTATGATGCGACACAAGGAACACGACAGACCGATTACGAAAACCGGCAACCATCAGACCGACGCAGATATGTTGAAAAGAGTTTCTGCCAGCCCCTCCGTCCGTTCGCCTGAGCAACTCACCTTTTCACGCACCTTCCCTTCGATGATCCAAGGCGTACATACCTAGGTGCGTCTGCGCCATACCGGCTCGAGCTCGAGCCCGAGTGCACTGTGGAGGAAAGTACTGTCAGTCGGTACTGGGATGCTGTACGGACTTGCCCTTGTTCAGGGAATTCGTACATCATGACATTTGTTACGGCAGTGCAGGCTACAGCGAAGAAGAGGATGAGAGAGCACACAAGATGATGATGTGGGTGCAGGCCAGCTGACTGACACCATGGGGATAGGGCAAAGCTAAGGCCGGGGCTTTATCGGCAACACCCGTCGACACTATCCACATCAGCACTAGCCTCATCACGTGCATGCCAAGTTGCGAAATTTACCCCACCAGCCGTCCTCCAACACCACAACACCATCGAATCTGCTCCTTCCGCGCGTTTGACCTCATGATCATGCACATTGCTGCATGCCACCGACGCCTCACTCCAACACCTGGTCACCTTTCCTAGACAAAGGGATAGGCACCGTACTTGTTTTCGCCGGACCGTGCGCGATGGACTCTCCACTTCTATCTGCGGTTACGCGACGGTCACGGATTGGACAGCTTCAGCCCCCAATCCAAGCACAGCGGCTACACTCCTCACAATTGAGCACGCAGCCAATCAAGTGAATTGGTAATGTTCATTGCATCATTAAACAACCAGAAGTTCAGGAATAGAAAGAAGCGACTGTAAGAGGTAACGCCCGGCCTTCCCTGTTCCGTATGCCATCGCTCAATGCCAGCTCTGCCTGCATCATTCCGCCTCCGGAGACGAAAAATGAATGGCCTCAATCTGAAAGAAAACACCGAAGCGTTGTAGATGAAACAGATTCCCAAACGCCCGCGCCATGCCCACTGTAACCTCAGTGAATTGCCTGCAGTCTGCGGTTACGTTCGCAGGACAGCTCATTGATTTCGCCATCCAGACTGCGAATCATCTCCATCGATTTCTCGATCGAAGCTCCGAACTTGTGAGGCTCCCGCTGCCACCGCCCGATGCGGTCCACCTCAGCGGCTCGGCGGCGCATCTTGGTATTGATCTTCTCGCAGAGCTTGCAGTAAGTTCCAGTAGGAACTGTTTGCATGATGAGCTTCATACCACACGTCTCGCCGATTCGGTACTCCTTGGCGCAGTGCTGTCGGAAGTGGCCCCACTTCCAGTCACCGCAGATGAACCTGTGTTGGTCGTAGAAGCACATGTTTCAGGATGGAAGAGCTTGGACGTCTGATGTTTGGTAACACATTAGCCTTACCGACCTACTGCTTGGATACCAGACGTCGAACACTTACCTGTCGCTTCTCGTTCAAACACTGGACCTTTTTGATAGGACCAGCGACTGCGTTCCGGGGGGTGGGTCAGCTCAGGGGTTACTTCGACCTTGAGCCTCAAAGACACATACAGAATGGTTGGATAGTAGGAGGCCTTCGAAAAAGATGGCCACGGTCTATACCCAAGAGGGAGTTTGTTTGCTGGGTCCGGTGTTGCAAAAGATGGAAGACTATCAAAGTCTATGGTCAATGACTGGAAGATGCTGTCGAACTGAATGTGATGAAGCTGATATTCGAGCAGCAGTATACCGCTATTTATCCTTCGAAACAAACTCTTCTCGCCGACCTCGCCGGCCACACATCCGTACCGAGCTCGCTTCGCTGTCAGGCCATAAATTGATACCATGGCCTATCCTTTCGTCGACGTGGTAGCACCCCACCGGGCTCCATCCAACAATATCGCTACGATTCACGGATCCCTCTTACTCTGACGCTAGAGTGATGCGGAGACGGGCTGAAATGATACCCTAGGCCGTGCCGGCGTTTCCAGCTGCAGACAGTTATCACATTTGCTAGGGGATCAACGTGTCGTGGCTTCATGAACCACGTAACCCTTTGTTCCCGGCGCGAAAATCCCTCATGTTCCTTGTCAAACGGTCTTAGTTGGCGCTCGGAGAGGTCATGGTGTGTTGTTCTCGAGCAATCCGGACCTCTCATGCCATAGGGGATGGAGCATTCGTGAACGAGAATACGATCACGTGCCGGTTGGTGTATGCCGAGTCACAGTCCGCTTCAAGAATATTTTTTGGGCCCAACAAGCGATTGGCCAATGGCTCCCGCTATTGGTACCTCCGTGGAATCAGACGAAGCGATACACGGGCCAACCTTGAGGAATTCTGGGTTCTACGTCCTCTATTCCGAGCTATGGTCAACCGTTACAACACGCATTGACCAACATCTGAAGAGTAAGCAGTGTCATCGCCCTCGGTTGGGCATCGTTGTCTCCCTGCGCACTAGCACGCCATGTGTTCACGGTAATTCGGGCATTTCTCATTTCCTACGCTACATGCTCGACCCCGAATTTTCCCTTTGTGGCCAGGCTAACAAACCTGTGTAGCACCATCGAGCTTCACCGATGGTGCTCGGCTGCTTCTCGCGTCCACTAGAGATACTCCTCAGTTCTGCTTGGCTGACACACAATGTGCCGGCCTTTCCACCATGGACTCGAAACACTGTTGGCCAGTCACCTTATCTCCTCAGGCTGCAGAGATGCGTCTTAGCTATTGCATCCGGTCATCCAGCATTGCCACTGGGATGGAACGCTAGCAACATCCGCATGCATGTTGCATTGCACGGACTGGCTCCTTCGTTCAGCTGATCTGTATCCCCACTCAACGGCTGGCTTTGCCCGTGGCCGGTCCGTTGTTAACTGACTAGGCCCTGCACGCTGACAGGCATTGCTCTCTTAGATAACAGGATGGCGTGGAGTTAATGCGGAACCTAGGCCGCCATCGCATATCGAGGTAATCATCTGGACCCCCGGACACACACTAGAACCAGCCAAAGCATGCCCCATCGGAGATCCTCTGACGTGGCGAGCGGTATATGGTTGATCAAAGGAGAAGCCATATCCCTGGCGTTCATCTCGCCATCTGTCATAGCTTTTACGAAAATGACCGCGTTGGCTCGCCTGCCTTTCCACGCATACTCAGCGAGGAATGCTTGCTCTTGGCCTATGAAAAGATTCTCCCAAATCGTACCGTCTTTACCGGTGAGCCCGAAATGATGTATAACAAGACATGGAGTATATGGTTTAGTCAATGCGGTGGCAATATGATGCAGCCTGCTTTCGTTAATCGACTCAACCAGTCTGCCTTGCCATCAAATGAGGCAACAATCCCACATTACCGAGCCAATTGCTTCACCTCAGTTAGATTGAGCTGTACGTCTACTATCATTCTCTTCAATTGCGTACTGGGCATCCATGGCATAAGTGCGGCAAAGTGAGCCTACTCCAAGTGATGCAGAAGGTGAGGTGTCCTTGTGGTGTCATCCGGCCCAACAACGGACTTGCGTCGTGCACGGAACCACACACCAGCCATCACAATAAACATGGCAACTGCGGCCACTGCTGCGACCGTAAGTAACCTTGCAAATAGTTGCGCAATCAATCGATCCGTTGCTGATTCCACCTCTTTTGGGCTTTCCTGACGTTGTGATTTGACTTTTCGTTGCATTGGCACGGAAATATGCCCAGCACTGCGCTCAGCGAGCGCCAGAACACCTTTCTCACCAAGACTTGACGTTGGATTTTGCTATGCGGCACTCCGCGCAGACTTCTCGTCATGTGAGAGCAACGCGATGCTGGGTACGCCGCGAGTACATGGGCTGCAATGGAACTAGATAATAAGGTCGCACGCAATTTTGATCCCGAGACGAGTGAGTGCTGTGCTCTTGTGGGCCGGAGCTGCGGTCACCGGCGCCCTTCGTGCATAACAAGGCTAAGCTGCGTGTTTGCGGATTGGCGGGTGCCGCTTCTTGGTGGGTCAAATCGGTCTGGCCAGACAGGTTACATGTCCCCGCGCAAGAGTGGTGTATGGTTGGTCAAGGCGGATGAGAACGTTCATGTATGCCGAGAAGTGTGCAGACTGGATGACGAAAGACCGCCTGGGAATAGGCAGACATCACTTCACGAGTTACACGCCTTGGTCAAGGCAAGGTCTGATCGAGATGAGTTCGAGTGTAATGTGATGAATGCGGTACGTTGACTAGGTGAAGCATTTGGATACGTAAAGGATGTCCACTACGTTCGAGATGTGGAAGGATCGAAGTGGCGGGACCTCAGGCTGAAAGTCCTGCATCGCCTTCGCTTGACCAAGGAGGAAGCATGTGCGTGACGCTGGAAGACTTCGCTCAAGCACGGAAAACTGTTGCATGCAACCAACCCCTAGCCGCATATGCACAAACGAGGAGGGATCAGGGGATAAGTTCATGGTCTGGCTGATGCCGCGAGATTCTTTGGCTGACTACTATACGAGCAGCCTGTCAGACCGATGATGGCGTGCAGGCACTGATCAGAAACAAAGAAACAGTCAATTAGCGGAGATGTGTTGTTCATGCGAAGGATGCGGAGGGAATGTTTTTCGCATGAATTTGGCCATCGTAATCGTGTTGGGTCACTGATATGGCCGAACAACAAAGTGCTGATCCGGAAGAACACCAACACACATTGATTGGGGCTGCCAAAGTCTATTGTGCCGTGCAAATGGCTTCCGTGGGCAAAGCGCCGAGAGTGTCGCATATATACAAAGCCATCAGTAAACTCATTACCGCCTCATGACGCAGAAAGAGGGGTACGCTCAGACAAGCTTACAGGTACTGCTCAGTTTCGGATTGCGGCAGTTACTGCTGGTATGAACCTCCAAAAACGGCTGAACATCGTACGTACTAAACTTGGCACACTCCAACAGCAATTGGAGACATACAAGCTAAGCATGTGGGGCGAAAGTAGCCTACGACATCGCACATTATCCCTCCTTAGTGGCCTATTTGTATCAGATAACTGGCCACCGGCGTCAGAATGCTCCAGCAAATTCATGGTCGAAGAGCTATACTATAACAAAGGCATAAATCGCCGCAATGATCCAATTGGTAGAAACGACTACAGTGACAAGGATATGCCGACACGATCGAGGTGTAAGGTCCGCTGGTCGCGTCGTCCTTAACAACCGAATGAGCGGTGACGAAACAGTAGCAAAAGGACCGATGTGACATGCACGGTAAGCCCAAACCCACCAGTGTAAGTGTGGGGAACGACCAGACGAGAACAACAAAGAAGTATCAGCACAGCCAATTGAACAAAAGTGGAAGCACAGTTTGTGCGACAACCGTATCGCGGCCGTTGTTGCGACCCAGCGCTTGACGAAACGGTGGCTCTCTACGCGCCCATAACCATTGACGTGGACTAAAATAACAACGGAGAAGAAAGCGAGCAAGCACCATCATGCTGCAAATAGTTGAGCCATTAGTTCGGAAGAGAGTCCGCACTTGTCAATTGCGTGTGCAGCAGCGTGCGTCATTAGCCTCATGCTCAACATCTAAGCGAGCGAAGGAAAATAACCTAGCCCGATTACCGGCCACGGGCATGAGATTGGGCGACGACGCTACATTATCAGATCCAGAAACCCGAGTGCGAATAGAGGTGGCGCTCGCGGGGCTTTCGTGACCTACAGTTAGTAGTTGGACGCGAGGCGGAAAAAGTCGGATAATATCTATGTAGCGATGTATGGATGAGTGTTCGTGGGTCTCAGCCAATGTATACTCAAAGGAACGGTGGCTTCCACAAATTCACCCTGTCTTCATGTACTGGTGAACTCGAAAGACTTGATGGCCCTTTACGTGGATAGCCGTTGGCAGGGTAGAAGGTTCAGAGGCGACAGTCCCAAAGGAGGCTGGAGAGCCGAGTGGAGTCAATCTAGAAGCGTGTTCATGTACGATGACGGATTGTGGCTGAGGCCTCCGCGATAATTCTGTCCAACGACGAGGGCCCAGTGATTTCAGATCAGTATACAAAGATGGCTGATACAGCCATGGCCGACGAGACACAGCCCTAGAAAGCTTGAGTATGGTACCCATTAGCAGCGCGCTTAGCCCTGTAGCTATACCTTGGTTCGTGATGTCTATCACAAAAACATGATGGGAGCATTGTTACATCAACAAGGGCCCGACAGTAATACCTACTTGTTATCCTTGTACCTGGGCCCTTCCAGGTAGGGAATGATTGCGCAACGAGCGGTGAGAACAACCACGGATCATCTATTCAGAAGAAGTTGAAGATTAGGCATGATGTGTCTTGGCATCGTCCTTCTCCGTGCCAAAGCGGTATTCTCCGATCGAACGCCAGCATGCCTTTTGAAGCATGCGGACTTCTCATAATAAAGCTGGGTCCCCTACATCGTCTCGAGTAGATACCAAAAATGTGTCCACATCAATTCTCAATTCCCAATCGTGGGAACGAAGCAGTCGCGCAAGTTGTCCAAAGGACGCGTTGGATCTGCGATTCTCAATTCTATGGCGTCCATGACTTCAAGCTTGCCGGCCCAGCCTTATACACACCATGTTATGCAACCTCCACTCTATTGATCAGATAGTATGAAGCTGATCTCGCGGTCGACAAACGGGTACGGGAGCGGGTGTTCGGATGTGGTTAAACGCGTTCTCTTCGTTTCGGTCGGTAAGAATCGATTGGAGCTGTGAGTTCTTCAAGTAGGTTCATCGTAAAACCAATTGACGGTAACGGTATTCTACTGTGTTAGTAACAGAAACCAGCGCATGGAGGCTCGAGTGGTCGTGAGGTGGATCGCATTCGCGTATTAGACAGGGGCGTTTGATGTTGCATTGGTATCATGGATGACTAACTATGGGGCTGTATATCGGCCCGGGAATAAAGTCATCTCCACTGCGCTCAACACCCAAAGCGGAGTTTCGTGCATACTGCTGTGAGTCGTGTCTGTGTTGTTCGAGGACTTCTCCTTAGCTTGTACCCATACCTGCGTACATCCTGTCTTTTTTGTTTATGTATCTCGCTTGCTTCAGCGGATCTCAATCACCATTCCTCTGGTGTTTACGTCTAACTCAATACAGCATCAACATTGCAACTATATCCGCATGCATCTGTTTTACCCTTTAGATGTCTGCCAACAGTATCTACCATCTACACGTTCTATAATAACGCGACTTACATCAAACACATGTCCACAGTAAATTGCTCCATTTTCATGACCCCTGTCTGGCTCTGGTGCATGGTTTTGTAGGAAGTCCCCCGCGACACGATACGCTACCACAGCTGGCCTCGCCCAAGCTCCCTCAAGATGTCTGGACCACATTGGATAACAACCAGGTCAAACTCTGGCTCGCGGCGTGAAGATCCACGATCAACCCTGCTCTACATATCAAAGTAGTTCCCAACCCGCAAGCTCTGCGCGACCTTACGAGCCAACATTTTCTCCGTTGCGACGAATGTGCTGTGTTTAACACCTAAAGCTCATCATGGCCGTCCCTGGCGCTCGCCTGGCATAACCGCCCATCCTTACTCTCTGCCAATGCCTCACTTCCCACACATCTGCGACACCAGAATAAGTTGCGTGGATCAAGTTTTCTCTTAATCTTCCTAAGTCTTTCATAATTGCCACCCCAAAACGCATACTGCCATTCCGGCTCATAGATGTCTCCTTCGTTGAAGTACGCTCCAGTGTTTGGGCTGAGTCTGCGGAGGGCTTCGGTCTTGTTGTACGTGGTATCAGTGTATACAGCATCGACGAGCTTTTGAGACGCAATGTCACCGAAAGGAGATACGACGATGAGGTGCGTAAGAGTCTCGCGCCATGCGGGATTAAGGGAGCTGTGGGTGGGGTAGTAACGTGGCTCGTTAGGCGAGGCGATCATGTGACCGATTAGGAGAGTGTTTGCTACCGGGCCCTATAGGTGCGGGTGTCAGCTCAGCATTGATAACGTGGCACCAAGCTAAGATAACTTACACTTGGTTTCAACGCTTCATTTCTGGGGCCAATCTCTGAGAGAACTGCCGCAGTCTTGTTCGCATTCGCTAGACTCTCGGCACTGAGTAACCTCGATCCATAAGCTGAACCGCCATTTGCGACTTGTTCGTTCGTGAAGTTGGCTTTATGCATCTCCAGGTACGTTTTCGTTTGCGTCATGACAGATTGCCATTCGAAAGCATAGTTCCTATCGTACAAGTACGCTTCCACAGGATCCATGAGTCGCTTGATCGTTCCACTCGGTGTGTCATAAAGCAGGAATGTCCATGAAAACGATAGAGTAGGGACTATAGGCGGCCCAACTACTAAGTAGTAACCTTGCATGCCGTTTTCCTTCAGCATCTGCATTTTTGAGTGCAAGAAGCCTAGGAAATCGTAGAACTCGGCTTCCGTGATCGAGCTTTTTGAACGAACTTGGAACGTATGCGCGATGGTGCTGGGAGAAGGAAATGTGCGGACGACAACCTCAGTGATAACCCCGAATGTACTTCCGCCTCCGCCTCGTATAGCAAAGAACAAATCTTCATTGCGACATGGGTTTGTAAGAACCACTTTGCCGTCCGGTGTAACAACGGTAGCTTCAAGCAAGTTATCAGCACCCATGCCATAACGAGTAGAGAGTGGACCATGACCACCACCTGTGAGCCATCCGATGAGCCCAACGCTTGGATTAGCGCCCGTCACGATGGCCATTCCATGCATCGCGACTGCTTCCTGAATATCAATATTCGTGTGACCGGCTGCTACGCGAACTGCAGTCAATGGCGTTTTGTAGGAACATGATGTGGGTTGAAAGGAAGGGATGTAGTCGATACCGCGCATATGGTGTGTCCAGATACTCAAACTGCCGTGTCCAGTACTGCGACCTTGGTATGAGTGGCCCGTCGCTTTGACAACGAGCCGGATGTTCCTTGCACCTGCCCATACCAAAGCTTTGCTGACTTGATCTGCGGAGGTCGCATTTACTACATAAGCTGGGTAATTGCCAATACTACAGCCATTTGCCCTATCGTATGGACTGCCAGTGATGCCAGTGCCGTTAGGAAATATGGGATTGCACGAGTTATTTGCCCATATCGGATAATCAATACTGACCGGATTCGTAGCGTGATATGAGGAATTGTACCATTCTGAGGCAACAGAAGCGCATGCTTGCTGATCGAATTCAGGTCGTGAAGGGTAACAAACTGCACCTGGAGGAATACCACGAATCAGTGCGCCATGGAGTGTTTTGTTCAAGTTGCTCCATTCATCAGTAGACGGCCAGCAGATTTCATCCGGTGTCTATCACCCGCATTAGCAGTGGTCTATATCTGTGGTCATTTCGACTCACACACTTGCACTTCTGTCCCGCTGCGTCGGCATGGGTAATGATAGATAGCAGGCAGGCAAGAGATACAATGAATCGTATGCTGAGCATGGTCAGATGCAATCGAGACGGAGTATGTACAGTGTCGGGTTCTGTGTAAGAACTACGTCCACGTTTGATCAACTCGTAGATGGACGGGGTCGGATGGATGGGGATGGATCAGTCCAGACAGCAATGAGTAGAACCAGTCAAGATAGCCTGTCTTCATCAGTATAAATATGAGATATTTTTCGGTAATCTTTCCTGTTATATCAGCCTGACTATACCTTGAGTGATAAAAAGTGGGATATGCCAACGACTAGTCGTGTACATCCAGGATATATTGCCATCAAGATAGTGAATAGGGAGAAGTCGTATGAAGAGACGGAACCATGAGACTGCAGAATCCAGACAGTGTGCGATAAATATGATTCAAATCGTGTTCCTAAAACTGTGATGGCTGACAGGCCAGGGTCCGGTGAGGGGCGAACACGTGACTAGCCCCGATTTTGTTGATCCTTCGTCTTCTCATTCCATCCCAAGAGGGCTGTCGTTGCGAGCAGACAGCTGATATGATATGTAGGAGATTTTTGGACCTTGAGATTTCACCCAGTGTGATGTAAAGACATCCCCATCAGCTTCCACTGTCTCGCGTAGCTGACCAGCCAGGCTGCAAGAGTGATGATAACAATGCAGCCGCTTCAACCTCAGCGCGATCCATCGTGTTGCAGATGGGTATCTGATATGAGATCGCGAGTCTCTCTTTCCGTGATAATGCCAGCGCGTGATGATGAACGCCGCGATGACCTGGCAAAGAGAAGACGTCAGCTTCGTGCGCTTTAAGTCGCACAGGACAAACATACCTTCAAATTTGATTCAAGCAGGCCTCCGATGCCTCTTGCTCAGTCTTCTCCGAACACGACTTGGCTTACGCACTGGTATTTGCTCGTGGCTCGGTGCTAGAATAGGTCGTTCGGCGGCATGCATGTCGCTACCGGCTACACTTGCCCCATCCCTTAACCCACGACGCTCTTCATCCTGACATTGAACATCGAAAAGCGATGACCTCCAGTTCGAAGACTCTTCCGCCATGCCTCCTGAGCTCCTTACTAGCACGCGCCGCGATCGCTGCATGTCGCTGACATCCGGCTCTCTCCGGAACAAAGCATCACTGAAGATGCGCTTGAAGAACCTGGGCATGGTTGATCGCAGCAACTCGCAAAACAAAGGATATAATTGCAGGTGAATATTATGCAGGGACTAGCAGGATGCGACAAGCTTATCAAGTCTGTGTTGATGTTTTGGTGGCGAAGATGAGGGCGGCAATTGCGGGGGGCGGGCACCCCTGTTGGGATGATGGGCAGCGCGATTGGCCAGTATAAGAGGGCCGTGATGTTGATCTCGAACGGCCTCAGCCATCCTCCTCTCCTGGACGCGGCAAAGCCACTCTGCAAGCGTGTCGAGCTTGTCAAATGAGTTAGCTATTATGATGTAAGGATGGCCGGAACAAATATGTCATTGCTGGTGTTCAAGGTTGCGCTAAAGACCTTCTCGTTTACGTACTGACATCGAGACCTGAGAATGGGCTATCTATGCATTGACCTGGTCTGCGACAGCAATACTTGTTACAGCTCTCCTTCTATCAGCGGAGGTATCACCAGCTATCGTCGGGCTCCACTTTCGCGTCCCGGATCCTCTTCATGCACTCCTCTTAAGAGCGGTTGAACCAATCCTCTTCCATGGTATGTGCCCATACCATCTCTCCAATCCTACGGCCGTTGCACATACAGACCTCTTCATCACATATCCGAACCATCCTTCTTCCGATAGATTGGCTACTCGTCACCATGAAGCCCTGAGTCTTCAAGCCATAGACCACTGGGCATACCGCATTGATGTAGCTTAGACGTTCATAGACCGAAACCCGTCGGAAGGCGATGTGCAGCTCAAAATCCTTCTTTCGCGCGACGCTCGCCTCCGTCGACAGAGCAGAGAGCGATTGACATGTTTGTTGGATGTGGACTGCTCGACCTCCTGGTCTGCCGGAATAGGAGTCCGATGTTGACGCGGGCCCAATGACGACTTGCAGCTTCCTGAGGAATTTATGTGTGGGAACGGACGGTGCTCCATTGTTATACAGCACTCCATCTTCGTCTTGCAAGAGCTGTGGCAGAAGTTTTACGTCGACCGAAAGAGATACGTGCTTGTACCAGGTCTCTACCGCTTCTTTTGCAAACTCATATCCAACCTCGTCCTCTATCATCCAGTACGGAGTTTCATAGGCTTTGACGATAGGCTCGAATTCATGCGAGTTATCGTGTGGATGTATGGTACTATTGTCCACGATCTCGAATGGTTCGTCCTGACTATCTTGGTACAGCTCCAGGTAGATCATGTCTCGGAGCTCGCGGGGTAGTTTTTCCAGCATTGCATTCAGCAGCTTCTGTCGAGTTTCTCGGTATCGCTCGGCTTTCCGTTCTGCAGACTGTCTTCCAAAGTCAGTGTAAGTCACATGTCTAGTGAGTCTTCTTGTATCTTACTGGTGCAAGTACGAACGCGCATCCAATAACTCCTGTATAGCCCAATCGGCCACCTGTGCCACACCTTCAATCTGGAGTATTCTTTTGAAAATCAGCATCGAGCTCGTATATTGGACGGAGAAATTGCTCACTGCTCATCCATCCCGCGGATTTTCGATTCAGTACGGGGACTTAAATCACCTTGTACAGACATATCGGGGGTTGGGTGGTATCGATCGTGGTTTCAGTTGTGAGGAGTAAGAGTGGTCAGGCCGGACTCTGATACCCGAGTGTTTATAGTAGAGATTGAGGTTGAACCAAGTTTGCTAGTTGTCGCACGAGCCTTTACTAACCGAGGAAGGCAGTGCATGATCTGAACCAGTGGATCCGCCGTAGGTACGACAAACGAGACGCACATGACGTAAGTGATACCAATTCGACTCAACGACCAATCTAGAGTTGTCGCCAACAGATCATGCAATTTTGAAGAAACTGTGCAATCAAATCTCTAGATTTATTACGCGCACCACACCTTTCGCTCCAATGGCATTTTCTTAGGTTTTTCAGTCGCGCGCATTCGCGCGCCCAGGCATCTATCTTTTGGCGCTTACTGCCTTCCGCAACAGCACTCCGACTATTGTATATCTGTACGTTATCCCAGAATTTGCGTTTTCTGGACCATGAGGAAGCCATATTGTTTGTGTCGGACTCTCCATTGGAAGATGTGTTGCATTGGTCGTTCACTTTACGCTTGTTGCAGTCGGCTTTTTCCCCGAGGGCATCTTTTGCGACGGAATTACGTCCGAGTATATCATTCGCTATTTCCTCGCCTTGCGATTCAGAGTGCAAAGTATTGGCGCTCATGTCAAACGTTGCCTCATGCGAAGATGCTAACAATCGCTGATCTATTGCGCTTTCGATCCTGTCTTTTCGGCTGATTGCACACTTTGCATCGACCCCGTCGTTGGTAGGGCTTTCATCGTCAAATGTCGTTGTAGTGTGGCAAGATGGTGGAGTGACCATACCATCTTTTATGGAGAGCCACTTCATAATATGGTTATTGTCATGGTTGGCATTAAGCGCCTCGAGATCACCCTCAGATAGATACAGATTCGCGGCTGGGTCGACAAGAGATTCAGAAGTCGTGAAAAGACTCGCATTTAGTACATGCTCTTCTGCCTCCTCGAACGCTTTTTCAGCGTCGCGTAATTCGCATGTTAGCTTTTGACCTTGTTGTACCCAGAGTGGACCAAACATAGGGGCCAGCTCTGCCGCTGGTAGAGTGGCATGCCTTCGAGCGAATTTGCTGAATTCATCCTTATAGCAGCGTCGATGATTTGTGTAAGCTTTCTCGGCCTTTTGTAATGCTACTCTTGCCAAGAGTAGTTTGTCCTTAAGTTTAGCTTCTTCTAAAAGCTGGGCGTGCTCATTTCCCTGAGTTTCGTGAAAGGGAACAACTTCGTTGCTGCTCGAGTTGTCTTTATTTGTAGAGTTGCCCTTGAACAGGACCATGGCCCAAATTTCTCGAGCGCTTGATTCCGATGGTTCTTTCGCTGACGTGTGATGTGATTTAACCTCCGTGTCTTCAGATGCGGCGGTTTCTACATACGATTCGTCCTCACTGGCCAAAGAACCTTTGCGCCCCACCTCCTTATGATCGGGTAATATGCCAGCCTTGATGAAAGCATTGTCATGGCTAATAGAGATAGCCTCCATACACTTAATCCACTGCTCTTTCAAGTCTTGCTCTTTAGACCTTATGATTGCTTTTTATTTATGGAGTTGCAGTATGCGTCCTTCTATCTCTTGTGATTCATCTTGTAACCTCGACATCTTCGTGTGATATTGATCACGTTGGTCTTGACCAGACATGAGACTGAGACGCTCGGCCCTGGTTATTGCCGATTTAGAGAGCGAGAAATATGTTGAAGGTCATAGATCTTCTTGTCGATACTTGCAATGTCGCCCTTGGAACGGCCCTCGAGTTCCCCATGGTCACGTTGAAGCTTTACACACTCTAACATCCACTGACCAAGTTGATGAGAGAGCAAAAGCGCCATGACCGGCTTTCCGTTCACAGGTATCTCAATGAAAGTGGCCGAGCCGGCCTTGTAGTTCGTTTCAGATTCTTCATCTCTCTCCTCAGTTTGTCAAAGTCTGAACCCCTCCGTTACTGGTTCGGCCACCTCTGGAATTGCAGCTAGATCGCCAGGACATGGAAGTCGGCGATTGAGAGGTGAGTCCTTGGTTTTGGTAACGTTCGCTTGCTCGTTTGACATCTGGTGTTTGTCAACGAAGAATGTTGTGTCAAGATTGCAAGCGATCTGAGTCCTGAATGCCTGTCGCTGATTTAGATGTGCAAAGTGATTGAAGTTCGGATCAGTTCGAGATTCAGTCAGAATCTTTGAGGACTGTGTAGTTGTAGACAGAAGTGGTATCGCGGACGGTGAAACCTCTTTGTCAGTAATCATGAATGACACACAAGATTCTTTGTCCTCCCGCAAGATAATCGAGTCCGCTGTGTAAATCTGGAGTGATGTCCGCCAACCTTATCGGACTTTTATATAATAATGTAGACGCTACACGGGCCATCCTGTCAATCATAGGGAAAGCTTCGGGATTTCCTCTGTTACAGTTATCTCGCTAAGCGTTGAACCATTGCGACTATAGCGCGATCTACATGATCTTGGGCATTAATTCGACGGGCGTTCGCATGGTTCAAGTTACAATGGTTACAACGTGTTAATTGCCAAGAAATATAGGGATTACACTGCTTTCTGGTGGCGTGAAACAGCCAAAAAAGGAGGTGCTACCTTCTAGCCTCGCGGCTTTGGAGTCAAGTTCGAGGTTTCTTTCATTGTCGAGCGAAGGCGAAGAGACCGGTTTCAAGAACATCGGTTGTTGCCTTGGAGCTAGCTAGAGATTATGATCCAAGCTTTGGCTATCGAATTATTCACTAGATGTCCTGATATTCCGCGCTCGCTGTTGTAGGCGCTCTGACTAGAACCATGTGCAGCGTTTTCACCGGCAGAGCATCAGGCGCACCTTGATTCATGAAGGCTGGAATGCGTCGTGTCCTAATCTCTGCGTCGATGGTTGATCTCCTCAACTCAACCAACATCTCATCCACAAGTTCAACTCGTACTTAAGCGCAAGTCCCGAACACCCACAACCTCGAAAACGCGGGACACGGATCTTAGAGACTTGTCTTCTCCCGATCTCCTCACGTCTTCCGGACTGGCTGATCGAAGGCACCTTGCTTTGACATGGCGAGCCGAGGGAGGAAGAGAAAACATGGCAATGAAGACAGGGCACATGGAGAGCCGCATCAGAAACACGTGAAGGTACCAGACAAGAAGACGCCTCGTAAGTGACCAGACCTGAAGCAAACATAACACCCGGGCGTTCAGGACTTATCATTTCAGGTTCTTCGACGGGGGAATCTGACTATACACACCTGAAGCGTGGCAAATATACTTGGTCCATTCCATCTAGCAACATATCTTCACTGGATGCGAATACAGTGTCGGAGTCTTTGATTGATGATATCGCTCATCATGGCATTGTTGAGCCATCTCCGATAGAGATGCGCAGACAAATGGGGAAAATAGTAGCCTGGAACGAGATCAAAGAAAAGGTAACAGAGGAGGAGTTCCGCAAGATCGATACCGGGACAACCATCTGGGAGATCACGGCTGAGAAGACGACGAACGAGATTGCTACTTACAGGAATTTCGACTATGTTCCAACTCCCGATGGTCTTTATTGCCTCAAGGGAGCGCCCTGGATCATCGAGGTCGTTAACAAAGGGTCGTAGAGTTATGATTGCAAGAGAATGACTCAACACGAAAAACGGGGCGATGAGAAGCTGACAGCATCACAGCTCACCCAGACAGTACGGTTGCTCTATCCAGATGGAAAGAACACTTCTAATGTTCGTAATCTTCCTGTGCTCAGCGTCGGTTGGTGCAAGCATCCGCTAACAGGCGACGGGATCTCGCTCGTCAGTTCGAACGAATCGAAGACCACCCGGGCTACAAAGGGTATGTTCGTTGTCGGCGAGCTTGACCAATCCTCGAAACTGGCCTGGCTTGACATGTGCCACCGATCTAAGACTGAGAAGCTTCGAGTTGCGCGTGAAAAGCTTGAGGCAGCATGATTGGTCGACTCTGCCGTCCCTAACCTCCTACCGAAGTCGAGCAGGCGGGATTCCCAAGCCCTAATTTGTTAGATGCGAAAGACATATCGAATCACACAGCCTTTGAGCAGTTCGTCGATAGTGGGCTTGGATCCGAAGCGCCATCACCACCCCCAGATGGCTAACTCAACGCTGCTGAGCCTCTGCAGCATGGAGAACGGGCGAAGTGTCCAGGTTACGTTGAATCCGCGCGCTCGTTGAGATCAAACTCCGTATGGAAAATAGCCCAACCTACAAATGTCGCCAGGAATTCGGGGTAATGAGTCCAATGACAACGACTCTCGCACATGTCCCGACGTATGTCGACTTGCTACCCGCCATATCGTGGAGCTGAGTTGAGTTATCGCATGCATAGCGATCTAGGTGTTCCCGACCTAGCGATGATGGAAGTACAAGGTGGTGGTACCGAAAGTTCACGTTAGTAGCCTCTTTCAGCATGCCTCCAGGGACTCATCATGACTTCACATTAGTTTCCCCTCCCTCATGAAAGGGCTCATGAAAAGCAGCTCAGCTTAGCAATAGAAAACCATTGTACTAGCGAGATTTGCTTACGTAAATGACTAGATGCGATGAAATTATTCGATGGCTGGTGTAAAGAGAAGCACGAAGGTTGACGAAGCGAATGAACCCAGTTAGACGGACCATGCCTCCACGCTAACGGGAACCGAAGCCGCTATGACGTCAATCCAATAAACCGATATGCGTCGCGTCTGTCACAACACGATGCAATACTTCCTTGATATTCTGGCAAGCGTTTCTCATTCCAATCCTGTGTACGCACGGTAAGTTTTGAACACAGTGACTTGGGCGCGCCAGTCATGCTTATTGTCCGCATCGAAACCACATGCATGACTAGGATGATCGAAATAGCTTTTGGTTCTTTTGCTGAAGCGACTACTCTACAAAGATCCGAAAACATCCACTGAGCATCTCCATCGTAGCGCCAAAACTCCCAACTCCATCAACTTTCCAGCGCAAGTCAAAGTAGCATATCCATCCCCTCACCAAGATATTGCCAACTCCCGAGAGTCGTTGGACCTAGTATCGATCTCTTAGCTGACAAAATGCGCAATTTCGACAGTGCTTCGCCCGGATGCGCGCCGTGGTATCGAGAGGCTCCGTTGGGAAACATGTGGGTTCTCGGCCACTGCTATCATCTGCCCACTGTGCGATTGTCATCCAGTCTGGAATATTGCCGAGCTTTCTAATCCGGTCTTCGATCTCGTCGGTAGAGTATGTGTCGGTACTGCGGGAACTGAGAGCTGGTGGGATGACGAGGGCTTCTGGAGTGCTGTAGCCTAACGAAACGACTGCCGGGAGTACGCGCGGCGAGCTTTTGTGCTCAAGGCCTGGCGCGAAGAGCTTCTGTGGGACAACTATTGGCATGCGGGGTGTAGATATAGGTGTGGATTCAGTAGTGGCTGGACTCCCGACCTCGAGCATAGTAGGCGCCCCATGGACCAGAGCACGTCGATTGCCAGCGACATCAGCCCAAGTGGTGCCCTGCGACGCAGCAGTAGGATCTTTCGCAACGTGCGGTTCCATGGGTGGAGTGAAGACCGGCCCCTCTTCTTGTACCGGCTCCTCGTCATAGCACTCCGCTTCGTCTTCTTGCGCAGCGCCTCGCGACCGAGTGACTTGTCCTTGGTCCCTCAGGTATCTTACTGACTGCTTCTGGTTGTACGTCTCTACCTTTAGCACGACATGCGCTAAGCGGGTCTGGTCTGTCTCCGCTTGAGCGCGCGCCGCTTCGTCCTTTGTACGGAAGCCGATGACAATCGTAGTGACATTACTGTTAGGATATACGTTTTTGATGCTTGCTGGATTGTATTTGGCGAACAGATCGCGGATCTCGTCAGTCGCAAAGTAGCCGGGAACGTTCTTGACGAAGATGAGGTGCTCGTTTGGCGCTTTAGTGCTATGGAGCAAAGGCATCGTATCGGTGGAGCAGCGGCGTAGAGATTTTTGTCTGTCGAGGCGAAGTTGCGATAGTGTTGGGATTGGAAAAGGTCTAGTCGATCTTTGAGTTATAAGCGATGACTTGTACCGAAGTGAATGTAGTGATAGGAATCGAGCAAGAGTGAACGTCGTGTCCTTCAAAGCTGTTCAGAATGTTCGCCTGTCAGCTTAGCGAGTAGGGGAAGAGTCTAAAGGTCCTACAGTCTTGCTTCAAGAGTTGCGCGCGCGTTGTCAGCGAGACGTAGTCGTGCAGGTAAAAGAGGATTTCAGACGATGCCGACGCAGCCAACTCCCATTATGTTCTTGGTACGCGAACAGATGGCACGGTGCGTAAGCGAATGACACGAGCTGAAGAGATGTTCAATGAACGCGCGACTTCTGAAAGTGATCAATCGCATCGTAATCGGCTCAACATAATCCACCAGGGTCTCTTACGTCGCCAGATAGTACAAAATGAATCTAGGATCCTACGGTCACTCAACAGAGGTATCCTTAGAGTTATCATCACGCAGATCGTGACAAGGCATACAATTAACGTTGTGATATTACGACAGTGTTGTAAATCGGAGCATGTTGTTGTTCTAGAGTAACATTGCAACATCGCATTTAGCTTAGCTTGTCTTGGATCTGCCCACCTGCTGGCGCACCTAAGTATCCCTGCAGGTACATGCATACGAAGCGTAGCAAGGACAAGGGTCACTCTTGCTCAAATGCTCGTATATCTTGATGGTATCATCGGTGTCGCAAGATCAAATCTTTTCGGGAACTCTGGTCGTACCTGAGCACATACATCAAGTCAATCCTCAACTTCAAATATCAAAATAAAATTGTTGTAAAAGGGGTATTCATTATATATTCATTTTAGGCTTCTTTGGCCAAATCATCTATCTAGACCTTAACAATAACCTTGTGGGGCGCATCCTTCTCCTCGGGCTCGCCGAAGATGTTGACCGGCCAGCGGGGCTTGTTGGCGATGTATGGGATGTTGAAGCGGCGAGGCTCATCCTTGCCGATCTGCTCAACCTTCTGGAAGTCGTCTTCTGACAGCTCAACCTCCTTGAAGTTCTCTTGGATGCGGGATGCGGTGACGGACTTGGGGATGACGGAGTGGCCACCCTTCTGGGCCCAGGCGAGGATAACTTGTGCGGGGGTGGCGCCAATGCGGCTGGCAATCTCCTTGATGACCTTGTGCTGGACGAGAAGGGGCTCGCCGATCATGTTGTTACCGAAAGCCTGAGTGGTGTTAGTATATGTCAGCCTGCATGGTATGAAGAAACTTACGGAGTACTCGGTGATGTGAATGTTCTTCTCCTTGCAGTACTGGATGAGCTCTGGCTGGAGGAGACGCGGGTGACGCTCAATCTGGTTGGCAGCGGGAGTGACACCAGTGCCGTCAATGAGGGCCTGGAGGTGCTCCTTTGTGTGGTTGGAGACACCAACAGCACGCGCCTTCTCCTTGGGCAGCTGTGTCATGGCCTTCCATGTGTCGACAATGGAGATGTCGTCGAGCATCTTAACGTCCTCGCCCTCCAGAGGGAAGAGGTTGTTGTGTACATCGCCACGCTCATCGAAAGCGACGGGGAAGTGGACGAGGTAAAGGTCTAGGTACTCGAGGCCAAGCTCAGCCAGGCAGTCGTCAAGAGCGCCGGGGACGTCCTTGGGTCGGTGCTGGGAGTTCCAGAGCTTGGATGTGATGAAGACGTCCTCACGCTTGAGGTTGGGGACCTCGCCGCCGAAGGCCTTCTTGAGAGCCTCAGCGATCTCCTTCTGGTTGCCATAGACCTTGGCGAGATCCAGGTGACGGTAACCAGCCTTGAGAGCCTCGAGGACAGCGGCGCCGACCTGACCAGGCTCGGCCTGCCATGTGCCGAAACCAAGTTGGCTGTAACTATTAGCAGCCGCCATATATCCACGGGGTGTTTGTTTGGGTACTCACGGAATGGCAGCGCCAGTGTTGAGAGTAACCTTCCTTCCGAGAGACATGATTGCAATTGAGTTGTTTGGGGTATAGAGAGAAAAAGTAAAGAGTTTGTGATGGTCTCGAATGCGGGTGTTCTGGACTTTTAAACGTTGTCTGGGGAAAAAGTTATCGGAGGCGGGATGGAGGGGCTGTCGGAGACGTCACCGAGCCCCAGACGGCGACATCTCCATTTTGGTAGCCGCCTCCGCGCGTCAACTCCCTCCGACGGTCCACCTCGCAAACTTTTGCGTCATGTATTGATGCGCCTTCACCAGATTCCAGGTAGCCGTGTCTCAACAAGCATCATCCATCGGCGCTATGGGGTTGATGAGGCTTAACAGCATCTGCCGGCGATCTACCGCGGAGTTGTTGCCCTGTCATTGGTGGATGAAATGTGGCAAATGCGAAGTTTCTGTACGCGGCGTCAGGGACTGGGTCGTAAACTGCCTGTTGTGTAGTATAGGCGCCGGGTAGCTATGGCGGTTGCATGTCGAGAAAGGGGTTGGGTTGGAGGTATCATCGGCGGCATCTGGGGAAGAATTGCCTCGGAACGGAGGATGTCGTTTAGGAGTGACCCACTCTACCTCCACGTCGCCTCTTCCTTCGCGGTTAAGACATGTGAACGTCATCTCATTCTAGCATGTCTTCCGCTCACATTTGTTGTATATGACGAGCACTCCGCATATCTCCGACTTCGACTCTGACGCATGCACTACTCAAAAGATCGTTTGCGCGTTACTAAGCGGCTAGCTGAATGGAGTAGTTACTTGGACTTCTACTATATTGCAATCACCTTGTTCCACTCACGAGAACCTCTGTATATCTGACACCACGGCACACTCCAAAGGTATTTGTGAGCTTTTGTATAATCAGCAATCAGAACGGGGCACAGTGCATACTTCCAGGTACATTTGCGTAGCAAGTCAAAAGGAGCACAAGAACGACTCTGTACAGACTCAATTTGAAGCTAAGTAGTCGAGTCCTGGTAGAGGAGCGTGGAAGGATCTAGCTGGTCTCGATCTTCCTCCCTGACTTCTTCTTCTACGATTCGAATAGTACCAGCAGACCCAGAAGCCGCGACATCCTGCGAAGCAGTCGGTGGAGCCAGCAAAGCAGCCCACCTTACACGCTCTCCGTCTTCATCAACAGGTCTCAAGAAAATAGAAACATTCTGCCAAACGCCAACCATGTATCCCATGCCCATGCATTAATATACGTACAGCCCATGCTGGTTAACTCCATAATCCTTCGCCAACGATGACCGATAGTGCGGTACATGGTAGACTCCTAATCGTCGCTGTCGTACTCATCTTCCTCGGCCAATAAAGCAGGGTACTGGCGGCGACGTAGATCCTCCTGGAGGCCGCCTTCGCTTTCGGGATCGACATAACCTCCTCCACCTACGAGAGAAAGTAGTACAGGAAGTAGGACAAGCGCATGTGTGCTTGCCCATAATACGAGGGCAACCCAGACGCGGAAGTAGTAGATTTCGAAGATCTAGTGCGCTGTTAGCATATGGCGCTGGCGTCAAGACGGAGATGATACATACCTTACTCCTAGTGAAAGCTAATACACCCACACCCAAGATCTTCGTGATTGTGATACCACTAATGACGCTACTGGCCACGTTGACCATGGCAGTCCAGGCACGAGCATCACGACCGCGGAAGCGGTGCCTTGGCGCTTTCTCCATAGTAGCACGGCTAGGGAAGGTGAACGCACGGGCGATGTGTGCCGTAAACTCAACACTGATACCAACGCAGATGATAAGGTTGACGAGTGACACTGCGTTGAGTGATACACCAAGGACAGCCATAGAGCCAATGATGGCAGACACAGTCATACCAACAACGAGGGTGACAACCAGACCGGTGGCAATGGAGCCCAGCATTATAGTGGTAATGACCAATACTGCGGCAAGAGCAGACCCGATGAGCGCACCGGCTAGTCGAACAATGGTTGTGTACTGATCGAAGAAGATATAGAACTTGGAGTATGGGAAGACTTCTGCATCCACATCCTTGGAGATTTCCTTTGAGATGCGACGTGCGGCAGTATAGGCAGAGATGAAGTCCTTCTGAGAACGAAGAGGCGTATGTGAAGTGCGGAAGTGGGATGCGGGGATGGTGAGGCGCTTGGAGTCAATGACGAGAGCATCGGAATAAGCAGCCTTTCCACCAAGAGGACAGTCTTCGGTGGTATCCGCCTCAATCCAGAGCTTGAGGTAGTGGATGAATTCCTCACCTTCGGGCATGCCAGACAAAGTCATGTTCCAAGGTGGTTGGCGGTCCTGAAAGCATGGCTTTCCCTTGTCGTCGACGCAGCACTTTTCATTCTCAGGGTTTAGCCACAGGAAGTAGTCATCCAGCCAGTTGGCAGCTGAAGCTGCTAGGTGTGAGACCTCAGGTCGCTTGCGCTCCGCTTCGATGATGTTGGCCAAGCTCTCTCGGTCGCAAGTAGAGAAGCGTCCACATAACTCTTTTTGAGGCTTTCGCTCGGTAACGTTCAGCTCCTTGGTGACGAAGTAAACAGGAGGGCCGACGTCGAGGTAATCGTAAAGATCGTTGAAGTAAGGAATGAGATAAGAATCGCTTGGGATAGCAATGCGTTGATCAAGACCGAGCTCTACGCTGGGAAAGAGGGCGAGACCAGCTGTGAAGATGCCGAAGAACAGCGCAATAATACCGACCTTCGTCTTCTTTCCTAGAATTGCCGGAGCATACGTCTTACGAATGAAGCGCTGTAGTGCACCTTCTTCGCCCGCGCCGTATCCCATACCGCCATTGAGGTAGCCAGGATCGGCCTTGCCGACACGAACACAGGGGAAGCAGTCAGCACGGTTTGTCTCAACGCGTTGCTGGTTCAAAGCAAGCACAGCGATGAACATGGTTACTTGAAGAATGGCGTTGATGAAGACAGCTCCGGCGGCATATGCTGCGAAGTTTCGGACAGCTGGCATACCTACTGCGCATCCAAGAGCGAAGGCGGTGGTTTCGGTAAGCGCGGAAAGCAGAATCGAAGGACCCATGCGCCCGAGAGCACGCGACACGCGCTCCGGAATACTGCCTTCAGGGTGGCTGATGTTGATGCGCTCAAACTCGTGCACGATGAGAAAGATGTTGTCAACACCGACAGCCAAGACAAGGAATGGAATGACCTCTGCAATAATCAAGGTGACCTTGATGCCAGCTGCCGAGAATAGACCAACGGATGCAGATACTGACATGAGTACAATCAAAATGCCGACAGTACCGAGCATGAACTTGGATTGCACGAGAGCATTCGCCGGGTTGCGAAGGACGGACCGTACGGTGAGGGTGGTAGAGCCCAAAGCCAGGGAAGCGTACAAGAACATAATGATGTAGCTGATGACCACAATCTTGGCATCTGTGTTGGTGCTCTTGCTCAGCTCCTGCTCAAGACTGACTTCGGTATTGAAGCTCAGACGCAGACCTCTCTTGTGAGCTTCGTCAGATACAAACTTAAGGTAATTCTTCATCTCATTTTCAAAGTCCATAGCGCGCTGCTCTTCTGGGGTACCCTTGGGGTAGTTCTGCACAACCCAGGTGACGACGAGTGCTTTCGCGTCCAAGACGGTTTCGTTGACGCCACCAAAGAGAAGATGAGGGTCGAGCGGCTGCTGGAAAGTGGGCAGACATTGGGAAGGATTGTCGACACATTGCAGTAGGTCGTCTTGCCAGCTGTCAGGGGACACGTTTGCGAAGTCGCCTTGAAAGTATCCAGTCACAGACTGAACGACACAGTCGTCGCCTACTGGTTTGAAACAGACTTTGTCAAGCGTCACACCATGTTCGTAGGACTTGAGACGCTGGATCTGATTCTCTACACCGAACCACCAGTCAAGCGTCTCGTAACTGAGAACAGGACCGGAACCTTCAAGCGTGTCGTTGACGAGGAAGGCTTGTTCAGCACGGAAGAAAGGACCAAACTTCTCATCAAAGAAGGCTTTTTCCTGCGCCGCAGCTGAGTCGGGAGAAACCCATAGGTTGACAGGGTCGGTTTCAATTTGGAAGCGCAACCATCCCAAGCTCATCAGACCAACTACTATGACACTGGTAACAATGGTGATGGCAGGGAAGCGAGCGCAGATGTACCCGAGGCGGCTGAACATGCGGTCGCACCATGTGTTGATGAAATAGTGTTTGGTAGGGCGATCCAGCATGCCAACGTTGTGTACTATATCGCCCTCGTCCTCATCGTCACTAGGGCTTGTATCCTGCAAGAGGCGCATGCGCTCAGTCTTATGTTTCGAATGGTTCTTGTAGGCAACGTGGCCTGCGACGGCGGTGCATAGCAAGCCAAGGAAGAACGAATAGATTATGATGACGGCGAAGGAGAGGCACGGCAGTAGGCCAACGTGACACTGCTTCTCCTCTTGAACTTCCGGCAGCTCAGTGCAGGAGCCGCCGCAATCGAGGCAGGCGCAACGGTACTTTTCGTCGTCGGTATCGCAAGGGTAGGCGTGCTTGTTCATCGCGTCCATTCCAGGAAAGTCGGCCTCGTTTGGTCGGGGGAAGTTGATCTGGAAGGGCGAGCCCAGGAACTTCTTGTCGCCAAGGAACTTTAGAAACAGTGTGTAGTTCTTCGCACCTCCTCCAATGAAGTCCATAGCCTTGCCATTTGTCGCACCGAACTTGACATCCTTGCAGCTGTCGTAGAAAGTCGACGCGTACTTGTCGGATACCAGGTTGTCCAACTCGGTCACCAAGTACTTGTCTCCCTTCGGCTCGGTTTTTGTGACGTTAATGAAGGTGGACTGATCAGGAGAGCAAGTGAAGGTACAGAACTGGTTGTAGAAGTTCTCCTTGCAAGCAGGGCAGGCGTTGATGATAGGCGTGGCGCGGTCGAGGTTCGTCTTGAGAGCGTCAAGTTGGTCTTCGTCGCAACAGACGTCACTGTCAGACCACTGGTCACCGCAGATGTCGACCAGCTTCTTGCGCACGGCATCGTCTGGCGTCTTCGCTAGACCGTTATCAGGGCAGGGCAGCTCTGATCCGAAGAAGCTCTGCTTTCCGCATTGGCCACGTATCGCGCACCTTCCCTTTTCGTGTTTCGTCGTGAGGTCTGGTCCTGCGAGAGCTGATCCGGCGAGGACGGAGACTAGGCCAATCGTCATGGCCTTCCATCCTCGCGTGCTTGACCGCACCATCTTGTTCGATGCGCCTGAGCGCTGAGGCTAGGCGAGCCTCGTTATCGTAGGGAGAACGGAATGCGAACGTATACTGGATGTTGCGAGGAAGCTGAAGATGTAATGGGGTTTGCGGACGATGCGTTGTGGATGACGATGCGTGCGAGCCGAGGTGGCGGGTGAAGCTATCGGGAGCTCTGAGGGTGCGAGAACGGAGAACAATTAACACAGTATCGTTGTCGTCGAGGTAACGAAAGAATGACGCAGGTAGCACAAGTCGGCTTGCGCGACGCTTGATAGAGTATGCACGGATACAGGTCCACTGTAGAGATGAGTGTTGTTATGAGGCGTGGGCGCGCAGGCAACGGCACAAGTCTGGGGTGCAGACGTCACTGCCCCGGCTTGGCTAAAATGCGCGCCAGCCAGGAACCATGATCGTCCCCTGTCACGCGTGTCAGCCACCACCAATGTGAAATCATGCAGCTATCACACAACAAAATCTATTTAGTGCTCTGTCTATATCGAACGTTCATTCATGCTACATGGTATCGTAAAACTGTATCTATATCCCATCCTACTATTCCATGCCCAAATCCATTCCTTGTGTCTTTCGACGGGTATCCCTCTCTTTTAGCAAAACGAAACCTCCCTACTTGCGCAGATATTGCACCAGCTCAACAAGCTGCGAGCGCGTCTCATCCTCGAGCTGCTCCTCAGGCGGGCTGAGAACCTTCTCAAACACAGGCATCAGCGAAGATGTGAGCTGCTGCACTGTAGGCTCGTTTTGTTGGTAAAGCTTGACGATCATGCCAAACACGGGCTTGTTCTCCTCGTAGTCCTCACGGAGAGGCAGGAGCTGCACCAGGCGAGGCAAGACCTCGGCAATGGGAAGCTTGCCAGGGTGCTTCGAGATGAACCTGCTGACGCAGCCTGCAGTGTTATCAAGAAGGCGTGCTTGGTCCTGAGCATCGAGCAGAGGCTCGAGCTTGGAGAAGATTGTAGGCAAAGACTTGAGGATCTCATCATCGTTCGTGGTCATCTCGCAGAGAAGTCCGATACCGTAGACGGCGTTGGACTTGGTCTCTGGGTCTTCATCCGACAGGCGGTGGAGAAGGAGCTTCAGCATGCCAGTGGTGTAAGGTGTGCAGCCAGCACCCATGTTGCCGATGCACTCAGCAATGGTTCCGACAGCAGCGCTTCGCTCAGTAGAGTCCTGGCTGCTAGCGTACTTGACAATTGGCTTCTCGAACATCTTCCAGAGCTCGGCGAACTGCGAGCCAAGTGCGACTGACAGGCAGGTGACAGCCTCGAGGGCAGTCTCAATGACAAGCCAGTCGTACTCGGAAGACTCATCAAGAATCTCCTCCTCGGCTTCATCACCGAGATCCTGCTGGCAAGGGTGACGCTTGGTGATGACAGCGAGCAAGTGCTGGCAGAGATCAGGAACCACGGTGCCGTTGTCGGTCAACAAAACAGCCGGTCCGCAGAGCTTGAGAGTGGCAGCAACATCACGGTTGATGTCAGTGACAGTACCCCTAGACAATGTCAGCCAGATTCTTCTTGATAAATCATAACAAATGGTTGATTTTTGAGATTGCTCAGTCGTGATTTCGCTTTCACCTCAAGTGCACTTTGTGCATCGGAGTGAGCTGGGATTAACGAATATTCTGTCATCTTTGCAAGGTGGGTATAGTAAAAGAGCGTGAATACATACCGATCCATCTCGTCTTGCCAGATGGTCATGGTGGCAGTCATAACGAGATTGCCGAGCTTCTTCAGCTCGTCGGGAATGTCAACGGCAAGCGGAAGACCAGGCTTCCACTTAGCCATACCATCACCCTCGGCCATACCGAAGAGGCAGGCAAATGTGCGCCATAGGGTGCCAAGAGCGGCCTTACGGATGCCCTCATAGGAGTGGTCGACAAGTTCGAGCAGCTTGGTGACGGTCGCCTCCATGTAAGGGATGTACTCGCGGCGAGTGTGAGTGATGATGTCTCCATAGACCTCAGCAGCGATCTCCTTCTCCATGGCGACAGCGCTGACGCCTTCTAGGTCATCCCAGTCGTCATCGTCATCACCGGCCATGAGGGCTTCGTTGAGATCGCTGTCATCGTCGTCGTCGTCGCTGGCAGCAGCAACCTTGATCTTCTGCCCCTGAATGATCACCTCGGAGCCGGCCAAATCAGCCGCCTCCTCACCAAACTCAACGTCGAGGTTGGTCTCTTCTTGATCAAGGCAATCGTTGAGGCCCTTCACAGCACCGGGAAGGTACTTAGCAAAGCCCTCCTCGTAGACCTTAGCCATGGTGCTCCAGAGGATGTAGCTGGTCTCCCTGAGACGGGGGTGGTCTAAGTGAAGAGCTTCCTCGGAAGCCTCCATGAGCGGCAGAACGTAGGGCTCGAAAGGCTCAGGGCCAACAGCAGAAGCGATCTTGCCCATGGAATCACAGGTGACACCACGAAGGTCGAGCTCGTCTTGGCTGTCCTTAATCCTGACGTATGAGGAAAGTTCCTGCATGGTCTGGGGGAAGAATGGGATGAAGGCCTTCTCGGCAGCGGAGGCAATAGAGCCAACGGCACCGATGGCAGCACTCTTCACCTTGAGATCCTCGTGATGGAAGAGCTTGCTGAAGCGTGGGATGAGTTCGGGAACATACTTGCCAGCGTCCTCTGGCTCTAGGCCCTCGATGAGGGAGTCGATAGCATGGCAGCTGCCGCGAACAATGGAGAGGTTGCGCTCATCATCTGAGCCTTGCATGTTGTTGGCAGCAAGGTCGAAGTTCTTGAGCATAGCAGGGATGAGGCGGGCGTGCTCCTTGCCAACGTCTTCGGCAAGATCATCAGCCAATCGAGCGACACCGTTGAGAGCGGCGGCCCGGACCTTGAGCTCAGGGTCCTCCAACAAGTGTAGAACCATAGGCATGATCTCGTTAAGCTGGGTAGCGATGAAGTCAGGCGCACCCTCGACACACATACCGAGAGCCAGGATGGCAGCTTGACGGTAGTCAGGGTTCTGCGACTGGAAGTAGTTGCCGAGGTTCTTGAGAAGAGGAATGACAACTTGGCTGGGAGGGAGGCTGGATGCGAGGATGTCGAGGAGGCCGAGAGCGGAACGGGCGGGTGTGACTTCCTCCTCCTCACTGGACAGATCACCGAGCTCAGTGACAATGTGGAGAGCCTTCAAGGTCATCTCCTCACCGATTCGCAGGCCCTGTACCTTGAGCTTCCTGTAGCGGACACACTGCATCAGGAATGCGAGAGCCTGGGAACGGTAATCGTCCTCGACGTTGGTGCTTGAAGAAAGCTCCAGCATGAAGCGAACAAGGTCGCCAAAGTGCTTTGCGAGAAGTGCAGACTCGCAGCCAAGGAGAGTCTGGAAGACCTCGAAAGCTTGCATTGCGCGGTCCTCATCACCCTCGTCGACAGTGGCCTTCAGAACGGTGACCATGCCAGGGATGGACTCTTGGAACATGGCAAGCTCCTTGGGGCTCTCGTCGGGCTCTAGCAGCATGGCCAGGCGGCTGAGACTGAGCATTGTGTTGATTCTGACATCGACGCTCTCAGGGTCTTGGATGGTTGAACTGAACAGCTTGTACAGATCGGCTTGCTTGCCGGGGAACGAGTCGCCCGCTGACTCAAGTGTGGTGAAGATGATGTATGTACCAACTTCACGGTGTCGTGCCTCGGAGCTGGTGGCGGCCTGCTGGAGGTATCCGGGCAGGTCAGCCCACTCGCCATCCTCAAAATCTTGGGATGCGATGGCCGCAATGACGCGGGCAGCAGAGTGGCGTGTGAGAGTTACATCCTCGTTCAGTGTGAACTGGAACAACTGGTTGCGGAGAGAGTTCTTCTGGTCCGCAGGCAGGTTGGCCCAGTGCTTTGTTACCAGCTTCCTAGCCTCGACTGCAGCCAATTGGCGGAGCTGAGGCTTGGGGTGGCCGCAGAGAATCTGAAGGAGGGCATTGAGGGAGGCGGGTGAGTTGTAGTAGTTCTTGTTGAGAGTAGAGGTAGCGGATTTGACACGCTCGGTGTCGGCTGGAAAATGTTAGTAGAGGTCTATGGCACAGCGGGGCTGGGTAACGTACGCTCCATGAGGCCCTCGAGCAGCTGGACAAACTGTTGCTCGTCCATGGCGATGCTCTCACAGTGTAGTTATGTAAAAAGCAAAGCTCTGGTGGTCTATCGTAGGACAACGAAGACCTTTAATAGTGACAGTTGTGAGAAGAGCGCTGGCTGCTCGCACAAGGTGGGGACTGGAACTTTTTCAAAAAAACGAGCGCCGGCAGAGGGCGCTAGTCTTAGAACAGCGCTAGTCTCAGGGTCCAGGACTGACCAATGACGGAGGCGGCAGGCGAAAAAGGTCATACCTCCAGAAGCCGACGCTGCTGTAGCCTGTAGCTGCGCAGATTGCTCTGCATGGTGGGTACTTTGACTTTGGGTGTCCTTGCAAGCTGTAAGAAGTTTGGGTAGGCGTGTCGTGTAAGCTGGTCTAGACAACCACTGTACAAGCTAGCATGGCTTCCAGGGTTGGAGCATGAAGACTTCTTCGCAGATGAGCTGAGGAAAAGCTTCAAAGAGAAGAAATGTGCTTGATATCATCGTCATAAGATGACGGCAGCTCCTTGACAGCTAGGCGACGAGATGGTGGTGGCTAGAGGCGGTGCCATGGGCCTTCGAGTTGATAACGTGATGGAAGATCATCGTATAGAAAGCTCTCAGAAGATGATTGAGATGAACAGACAACGACACAAAGGGGTAAGGAAGCTCAATGAATGGAGGAAGCTGGAGAAGCTAGAGATGTAGAAGTCCAGACAGCTCCAACGCGACTTGATAGGACGCGCTAGGCCAGGGTCTGTGCGGCGGAAAGCTGTTAGCAAAAACAGAAGGAGCAACGGTAGACAGGACAAACTCGCCGCTGCCATCATAAACGAGGAGGCTCTTCTACTAACTTCTCTCATACCCCGACCTTGTAATACCCCACTCTATTCCCCAAGTCCAACCCAGCCGCCTGTACGCCTCACCAGGACACGTTTCTCGACCCCTCCGCCTCCGACTCCATGGCTTCAGTACGTCTGGCAGTTGCCGCACATATCTGACCACATGTGACATCGATGCTGACCTCGTCCAGCAAGCACCTAACCAGCCGCGCCCTTACCCAGGCAACTACCTTCCCAATGGTGGCGCTCCTGGCGGTCCATCCGGCCCAGCGCCTGGAGCTGTCCCGCTGCTCCCTAACCAGGGCCGCGTGATCCAGCAGGGAAGCGTACGAGTGCTATGCATTGCAGATGTCCGAGGTGAGCATGGCAGCCATGGTATACGGTCAAACATATTCTCCTAACACTGATCAGGAAACCTGCAATCGCTCAACCAGCTCGCCGCCGACGCCCGCGCAAACTACATCATCCACACTGGCGACTTTGGCTTCTACGATGATCGTTCGCTTGATCGCATCGCCGAGAAGACCCTCAAGCACGTGGCCCAATACTCACCGCTGCTCTCAGATGCCGTCAAGCGCTCTATCGCTTCAGCCCCTCCGCAACCGCCTATCAAGGAGCGCTTCGCACGAGAGCACCTGCCACTCTCAGAACTGCCCCTCTTCCTCAACAAGACCTACACCCTGAACGTACCAGTATACACCGTCTGGGGTGCTTGTGAAGATGTGCAAGTACTGGAGAAGCTGCGATCGGGCGAGTACAAGGTGGACAACCTGCACATCATTGATGAGGCGCATTCGCGGCTACTCGATGTAGGTGGCGTCAAGCTGCGACTACTTGGTCTCGGAGGTGCCGTCGTCATGCACAAGCTGTTCGACAACGGCGAGGGCAGGACTACCATTGCAGGTGGACAGGGCACTATGTGGACTACTCTGCTGCAGATGGGCGAACTTGTCGACACGGCCAACCGCGTATACGATCCGACCGAAACCCGCATATTCGTCACCCACGCATCTCCCGCCCGCGAAGGTCTGCTCAACCAGCTATCCGTCACGCTCAAGGCAGATTTCTCTGTCTCAGCTGGTCTGCATTTCCGCTACGGTAGCTCGTACAACGAGTTCAGCGTCAACCCCACCCTCGATCACTACCGCGGAAAGCTTGCTGCGTCCAAGGCCTCATTCAACGACGTTTGGGATACTGTCAAGACAGAAGTTGAGCCAGCAGTTGCTGATAGCGAGTCCCAGCAACGTCTGCTCGCCCTAGCGCTGGAGATCGTAAACAAGATGCCCACTGTCGCCAATGGCGGGAACCCCTTCGGTGGTCCTGCTCCTGGGCCTCAGAGCGGCCAAATCGATGAGAGCGCCTTCAAGAACATGTGGAACTTCAACCTTGCAGATGCTGCTTACGGATGGCTCGTACTGGACATTGACAATGGCAGGATCGGTACCGAGATGAGGGCCCAGGGTTTCAACTTCGCTCACCGAGGTGGAAAGGTTGCGCCTGGTCAAACTCAGCCCGCAGCCGCCAACACCAGTACTGGTCCCCCAGCTGCAGTGAACCCTAGCCCTTCTGCTCAGCCGTCTCCTGCTCCAGGACGTCAAGCCGGCCCACCAGCGAGTGCTCCTCAGCAACCCCGCCCCGCTGTTGCAACCCCACCGGTTCCTCAACAACAGAAGCAGAATGCTGGCCAGCCTACACGCACCGGCCCCTCCCCCGCCCCCGCTGCTACACCCAAAGAGCCCGTCAAGGCCGCTACACCACAGCCTCCAGCCAACAACACACCGGCGAACGCTGCTGCTGAAAAGGCCATCCCTAGCGAGGTCAAGCCTAATGGCACTTCGGCGCCAGACAAGGGACCTGCATCTCCAGCGCCCCGCGAGCCTGCTGAGCGCAAGGAAAGCAAGGGTCTCTTTATTGCTGGTGTAAAGGATGAGGAGGAAGCCAAGAGTCTGCTTGCTGAGGAAGACAGGCCCAAGGTGGAGAAGATGGAGAAGATCAAGCACTTCTTCGTCGCCCATTTCGCTACTTCTCAAGACATGCATGGTGCGCTCCGTCGCGTGGCGGACGATGTCAGGAATGCTAGGGGTGGCCCAGACAACAAGACCGTCAAGGTGTACAACGAGCGCGGTCCTGGTAGCAACCAGCCCAGGTACGGAGCCGGCAGCTGGCAAGCTAGCAACCGCGGCGGCGTCCAGGGTGGTGGTTACCGAAGTGGAGGCGCCTCGGACAGTGAGGGTGGTCGTGGCGGCCGTGGAGGCCGTGGCGGTGCTTCCCGTGGCGGACGAGGTGGCGAGCGAGGTGCTCGCGGAAGCCGTGGTGGAAGGGGATCATTCCGGGGTGGTGAAGGTGCGGCTGCGGCATCAACTGGAGGCGAGTCATAGAAGCTCACCGACCGCACCTCTACACCCCTACTGACCCTGATACCCCTTCTTTCTTCTTCGGTTCCGTGCTAATGGCTTTCATTGCAGTCATGCCACGGTCTCCCATAAGCGAGTTCGCTTCTGGCGACGTCCGCAATCATGTGCTCTAGCTTTTATCATGTTTTCTGGGAGCGATTTCCATACCTTCTTCATAGCGGGCGTGGGTTGTGCGGGTTCCTTTTCGGTCGTTCTAGATGGGACCAGGACAGGTGATTGGCGCTATGTGGTGCTTGTCTTCCTTATTTGGATCGCTGAAGAGGCTTACGATGATGAAGGATGAAGTATGGTGTATGTATTGTAATCACAAAACATTAAGAAACATGTTGTGACCAAGTTCTTCTGACTCTTCCGTTCTTTTTGTTCAACATGCATCACGGCTCTGTTGAAAACATTCCCTTTGATTGATTTCTATCTTTCGTTCCAGCGATATTTTGACGACATGCCAACCTAGAAACACGCATCAGTCATGTGCATTTATTCCCTGGACGAGAGTACATAAAATTTTCCATTCAGTGAGCCTACCGTTTCCTCGTCGAATCAGTACACGGTACACTCTCCTTCCCTTCGGGTCAAACATATTCTCGGTTGTTTGATTGTGGCTGATCATGATAGATGTTGGAAGCCCACGCTTACATCGACACATAGGGGAAGACATTGAGGTTGTGGATATTGCAGAGTATATACTGCAAGGGTCACTCTATGAAGAAACCTATCTTTCATCAGTTGCGTTGTGAACTCAGAATCGATCATATGACATATATCGTTTTTCATCTTGTAGTGTGTCAATGTAGCCTAAGATGCACATAGCCATAGTATGTTATTCGCTGTGCTCAAGACATCACCGCCCTAGACATGTCAGTACACTCTCAAGCACACTTCAATGAATAGCAAGTACGAGCAAAGTAATTGTATTGCCGTTTAAAGTCCTCAATTGTATTAGAGGTTTACTTCAGAAGTTGAACATCACTTCACAACAGCACCATTTGACCAGGTCCGAACAACTTTCATCGGGATAATTATAAGAAATCCTGGCATAGTCATAACGACCATCTGGACCGATTCGAAGTCGGGGAGGACCCATTGGACGTGTATATGGATCCGGAATACGCGTACCCGAGGACGGCAGGAAGTCTGACTGAAGCAGCGGTTGTGATTCTGGTTGGAGTGATCTGACTAGTACTGGTGGTGATGGCAGTCGCGCTGGTAATTGCGCTGAGGACACATGTCTTTGCGAAACGCTATCCTCCGGATCCACTTCGGCATTATCAAGTGTCAGAGAGAGCTGCCACGGGGGCTCTGATTGCCAGTGAGAGCTTTCATGCTGATCTGATAGTGGCTCCGCCGTAGTGGGAGGAAGACTACGCGCACGGTTCCGATTGGATCTCTGACTTAATCGCCACGAGAATGCCTCCACGTTGAATCTTCCTGGGCGCCTCAAACTTTCCTCATACCTGGCAAGTATCAGCCATGATGTATTCATAGAATTACCAGGATAAGGTAGAATGTACAGCTGCGCGCCGTCCAGCTCTATCCGCTCGGTAAACCGCGAACCGACGCTTGAAGGACGTACAGGACGACGTGGGCTTGGTCGTGGGTACACTCGCACCAAACGCTCATGTTTAGACTCTATGTCATTGCTGGTACTGCATATAGGTGGCTCGGTCCCTGTAGATGCCATGTCATTCCTCGCAGAGCTTCCGGAAGAAGTTGTCAGAGTATGAGAAAAGTCCCGGTGTAAGTCTCCAGGTGGTGTCGAGATCACCTCATTCACATCTGCTTGTCGGACATCAGATATTGTCGTATGCTAGTCATTACGGAACCGGGCCCGTTGACGGATTCCAGGGACATGTCGAGTCAACCGGGATAACGGGAGGGGATTTGATGACCTCCTGCCCCTGCTGGACAGTAATCTCATTTCCTTGGCTTGCGACACACCACTACCATCGTCGTCGTCATCGTCATCATCATCTGAGCCAGCTCCACCTCACATGAATACGGCTTGCTCCATCTCAAGTGGTTCCATTCGTGGACGTCCGGGTGTGATAATCCATACTCTTCTCTGACCATCTCTAGTGTTTGCTATAGTCGAGCGCTCTGGGTCACGCGGCGACATACCATCTCCGATGTGACAATCGTCCGACTCGCTCTCGGATTCGCGACTGATGGTATCGTTGACAATGGAGCCTGAATGACTTTCCGGGCCTTGTGCTTCAGTAACTCGCACAGATGGCTAGCTACGATGCAAGTTCCGGGAATTATGATCCCAGCGTCTGTGAACTGAGCCCAGTACGACTTTAAGGATTCCCGTGGCGGTAAGCTCGGCATCTCCTTCGCCAGTGAAAGGAATCGTATCCACAATATCTCTCACCGGCATATTACCTGTCATGCTCCCCGCTACTTCGGCAATATTATCATCCAAACTCTTGAGGTGCTCCCGTGCACCGGGCTCTTTGCCAACCTGGAAGAATTGAATACCGACTTGCCATGGTTCTGCATCTTCTTTGCTGAGTTTCATGGCAGCTGAGACGATGACGGATTCGACATCGTCAGAAGGCACCCCATCGGTGATGACAATAATGTTCATTGGCTTAATCGTCTTGTCTCTCATGAATCGCTGGATATATGACTTCAAGATCTTATTCAAGCGCTGACCGGTTGGTGTACCACCGCTGGGACGCACGGTCTGGAAGATCTCGATGATGGTACTCGCTGAGGTGACGTTGTGGTAAATGCTAGAATCTGGGTGATTGAGGAAGTAGATATCGATCCCATCGGCATCCCGCTGAGTACAAATCGGTGCAATCATCTCGAGAGCCTTAGCAGTCTCCCTCCAAGAGCGACCGGCCATGGATCCTGAGTCGTCGATTAGAAAGACTGTGTCGAAAGTTCTGAGGAAGTCATAAGGATCATCGTCCAAAGGACCGTTAGCTGGAGCTGAAATTGCTACATGATCGTTCTGAGTCGGGCTTGGTGTGTAAGCTGGCGGGGCTTCGCGATTAGAACTAAAAGGATTTACATTTGAGCTATCCGTTAGGAAGTCAGTATTTGAAGGAAACACTCGTGTTATGCCCAACAGATACGGGATGTATAGTACTTACTGGGCCTTCGTGTAGCCGGTGATACCGATGCAAATGGATTAGTACGTGAGAGTGGTGCAAGACCATTGTTGCGGGATCCGGAGCTTCTTTTGCTGATCGGTGCAGCTGCAGGCGTGTTACTCAGTGTCTGCCCAGCACCTTCTGTGTCCCATGAAATGTAATCGTTGCTTGACTTTGAAGGTTTGCGGGTCGAAAAGGTCTTCTTCAGTTTTTGATACATACTTCCGAGCTTTGTGGATAGTGTATTCTGTTGACAGTAGGTAGAGGTAGTGCAATTTAGAGAGTGGGTGTTGTCGAGATACTGGAGAGCCGAAAGTGAGCCAGATATTTGAGTAAGGGCGAACGTCAGAATGAGTTCAAGAGCAAACCGTAATGACAGGTGGAAGCTTATTTAATTGGACTACCTGTGTCTTGATGTAAGAGGGATGTTTGTTTGATGGTTCAGGTGGATCCTTATACACAATCATCACGAAGACGGTGAGATGGTATCAGATCTGCCTCGTGTACGCCTTAGCAGCGGCCTTGAGTGCCGGCTCATCACGAATGAGCAGGAGCGTATGGCATCTTCCGTTATGTGGCTTGGGTAGCTGCAATGAAAAAACCATGTGCTGCGCAGGAGCAAGCATGCACAGCCGAGCTGCTAGATAACGTTGATGGCTGACTGCGCAACCACCACCCAATCACATCACGATGCTAGTCCCGCATAGCCGAGCACGTAATACTTCACGAGATGGTCCACAATCATCAACCGTTTTCTGAACGAATCATGCGCAATGGATTTAAGGAACAAACGGCGCGTGAACCACTACACTTCATCCAGAGAACCTTCATGGTAAGTGTAACGAACACCGAGTCGACCAAGCGGGTTGGTTTTCATCTCGTTCTGGCGCTTAATATGCAAGCGACCCTCCTTATTCCATCAGAGTTCCTAAGGCAGACACAACCTCAAGTTTGCACACCTTTGCGATACCTCCACAGTGCTTGTAATAGCCGAAATTTTTTTCGGGGTGGCACGCATGATATCTCGTAGATACCTAGGCACCGCGCAGGATTTCAATAGATTGCGCTGAGGTTGAACTGCCCTAGCCTGCCCTAGCGTACCAGTATCAGACGCAGGCATTCTGAGCGTAGGCCTGTGTGAGGCTCAAGAAGGTTTCAAAACCGGCCTTGATGATGATGTATTGTCTCCTTGATACACGTCCCTTGAAGTCCAGTCGCGCTCCACAGCCATGAAGAGGTCCCTGACCGCCATATGCCTACTCAGGCAGCTACTGGGCGTCCTCTGGTGACTTTTACGCGGGGCTGCGTTAGCAAGAGTTCGATTGCCGGTCAAAGACTTTGGATGCGCCCACACCACTGGTCGCTTGGCTAATTGCCAGGCATACTCCTTGCGATGGTTCGCCCAGCACTCTGCACAAATGCCGATATCCAAACTGCCTGTGTCGAGACTGAGCTGATTCTGTATGAGGTCAAGGAGCGGCAGTATTCGTGACCGCAGTCCACAGTGCCCATGATTGCTGTCGACCTGGTAGTTGGAGCACTGGCGGAGCGATGATAGAAGTCGATCGATGTCTCCAAGATAGTACGTCGGCTCCGTATTGTCATATATTTTGCCTTGCAACCGTATAGTGTCGATCTTGGAAAAGAAGCGAATCATTTCTCCTAGTTGAAAAGAATCGCATTGCAGCGATGTATCATACCAGAGCTTGCATTGACGTTCTCCCGACGTGTACAGCTTCAGGAAATGAGCCTGTAGAGAGTTGATGGTCTCAAGTATGTACTCTCGCCGTTGTATCAACTCGTCCTCGACGTCTGGTATGTCCCACCACAAAGCTTTTGTATGGTCCTCCTCTATTCCTGGTCGCCACTGGACTGAGTCCCGCATGATCAAATGCTTTGAATATCGTGTCACCCACGATGGATGATCGAAAAGAAGACCAACAAAGAGCTTTTGTCGTATTCTTTCTTCCGTCTGCGTTGTGGCTGGCTTGCCTCTCGACTTTGCATCGATCAACTGCAGGTATTTCTTTCTCTGTATATGCTTTGACAGGCACGCGACAGCATCGAATCGGTCGGCAACGACGGCGAGATTGGCGAGATTGGCCACGGGAGGATTGGCTACGGCAAGGTCGAGACCGTGGACTGCGCGAAGGAAGTCTGCGATGAGATTTCGGATAGAAGAGACTTTGGCCACGGCTACACGACCGACATTAACGATCGATATGTGAGGAAGCGCATCGACAGGAACTTCAGCGATTTTGGCACCCTCGCTCAACTGGAGTGCTTCTAAAGCTCTGGCCAGCTGTTGCCCTTCGTGGAAGCGATCACTGAGCAGGTTCTCAAAGTACCGCGAGTTGTGCTGCAGCGTTTTGGAGTCTACGCGGTATGAGAATTGCTGTCCGCCCTCTTCCTGAGCGACCTCAAGGACAAGGTCGCCATTTGCGGCGATGACCAACAGGCCCTCCTCATCCGACATGGTGTAAGGTTGATGTTATAACTCTCCAAGGCGTATTTCCTCATGGGTAGGGCCAGAACATTATGACTTGATCAGATGGCGATTCGCTTTCGGTGTGTTGGCTGAGAAAATGGAGAGTGAGGTCACAGCCCGCGGCGAAGGCTGAGCGGCCGCCATCGCTGAACCGACCAATGGGCAGAAGCGAGCTATGGCCAGTGGCGCTGGGCCGACAGCCAGGCGTCCTCCAGCTCTACACCACTTCACATCCTAGGCACAACATGTACTATCTGTTCATTTCAAAGAAACACTCCGAAGATTCCATAAAGTGTTTTCGCATACAACTTACACTGCTTGCTATTGAGACAGGCCACTGTGGTCTCGAACATGACTTGTAATTACCTATACCCCTCTCAACACCACCCAGTTAGCAGCTACAGTCACACCCTCAATATCGTCAAGAAATAAAAGCAGGTTTTGATCATGAAATAGATTGATCTTGGCAGCGTAACGAACTCCACGCTGAATGCATATGCCGGGTATATCCTATGCGAAAGGCCACTGATCCGACGCCCCCAAACCCATTACAAAAGAGATAGTAGAATGAAGAAGTGTTGTCATCTTCACTTCAGACAGAAGCACACCGAAACCCAATAAAACCCGCCCGACTAGCTCCGCGACACGATGGCCCATAACGTGTCAGTCGTAATGTTGGCAGTGAATAGCCACGTGCGCATGGCGATATGCTAGCACTTGCGGGAAGGAAGCTTCATCCTCATCCACTCATCGCCGACGATGGCATGGCCGACGCGAGACTCAAAGAATTGACGCTGCTTCTGGGCGCGTTGGACATAGTTGAGGCGGCGCTTATGTACCCTGCCCTTCTTGTCGCGGGTGTATTCATATTTTTCTTCGCCCTAGATAATTGTTAGTACAAATGTTTTCAGACACAAGGTTGGCAGAAGAGTACTCACGATGATGGCCCAGAGTGATTGCTCTTGTGGGTTCATGTTGCAGTGGTAGGCCGGCTTCGGAAGAGGCTTCTCGCCGCTAAGCCGGCTGTAGATGCTGTCGACACTGGAGCGAACGGACAACATGGTGAAGTGTGTGGTGGTGGTGGTGGTTTGAGTGCTCGTGTCTTTGTAGTGGGTCTCGGATGAGGTGGCTGGAATGCTCGCCGCGGACGGCTTTGAGTATACGTTACCGGACGAGCTTGGGTTCGTTGTTGCAGTTGTGGTATAAGAGAGTGCGAGGTTGCAAAGTCATGAAGGAGAGAAACGAGTCAGTGGTCTTATGCGGCTAGAGATGTGCTGCACAGTGTTTGCGGCGCGAACCGTAGTTCGCTTGGTTTGTTGAAAAAAGCTGTGATTTTAATCGCGCAAATCGGGAAGCGGTACCGGCATTGCTCAGGGCCGTGGACCACGAACTGCAGCCAACACATGTAGAGGGGGACCGTGTGGATTATATCTGTCAAGTCGACTAGTGGTGGAACGGAAACAGGTAAGCTGGGGCATCATGGGACACGGGGTCACTACAGCGTTATTGCGCCAACCGCGATACGCGGATAGTGAGATGGTTCCAAGCCCCATGCCCAGAGCAGCCAGTCCAAAACGCATTTCCAACACGTTTACTCAACCCAACCACAAAGCTGCAGATCAGAGTACAAATTGCACAACCACCGACCAAACATTGCATCACGATATTGCGCATACCTTGGCGCACCGGACTACGCAACGTCCTTGCGCGGCGCCCAGAAACGCGGAGGCTTGTCACGAAAAAGATGCAGCCGGCCGCGACTTATATAGGAGACCACGCACTGGATGTGAGGCGCAATCGAAGATCTTCATATACCAAGACTCTTGGCTGTGATCTGTAGGTTAGGAAGCGTGTATCGAGAACCGAATCGGGACTTGCAGTTTGCGCGTGGGGAGTAGATCTGCGGAGGCTGGTGCACGAGAGGTTAGACGATGCGCCATCCCGCGCGTTGATCACAGAGCCTCCACGACACATCACTGTTGCCTGCGGCCTCTTCCATCACTTTTCCACCCCACGGGGTCTTGGTTCTAACTAGTATGGGCGGGAGCTTTAAATCTTACTGCACCGATTCCACGTATTGCTTACTCAAAACGCCAAACCTCCAATTTCCCAAATCGCCAGTCGTGCAGCATCCAAAAGTAACTTCTTCCAAGACTTCATGGCATGCCTTGATCATCATATGGTAGTCGCACGTCCCCCAAAGGTTGGTATGCATGCTTGTTAGAGATAACGAGAGGGTGGTGATAACTCTTGCCCCCCTGTCATCCACGTCGTCTCACTGTTGTGCCGTTCAATAACCATAGGGGGCAAACGCGGCCGTACATCAAGGGGTTGTTGCCGATTGGACACTTGGCGCTCAAGTGGATGAAGAAGCGGTATTCGTAATACACACGTATACTTGTGGCGGATCAGGTAACAAAGGTCCTGCACATGCCCATACTTGTACGGTCAGGTCCCCACATGAGAACAGTGGAGCAGGAGATAGAAAGGATGATGGAACGAGCCGGCGATCCGCTTCGGTATTGAGCGAGAACAACACCAAATTGCGCTTTGATCCAAACCTAATTAATAAGTCAAGGCGAACACGTTCTAGCCCTAGAGACGTAGCCATGCCCAGGCGGAATGGATGGAAGAAGAAAGTGAATCTACCAGCAATCGTTCCTGCTTCTGTTGTTCATAACACTGCAGTAGCAGCCGCGGTGATTCCCGCAAGCATTGCGATAACAGTGAAACACGGTTCTGCAGCGGTGTCGTCTTGGTCGCCCTGAACTTCATTCCGCATTGTGCTTGTCTATACTCCTGTATTTGGCGATTGCGACACTTCCGATTGTTATGCTGACATTGGAGAGCTTTCCTGCTGTCGCCTGAGAATTACTCGGCAACGTACTGTTTTCTTCCTCTCAGGAGAGTTGCGTGGATTCGGCGATAAGACTTGGGACCAGAGCCTGCCATTGCAGATGCCTGCACTTCCAACGACACAGTTGCTAGACGATTGGACAGACTCTAATATGGGAGCCATTAAAGCCAGTATCGGAATGGTCTCTTTCTTCCGTTCTGTCTTTATATTCAATACATTTGCAGGTAGTCAGGTGGACCACAGTAGTACACTCCTCAAAATGAGAACATGTATTCTGATTCTCTTGTTAATATGTCATATCTAGGCAGCTCATGAATCGCAGTGGTGACGAATCCAACGATTACATCGGCGTATAACAGTTCATTGGAGCGAGTGATTTAAAGTCTCGGCATGCAAGAGAATCTTACTTCTTCGTGAGTGTCAATATATGCCACTTGTGTAGGGGGAACAAGCGCAATGGAGCTACCAGTGCGCAGTGGCATGGAGGGTCATGCATAAGGAACACTGCTTTGCAGAAGGGTCAAAATACTACAATAAAGATACAACATGATGGTCAATCTCGTGGGAGCAGAGCGATAGCTAGAATGGTAATTTGGCTCCAATCAAAGGTGTCTTTGCTCATAAGAAGCGGCGACTCTGGTTTGTGGGTAATCACTCATACATGGGTACGATGTGCTGTGCTACCATGGTGCAGTGTGAACAAACTCATTCTACTTATGCTGTACCATGAGACATATGGTATACTATAAACTACGTCGAGTCCCGCAACCCAAGTCATTTTCCGTCTATAGGAATCACTAATGACACGGGAGGCAGCAACGAACAATGCGACCTAGCGATATCGGAATACTCGCAAGTGAGGTCGAAAAAGCATAACTTGGTCGTGTTTGTGGAGCCTCGAATGGTGAGAAAGATGAGCGGTGGCAGGTCGATGTTCGGCGCAAGGCGGCCGACGTCGGAGGGGCGAGGCATCTAGCGGGGCTAGCATTGCACCGTGGGGTAGCTTCACGAGTCTTTGGTAAAACTTGCTGAGCGTGCAATACCCATCATCGAAACTCATATATACTCAATTCATCATGACTGCTCACAATATTGTTGTTCTTGCTGGTAAGCCATGTTCCTGGAAATTGGACAAGCAGAGTGCTAATTGCATCCAGGTGACGGTGTCGGCCCCGAGGTAACAGCAGCCTCGACACTTTCTCTGCGCAACTACTCACGAGCATGTTTAGGTTGTCGCTGAGGCGATCAAGGTCCTCAAAGTTGTCCAAAAGCACACAGACAACACTTTCAACTTCAAAGAGCACCTGTTTGGAGGAGTAAGCTTTGAGCCATGACGTAAAGAATCCGCGGTAACATGTTCTAGTGCTCGATAGACGCGCACAACAACCCTCTCACAGACGAAGCGCTCGAAGCAGCCAAGTCAGCCGACGCCATCATTCTCGGCGCCGTCGGTGGACCGGTATGAGCCTCCAGTCTCCAAACTATGCAACACCTTCTGACAACTCATGTAGAAATGGGGAACCGGCAAGGTGCGCCCTGAGCAAGGAATCCTAAGACTTCGTAAAGAACTCGGCACCTTCGGAAACCTGCGACCGTGTTTCTTCGCCTCCGACTCTCTCGTCGACTCCTCGCCCCTCAAGGCTGACAACGTCCGCGGCGTAAACTTCAACATTATCCGTGAATTGACTGGTGGCATATACTTTGGCGACAGGAAGGAAGACGAGGGCGATGGCAAGGCCATGGATACGGAGCCATACAGCGTCGAGGAGATTGACCGCGTCGTCCGGTTAGCAGGTAGTCTCGCATCCGTCGAGGACCCGCCTGTGCCAGTATGGAGTTTGGACAAGGCCAATGTTTTGGCGACCTCGAGATTATGGCGGAAAACCTTCGAGCGCATCATGAAGGACGAGTACCCGCATCTCAAGTCGGGCACTCACCTCATCGACTCGGCAGCTATGCTTATGATCAAAAACCCAAGAGCGCTGAACGGCGTTGTAGTTACCAGCAACTTGTTCGGTGACATCATTAGCGACGAGGCTAGTGTCATTCCAGGAAGTCTGGGTCTGCTGCCGAGTGCCAGTCTGGGTGGCATCCCAGATGGCAAGACCAAGCTGAACGGAATCTATGAGCCCATCCATGGTACGTCTTCTCATCTACCACTGCATGTGCGCCTGCTCACAAATACTAGGCTCTGCGCCCGACATCGCCGGCAAAGGCATCGTCAACCCCATCGCGACCGTCCTTTCTATCAGTATGATGTTCAAGTACTCTTTGTGTCTACCGGAGCTTGCGCAAAAGATCGACGAGGCGACCAGGATTACCATCGACAACGGCATCCGCACGGCTGACATTGGCGGAAAGTCAAGTACTAGTGAAGTCGGTGATGCGATAGCCGCGGAGCTAGAGAAGCTGCTCCAGAAGTAGATTTGAATAGTAGAATTACGTACTATGAGAAGCTAGCGATCGTGATACTGTAGCGTGAATCTGGACGCCTCTGACACCTACTTGACCTGGGAGGGAGATGTATCGCTGTCAGCAGGTGCCAATGAATGCATGCCTACGCCATTAGCAAGCACCTGATGCATACAGGCCAGCAAAAGAACATACATGGACATTCATTAGCTGGCGGAATGATCTTGTAAAGTTGCAGTGCGTGGGGAAGGACGTTGAAGGCGAGCAGAAGCGATAGAGCCTTATTGTTGCCAGCTTACCAAAGTTCTCACCTCTTATTGATCCGTCGAAGTAGTCATCTATCCAAGCAACAAGTCCGAGGTCATACGTCCAGGAGTGCGGTCCAACTTCCCCTGTTGGACAGTCAATGCCATCGGTGGAGGAGCTGAAAAGGCGGATGCACGAAGGTAACAGAGAACTGCATCCTACGCTAATGGTGCCAGACTATAGTACGACTCACAAATGCAGATTCAACGCATGGGAAAGTGGCCCGATGAAGCTCCTGTCCTTCTCCAGCACTTATGGTGGAACTACGGTTCGGGATCCGCAAGCAGAAACTAGGATCATCGCTGCGTACAACTGTCTCATCCGCGCGCTGAAGAGTATCTACAATCAAGCACCTCACCCTCCAACCACCGAGTACAAGAATTTCATAGGGCACAGTCTGGCGACGTATCAGTGTTCGGTCGCTCAGCTGGGTACGTTGGTATCCGAAGGAGAGCGTATAGAATAGAAACCGGGCTTCGATCCTGTGTAGCAAAGCGCAACAATATCAGCTCTAAAGTATGCAGGGGGATGATGAACAGTCTCACGCCCACTCCGTACCAACTACTAGATGCCCCTCTTACTGACGTATGCGCCAGGGGGCTACAGTAGCATGATAAGACGATTCAGTTGCGTATACTCTGCATAAACCATGACGCCACTTCGGAGAATGGGTTACAGCACTTGCATCATGGCTTAAGAGCGGAGAGTAAGACCATGAGGTGGCGTATGTGGAAGTAGAAAGCTGAGTGGTGGAAGTTTAGTACTTGTAGATTTAATGATTTATAAAAGAGATTGAAGTATACTGCTCATGCAGAGAAGAGACGGACAACATGACTAGCCATCGTAGTATCATCTTTGAGTTTCCGTGGTATATTGGTACGCTACATTGGCATTCTAACGCACTATATGAGCTGGAGGAGGTCTCGGCTATACGGGCATCTAGTGGGTTAGGTTAACACAATCGAGCTAGGCCCCAAAGGCCCGGAACGAATAGTCAAGACTTCGATGCAGGAGTTACAGCTAGCAGAAGCGCCAGGAATTGGATAGACTTGGTAGACCGTGCACTCCTGATGCACACAAGCACTGTAGGTTGAAAGAGGTGGCATATTACCGTGCATGAAGTGATACTGCCTAAATATTGCTTTTCTTTTGAGAGGAAGCCAGGGCTTTCTAGGACTTTGAAACCAGGTCCAGTCAGTCTTGTACGTGCTGCATGCACAATTTACTTCTCGCAAAGGGATATATTACGATTCTCAAGGTGTTGCGGCAGCTGGTTCACAGCGTACTGGGCAAACAAGGTCTGGAAGCTCGTTAGCTTCATCACAGTATCACAAACGTTCTGGGCGTGACGGGGCGAGCGCATCGCATCGCTGTTTGTCGTGAGATTTGCATTCACAATTCAACGGCCTGACGGCATCTCACTGGTCCATTTCAGATTCCAGGGCGCTGCGTCGTCGCCTCCATATACATCGTTTGTTGAACAACGGGTCCCAGATTAAAGGCATCCCCGGGTGACTCGGGAGACCAGGACAAGGAATACCTCGCTTGTCATTCCAACTGGCGGGCCGCGATAGATATCCGTGCAGATATCGCTTCCCAATCGATAAAGCAGGTGATGGTGAGGTGAAACAATCGGGCGGTTGGGATTAGCGGGATCTCGTTAGTTGTCCCACCAGGCGCTTCATGGTAAGTCCGTGTTTGCCTGCCTGGGCGATCGAATGGCTGCTCGGAAATGGCGCGGGAATCCCTAATGTCAAAATAAGCCTTACTGAGATTTGACGAGTTAAGGCCACTTGGAAGCTGGGATATTGTGAACGGTATTGTAGGGTTTTAGGTATCTCTCATGACATGGGACCTGGATGTTGTCGACGATATAAGGTGATGGTGTCTTTCATACTACTTTGTACTGTGTCTGATGGTGGCTGACGATAGCACCTATTTCGAGGCATACCGAGGGGAGCCGACGTCACGATAGCGGCCAAGCAAGCGATGTCCTCAGGATTTTCTTCGTGTAACGAAGAATTGACTCTGTTCACATGACCCCTCTCGTATTACGTTGCATCCAAAAGAAGCGAATTTGGAACTCGTGCCTAGAGGCCGCCTTGGATGCCCAACGCCGATAGTTCTGATTACGGATATGGAGCTCTGATTCCAGGCGAGCGTCTGGAAGCGCGTCACCGAGCGTCCCCTGCAGCTGTGGATACACATGATGACACCCCTCCAGTGGGAATGGCAAGAAGGCTAAAAGCAGGTAGAACGTTTACGGAAGGTGGCATATGTCGCATAACGGCATCCGCAGCCCGCATCGAATCCATCTCGCAGTTGACTGTGTCACACATCAACTTTTCCCAAAGCAAGTTTGTAAATCTGAATGTTGATACACTATACATACTGCAGTCGGAGACAGTAAAACGAAGGGACATGGTGAAAACAAACGTTCGGGAACGGATGATCACACACGCACGTGGCGAGCTCAAGCGAGTGCTCTTATCGATATGACTTTTGTCGCGCTGAGGGACCCCTTGTACGTCAACCCGCACTGGAAAGCCAGCCGAAAAACGTTGATGATCTCTAATAGTGAAACATAAGGCCTCGAATCCTGTGCTAATCATTGTTAGATGAGGTTTAGACGGCAGGCAAAATCTCGTGTGTGATTCCCCGGCTTGACATCCCTTGGCAGGAACAAGCGCCGCTTCTATGCTCAAAAGGGCAACGCTTGAAACATAGTCCGAGGCTCTTCAGCCAGGAACAGTGCAAACACCTTTGCGGTCCTGAACGGGGCTGCTCCGAGACCCCACAGACTCTCGCGTCTCGCTGTTTCGAAACAGTAAGGCCAACTTCGTATCCGCACGTACGCGAGCTGGCCCTCACTCACATTGGTCGCGACGCGGTTAGGGGCTACCCGTCAGCTCTAGTGCTGGGTAGATTCGACTAACATGCTGGTCACAACGGCCTCCAGCCGCTGGAGACCGACCGTGCTGGGCGGGAAAACATACGAGCCCGCCGGCATTCTTGGTCCAGTCGTCGGCAGACGATATAAAGGCTCGAGGCCACCCGATGCGGAAGAGGGCATCACTCCCAGTGACACACATTCCCTCCCGACAAGCAAGCCTTCGTCAACATTCTTTCTACATTCACCCTTTTGTGTTCGAAAACGCTGGATCGTCTTCATTTTGAGCTTCTTTGTTGCTACCTAGGAGATTTCACTCAGACACTTCCTATATTCACAGTGGGACATTGTCAATAGACTACCCTTTTCGAATCTCCAGCACTTAAAGCTCCAAAACCTTCATTTGATACCCTGAAAAAGTCACTCATCACAAACACGGTCTATACGAATCCATCTACAAACATCATCATGTACACGAACATTGTCTCTGTGCTCGCCCTGGCCGGCGCTGCTCAGGCCCACATGTCGATGTACTACCCGGCTCCCTTAGGAGGAGCCCCTGCCATCAACAAGCAATCAACGGAGCTTGACCCCGAGTTCAACTTCCCGCTTGGCTGCTGTGGCCCTGACGGTGGTGACAGCAGGCCCTCTCCTGGTATTTGCCGCGGTCACCTTGACAAGTTCGACACTGAGGATGCTACTGTCACCTGGCAGCCTGGACAAGACGCTTACTTCCAACTGACAAACTATGACTACGACCCAGCGGCGCCTGGTGGTACCCACTCTGGAGGATCTTGCCAGGTCGGTTTCTCGACCGACAAGGGCAAGACATGGAAGATGGCCGCTTCATACCACGGTGCTTGCCCACATGCCACCGAGGATGGATCACCTGAGGCCCAGACCTTCGACTTCAAAGTACCTACTGGCATGCCTGAAGGTGATGCTATCTTCGGTTGGGTATGGCTCAATCGCGAACACGAGGTAAGTCGCGATTGAGACGAGATACATGCGAGATGTATGCTAACTCCATTATAGTCATTCATGAACTGTGCTAAAGTCCACATTGGTTCTGGCTCTGGTGCTGGCTCTGGCGATAGCACCGAGCCCAGCGAGCCATCTCAGTCTGCAACGCAGCCCGAGCAACCAGCATACTCCGAGACTGAGCCTGAGGAGACTCCTCAGCCAACTTCCGCACAGCCTGAGGCTCCCGCCGAGGACGATAAGAGCTCCGAGCAATCGCCACCCGCTTCGCCTGTCGAGGATAGCCCGGCTGTCGTTGTTACCACTGTCGTAGCTACTACTATCTACGAGCAGTACCAGCCCACACAGACAGCGACCAACGACTCTGAAGCCTCCGAGGGGACTGACGACTCAAGTGACGGCCACTGGTGGAACCGTCCTCACCAGAAGGTTAAGGCAGGCACTCGTCGTTATGCAGTTGACGGCTCTCGCTGTGAGTGCCGTCGTGACGAGCTTACCCTTGCGGCTCGCTGCTCCTGCGATTCTACCAACAAGGCCGTCGAGCGCAAGGCTCTTCGCATGCACCGCCGCACCTTCTACAAGCGTGTTGATGCGTGTGATTGGAACTCGGCCCCCAGAATGGAAGTATCGTACTTCACTGAGGATGCCAACTGCGCCCCCAATGCTAAGTCTCACATGCCTGAGAGCGACACTTTTGAGTTGGGCTGGGATGTCAACTGTGGTGTCGTTGATGGCCAGAGTGAGTATGAGATCAAGACCATGAGCTGTGACATGTATGGTTAGATGGTGGGCTGTCAGAGCGTTTCTTCTTGGTGTATGCCACATATTCTTTACATTCTTCACACTCGTTCATCACGTTCCTGGACGCTGGGTTTTTCTTTTCTTCTCCTTTGGGAATCAGGGGTGCCTATCATACGCCCTTGATCTTTCCACTTTGGCACTGCACATGCAGGGCGGATTGGCTTGTTTGGTTGCATCTGGGAGGCTTCACGACATCCACACATACATCTTATGACGGTTAGCCTGGGTTGGCACTGGGAAGAAGACATTGTACAACACTAGTCACACTGCGAAACAATTGAAAACGTTCGCTTTCAAACAGGCTTCACGGTATGCTGATTGCAGGACTAATCATGATAGTTATTTATCTACTGACTATTCAAAGCCCGATTATAACCCTCTTGAGTGAAAAGCAGGAGCAATACCGAGTTGTGATACGCAAGTAACAGCAAATGGTGATCTAAATCCTAGGACGATTGTCCACCCTTCCTGCCAGCTTCTTGGCCTTCTCACTGTCAGGCTCGGAGATACCGGATGAAGCCTTACGACCCATGGAAGCAATGTCGTGCTGTAAACGTTAATAGTGATCGTGCTGAGTAGTATGTTGCAACAAATGGACTCGGATGCTTCCACGAAGAATCGCCCAGTATAACTTCCAGATCCAGGTGCTGAGCTGTACGAGAGCTGGATGAAGAATCAAACATATTAGCATGGCTGGTAAGGGCACGCACCGGTAGAACCCATTAATTGCACAAAATTGTACAGAGTGGTTAAGACTCTACTCTTCCATGTACTACGGGGCGCACCTAACATGCGCCAACATAAACGGTAGACAAAAAAATAGATAAAAAAGAGCTCGAGTACCTAGGTAACGATCCTTGACAACGCCAGCGTCCAGATCATCATGCTCGTAACCAAGTCAGCCCAGTATACGCTTCCATCACGGCGCCGCCCCAACTCCGTGTTTTGGTGGAGATTTCCATAAACCCGGAGTTGATCCCAACGTTATGACCGGCATCTCATATCCAAACCCTTTCATAGCGCGTACAATAGGAGGCCAGGCATCCTACTCCTGTGTCTTTCCTCCACCCATACGCTCAATATTAGACAATAACCTGCTCTTCCCGCCACTTTGGCTCCGGTTCAGTCCGGGAGTACCCTGAAATTTTAGACCACCTGGTGCACGAAGACCGGACGGTTTTGCGATGGCACTACCTGTGCGCTCATTCATAGCCCCTAGACGGTCACCCATAGCACTGCCGGGGCGTCCGCCAACGAGTGCAGACGCAGGGCGAGGAGTGCTGGTGCCACCAGCAAGGAAGCCTGTGTTGCGCATTGCTTGTTGGGGTGGTGCTTGTTGTTGAGGCGCAGTAGGTGGCGCAGAGCTGATTTGTGAACGGCGAAGGTCTTCTTGTTGCATCTCTTCCATCTTCTCACCGCACATAGACAGCATTTGTTCGGCAGCTGCTACCAGCTCGCCCTTCTCAATGCGCTCAGCCTCGAGATCCTCCACAAGTATATCATGGGACTTGCGAAGGGAATGAAGCTCAGATTGCAGACCAGCGAGTCTAGCTTTGAGGTTCTCGATTTCGGCTCTCTGCGCTTCTAGCATCTGAGCGTCTTCGGCGTTTCGTGTAGACTTTGTGGGGGATGCTCTTTGGTTTTCGTCCTCGGAGTTATGCTGATCGGGGTTGATCCTGCTGAATGTGCTGTCACGCTTTTTCTCTGCCTCCTCAACTTGTCGTTCGAGACTAACAATCTGCGTCCGAAGCTCCTTACACTTATCATCGGCCTTCTTCTGGTAGTTGTCCTTGAGGGCCTTAATCTTCTTCTCATGCTTGGCCTTGTAAGCTGTATGTAGGTCGCGTGCAATCTCATTGACCTTCTCAGCAATCGCAGATTGGCATTCGAGCTCAGAGTAGACCTTTTTGTTCTCGTCTCCCTCGTCGTTATTGATGAAAGTCGTCATGTCCACGTTCTTGCTTTCAGCGTCAATGACCTTGGTTTCAAGCTCAGCCGAGCGGCTCTCAGCATCGTCTGCACGCTTCTCAGCATCAGCTAACCTCGCTAGGAGATCTTCACGCTCAGCGTCATTACGAGCCATCTCGGCCTGGACGTCTTGCAGTAATCTTTGGACCTCTTCACCCTTTGATTTCCAGTCGACCATTTGAGTCTCTGCATATTCGCGAGCTGAGCGTTCGTCGCGGACGGTCTCTTGGGCTTCGCCAACCCGGCGCTCAGCATCGGCAATAGCTTTTGAAAGAGCGTCGATCTCGGCTTCTTTTCCAGATAAGCTAGCTGTAAGAGACGAGACCTGAGATTGGAACTGGGATTTTACAGACTCCAACTCACGAATAGTGACAGTAGGCAGTGAACGTGGTGTTGGTGGTGGAGGCAGCTCGAAATCTAACAAATTCAACATTTGACTTCTCTGGTTCGGGGTCGCAGGTACTTGCGATCCACCTTTGGCCGGTGATCGCTGGTTTTGGTAGTATGCGCGGAGGTTTGGCTCAGCAGCGGACTTGCTAGGCGAATGGCGGCTGCGTCCTGCTGACTCACGGCGGGATGAGGAAAAGGATTCGATCTGAGCTGTAAAGTCTAGGAGTAGATTTGTAGTATCATTTTCATTGTATGCGCGCCGTGGCGTAGGGCTAGGTGTACGTTCGGACCGGCGGACTGTGGACGGGGTCATTTGAGTGCGAGCGCGAGGCGTAGCCTTGTCATGTTGTCAGTATCTTGTATCAGACGGATGTCGTACGAACTCACATCTGGCATCTGGTTTTTGGCTGGGCTCTGCTTCAGGCCGGCAAACTTTGTCATATCTATTCCGGGCATTTCTGAGAAGTTGCTGAAGCAGGTATCGTCAACATCCAAGGATGTTACTTCTGGGCCGTCTGGGTTGAAGTCCGTGTTGTCCATACTCAGATCGATCTCGTATTCATCGTTTCGCAAAGATTGTTTCCTTGGAGTTTCCCGATTTCTCGAGCTACTCTCTTCCATGAATTTCATTGCAGTGGTCAAGCCTTCATTATCACGAAGGGCTGGCTCTTGGTGAGAAGAGGCCGGTCGTTTTGATGGCGTGACAGATATTTGGCGTTGGTGTGTATGTGTTGTCTTGCGCTGAGCCGTTCCGGGCGAAGGAACGCGGGACGATTTCGAGGGTGACTGACTCTTGTGGGAGTTGCTGCTCATTGCGGAGCCTGGTCGCTCGATGGGAGTCTCCTTGGCTGAAGAGATATCTCTCTTGGGCGTGTGTTGATCGTCGCTGCTAATTTTGAGTGCCGCGTCGTCGAAGTCGTCCATTAAATTCTTCACCGGGAGCGTCTTCATTGGGCTTGTGCGCTCTTTCAACCCATACTTCTTCTCTGGCGACACTCTGAACGCAGATTGCGGTGCGCTGTCCTCCAGATCAACTAATGGCTTCACAGGTGTGGCCGCTGCGTTGGGGGCAATATTCTCTTGGTCTTCGACATCAATGTGGTCCATAAAAGGCGATGAGGGAGGGTCGTTGTACGCCATATCGATATCGTCGATGATGATGTCGTCAGAGTAGGTGTTTAGCTTCTCCGACGAAAGACTTGACATTGGTTCCGTCATGTGTGCGATTCGGAGTTTGCGGTGTCTAGAGTCGGCCACAGTGTCGATGCGGAGCGCACAAGAGTGTGTTGTGGCTGCTTGTTTACAGTCCGTGCGCACTCGTTGCCCCTTCCTAATACGGTAACCCCCGTTTTGGCCGAAACCCTGAGCCAGCCGCTGTTCACGACGTGCTGCATTGCCAAAATTTGCTTGTAAAAGCAATATCACAACATACGCACTGGGTTTGCACAGGTGATGTGTATGATTAGGATTCTCGGTCCTAGTTAATTGTGTATATATTTCCGCCCAAGTGCATAATCCATTTCAATAGTTGATTGCTCCTCGCAATGCGCCTGCAAGTCTTTGGTACTCCTTTAGTAGCTCCTCAACCTCTTTGAGCTTCAAGTCTTGAGCATCCTTCGCCTCTAAAAAGCGTTTGGAAGGCGGTGTAGTCTTCTTTAGCTGCTCTAACGCAGCAACTGCTCTCGCTCCCTTGTCATCTATTGGCGGTATTTCATTCGTGGCTGTGCGGCTCAGCGGCTCTGGAGAAGGCGATGCCTTGACCTGCTCTTGGCTCGGGGATGGGAGCACAGGCGTGCTACTGCTGCTTACGGCGCGTGCAAAGCGGGGCAGTACGTTCATACTGGACAATCGGTTCAAAGGATTGAAGTTGTTGCCCATGTTGCGTAGAGAGTCAACAGCGGAAATATTGCCTGGTGCTGGAGCATCCGCCTTAATAGGAGCTGGTGATGGTGCCTTCTCTTCTGCATTCTGTGATGTAGCGAATGCAACACGTCGTCCGCTATTGCTTCCCCCGGATTTAGTGGAATCGACGCTACGATCTCTAATCTGCCTTTTGCCAGCAAAAAGATCAGCCATCTTCGCGTCCAACCCTTTGCTAACTGGAGTTTCTGTAGACTCGTCACCATGTACTGAACTCGCTGCACTGATGCTCAGGTTATCATCATCCCGCTCTGCACGAGTGGGAGAGCTCACAAGCTTCCTTGCATCTTCTAGTGTCTTGGGGAGTACCGGTTGTTCCTGCATGGGTCCATCTGGGTTCTTTTCTTTTAGACCACCGAAGAAGAACTTGAAGCTGGTGTCTAATGTGTTGTTAATTCTGCCAAGTGCTTGGTCGGCCGAATCAAGAATCGAGTCCCGAACTGCATCAGAAGCAGCCTCAATTTTGTTAGTCTGCGTTTGGATGAGGTTGCTCAACCGACGCTGAGCTTTGGTAGTTGTCGGACTTGAAGGTTCCCTGGTATGAGTTTTGGAGATGGGAGTGGCTGGAGTTTGGATAAGATCCGGCGCGTCCGAAAGTCCCAAGGGCATTGGTGTAATCTCGGATTTGGGCGTCGAAGGCCTTGAGTCTGACTTTGTAGGAACGGCTTCTTCGGCACGTAGGGAAGAAAGATCGACGGTTTCCAAGAATGAAATGGCTGCCTCCAAGTTGACCAGGCAGTATGCGGTCTCGCCATCCATACGGCTGGATCCGCGAAATCGATGTATAAAATTCAGGTCGCTAATAACGTTCAAGTCGACTGGTGGTATAGTGATAAGTGCGTAGATCAACGTTGGGAGGATTTCATCAGCAGACGAAGTGGAAGGAAATATCTTTGACAGAGCTTCGACAATGGACTTGTGTGCAGCAGTCAGATGTTGGACCTTTCCAAGCGGATACTTCTCCTCATTCATCTTCAAGATGTCTTGACGTGCGGCAGATAGGTATTCTCGGATCTCAGGCTCCTTCTCTTTGGCTTTCTGACGTTCCTCCTCAGTCAACTCTTCGCCAGTCATCAGGAGCTCTTTCAAGCCAATGCCAACAAGCGAGAGAGCAGCTGTGCGCGATCTGAGCTTATGGTCCCTTTCCTCGTCATCAGTGCTCCTATGCCGCCATATCCGCTGGTAGACCTTCTCGCACACGGCGCGTTCCACGGCCTCTTCGAGTGCGAACCGCTTGAGCTCGAGCGATCTCCGTGCCTTCTTGCGGTCAGCCATTTCTGTCGCACTAAGCATCTGTTGTTCCCCTGACGGATCGTTTCCCTTGGATATCGATGATGGTTTGCTTGATGGGGCGGCCCCCTTCTTGGCGTTTGCAACATAGTTATCACTCGTTAATCGAGCAGAGAGGGTGGCTATGTGTGTGTTGATTTTTGCAGAGGCGCGGCCGTAGAAGTCTTGGAAGAGATGGGCAAGGGCATCGGCGGATAGGGGGGTAGGATGGACTTTGGCTGTGAGGGATTCGAGGAATCTACGGACAGGTTAATGCAGTGATGCGTGACATGGGCGACAGAAGATACCTCTCGGTCAAGCTGCGGATCTCGATGGGAAGCTCCTCAAAAGTGTCGGGTACTGCGGGTTCCTCACCCTCAGTGTTGTCGTCACCGTCTTCCTTGTTGGCAAAGACGTCTCCATCAGTATGCTCATCTTCCTCTGGCACCATGGCAGCCTTTAATGGATCTAGCATATCTGACGCGTTTGGGCCCTGCAGTGTATTCGCTCGACTTCGCGAGAGCGGACTCTTGGGCGCAGAGTCGAGACGCGTAAAGGAGCGTGAGGGATGCAGGTTTCTGGGCCGCCCGGTCATGTTGTTATTGTTGCAGGGCGTGGAATGGAAATCTAAAAGTGTCGTGCGCCTGCATTGGAGAGCTCATGCGTTCACGTCATGCGGCAGCAATGGGCACTTCGGATTGTACTGAAACCCGTCTTGGTGCGCTTGAGACGAGGATGCACTGCAGCAGGTACAAGGGGTCAGATGGGCTGGCTGCTAACGGAAGCCGGCAACGAGTGACGTTGGAATGGACGTTGGTACTTGTGGTGGTGGAGCTATCTGGAGCTCGCTATCAGATGCCAGTGCGAGCTCCCCCGCACCGACCCGCCGCCACTGGATGCTCCTTTTGCGGAGAGCTCGGGCATGGCGTGAAGCACCGATCGTCATCGATGTTCGCCGATGGAGGCAGCCATCACCTGCTGTTTGGACTTCCCATCGCCTTCTTTGTCTGGTTCGTAGCCCCTTTTCCTTGTCACACTCTCACAAGATGCGACGACAAACCCCCTGCCCTTCTGCATCGCGCGTGGCTGCGTCCTTCTTGCTGTCGTTCCTGGCCGTGAGCGTTGCGGGCGCGGCTGACATGCCCGTCTTGCCGCCGCCGCCTCTTCCACATAGTGCTCACAACGCCGACAAGGACTTTACCCTGCGACACATCTTCCACCACGGCACCTACAGGTATCCCGAGCTTCACCGTCGCATCGACATCCCAGAACATGCCACAGTATGGACGGCCGGAGACGAGGACGCGGCCAGGCGCGAGCCTGTGCCGCGGTTGCGCGTCAGATCCGAGACCATGAGCATACAGAGACTGGCAGATAGGAGCAAGGAAACCATCACTGGCATACTCGAGTGGGGGAGAAGGACCGGGAGAGGCGTGCAGTTGCCCGAAGAGGACTGGACAATCGACGACATAGCAGGCCCCAACGTCACCGACCGAGAGACAGTCCTAAGCTTCGCACGCATGGCCTCGGACGCCTACATACTAGAGCCTGGTACGGGGGAGTGGGAGGATGTCGGTGGCGGCTTCAACTATACTGAAGACTTCGGCTGGGAATCAGACGGTCTGCGAGGCCACATCTTCGCCGACACCGAGAACTCGACCGTCGTCATAGGCTTGAAGGGCACGTCGCCCGCCATGTTCGACGGCTCTGAGACAACTACAAACGACAAGATCAACGACAACTTGTTCTTCAGCTGCTGCTGCGGTCAGGGCGGCCAGTACTTGTGGCGACAAGTCTGCGACTGTCAAACCTCGGCCTTCACCTGCAACTCGACCTGTCTCGTTACTGCCCTTCGCGAGAAGAACCGCTACTACTACGCTGCACAGGATTTGTACCACAATGTCACAGCATTATATCCCGATGCCGAGATCTGGATGGCCGGCCACTCTCTCGGCGGTGCCGTGTCGTCTTTCCTCTCCCTCACGTTTGGACACCCTGCAGTCACTTTTGAAGCCGTCCCAGAAGCCATGCCGGCGTCGCGTCTGGGTCTTCCGGTACCACCAGGCCACCAGATTGGCTCGCTGCAGCAGCGCAAGTTCACCGGTGGCTTCCACTTTGGACACACCGCTGATCCCATATACATGGGCGCATGCAACCAAGCTACCAGTGCTTGCACAATTGGCGGGTACGCTTTGCAGAGTGTCTGCCATACTGGGCACAAGTGTGTATATGATACAGTCAAAGACTTTGGCTGGCGTATGGGTATTGGCACACACAAGATTGTGGAAGTCATTCGAGACGTTATACTCAAGTATGATGCACCGCCCAAGTGCGAAGCTTACGTCGACTGTACCGATTGCTACACCTGGGAGTATTTCGAGAGCAACGGCACCGAGACGACTACCAGCAAGAGCTCAAAGCCAACAGCCACATTGACGTCAACCAGGTCTAGTCGCACGCGAACTGAAACATGCAAAACGCCAGGATGGTGGGGATGTCTCGACGAATCTACAACCAAAGCACACAGTAAGACCACGATTACGACGACATCATCGACCTCCACATGTAAGACGCCCGGTTGGTTCGGCTGCAAAGACGAGACGACTGCTACTACGACCATGACAATCACTACCACGCCCGCTCCAGCACCTACTGTGACAACCACGTCGTCGACGCCCACATCTACTTCATCGTGCAAGTATCCAGGCTGGTTTGGTGGATGCCTTGACGGCGATGGTCCGCCTGCGAAGACACATCATACGCCCAAACCAACCCCGACAGCTACCTCCGCCAACACGTCGTGCACTTCTGAAGGCTTCTTTGGCCTTATATGCTATGACAAGTCAAAGAAGCACAGGAAGACAAGTTCCAACCCGCCAGTGACTGAACAGATGGAGATGTAGACATGACTTCAAAGAAAACTAGGTAATTCAGAGTGCTCTTTTTTGTTGATTTTAGGCGCAAAGGCAGGTATTATATCCAGGCGTACATACGGTTTTTGGCATGTAGTATTTACACGCATCGCGATGTCTCTTCAACAATATCACTAAGCAAACAAATAAACACTACATCATACGTTGTCTATTTTAGGCTGGCTTTGTAATGGAGATGCGGAGATAGCGGGAATGCATGTTCGCTACCGTTCCCTTCGGAATGACTGCGGACCGCCTAGTCTCGAAGCCTATGTAGTCTGTGTGCACAAGCTTTTGTTTGACACGATCGAGAAATTCTTGTTGTGAGACATTGGTGGCTTTTTGTGCCGGAATTCAAATATCGCTCAAAGTCATAGCCAAGGGCCGGGCTTCGGCATCTTGTACGAAATCCATTGCGTCATAGAGAACCACGCCATTTTGTGTGCGCGTATATGTGTGTACATTCAACCCACACCGCTACGCGTGATGTGTTCCCTGTTCCTGTCTGAAAAGGATGTGTTGTTGCAAAGTTAGACACGGTACCGTACGAGTTGGGCAGTACTTGATAGCGACCGAACCATGTGTCCGTATGAACTATGGGATCTGCAGCCCGAACAACATGTGCGACAGGGATAAGGCGAGAGGAAGATGCTTGCTCTGCTTGAGTTGGCGGCTGATGTCGTTGGCGTGACAAAGTGGCGGTCTGACTTAGTGGTAGAAGTCTGAGGATCAACCACTCTAGAAGATTAGAAGACGTGAAGCAGACGAGTCGCGTCGGCCGTAGCATCTAGCATCCCCACCTGCCCTTTTGGCCAGAGAGCGACGGTGTGTTTTCCAGACGCAGCCTTCTGCTCTGCACGGTCTCGGGTGCCGATCAATGTAAGGATCCCCGAGCGTCTTGCGGTGGGGCGCGTCGCGAGGTTTCAGGATTGCATGCTTGCAGCCGGCGCGCGCGGATGCACGCAGCAGGTTTTTCTGCGGTTGAGGCAGTATCTCGGTGTCTTGATAGCCATCATGTGCGCTGCAGACGTGAGGTCGCGGCCGTCATAGTGCGAGTTCGACAGTCGTGGCGGCAACCTCGCAGCCGTTGACCTGGCGGGTGACGCTAAATAGCAAATGTCGCAATAGACAGGGGCGGCTCGACGATAGCCCATACAGCTGACAAGGCGGTTTTAGCATGCGATTGTCGGGCCCAGAGCGAGCCAGCTAGTCTTCGCAGCCGTGCCTTGGAAATGGCTTTTTCGTCGATTCCTCTTAAGTTGCTCGATCGCCGATACATCCAGCTTCTGTCTACTCGATCTTTCCGCTCTCCGCCCCGTCCTCGTCGCCTCTCCGCTGCGCCTATTTGGAGTTTCCGCCCACAGCCTCAGCCCTACCGACCTAGTCACGGGACCGTTTGTTTTCAGGCACCCCCTCCCCTTTGCTGGTTCTCAGAGACCCTGCAGCTGCGGCATCTAGCCAGCTTTTCCTGCCCTGACGACATCACCCCTACGGTTTGCCCGCGCCACTGAGCTCTGATACCACAGCCGCACCGTGTGGCATCGCTTCTTGCTGCGAATACATTCGGCTGTTTTCTGCGTTCGTCGGCTGTACCCAGGGCTGTGCCTGCACATCATCGCTCGTGCGCCCGGCAACACAGGGAGATTGCCTCATTATACACCTACGTCATTGTTCAGCGCAGCGGCAATCCCCACCAAACCAAGACCCTTCACACCGCACCAACCACTCCTGCATTACTTGCACACACACCCTCCCGCAGCCATCAAGTCCCCATATTCATGCACCTATCTCCTACCACGACTTAATCTGCCCGCCCAGCAGCCACATTCACGCTTCACCCAGTTGACGCGTGTGAAGGCCTCACACCATGTCCACGCCTGCCCTATCGCCTAGGCCCAGAGGTTCCTCCCACACATCTTCTCGCCCACGAGGTTCAGGATCGACGCCCATGACGAGGCCAAGTGCCTCACTACATCCGACGTCTGCGCTACCCCCCCTCACGCCCCGCATGAACGGGGTAGCCAAAACACCGAGCCATGTAGCCTCACAGAAGACGAAGGAACCCTCGACCCCCTCACCTAACTACTTTGGTCTTGCCGTCAACAGCAATGCCGACCACTTCTCCTCTAGTGCTGCCCAGCACATTCGCGGAAACTGGAGCCCACCCACTTCCAACGTGCGCTCGACAGCTGCCGCCTCCCCACGGATAATACCCGTTGAGCAGAACCCAGAGTTTGAGCAATTTAGGAAACAGTCGGAGAACAACAGAGCTTTTGCTCTGGGCAGCTTCGACTTTGCATCGCCCGGCCTGAAGGCACAATCCAAGAGCCCCTTCTTCGCCAACATCGACTCCGCACAGCCCTCGTACTCACAGTCGCAGTCGATGCCACCGCCCGACCGACCAGGCGACAAGAGCGATACCAGCGACGAGCAAGAGTTCGCCCCCAAGCCACGTTCCCCAAAGCGCATGCTTTCGACCGAATCCTCCATGTTTCCCGACCGACCACGAAGGAATTCCCCAGCAAGCTTTGATGGACCCGGTCGTTCAGATGCTGTCGCCCAGTTCGCCGAACCCCGTATCCCACGGCCATCGTTACCTTCAAAGAAGACGCATCCCCAGCAAATTTCAATATCCACTCACCGTGCTGAGACGCTTCCCGCGCATTTTGAGGAAGAAGGCAACACTACCGGACCCACTATGGTCACTGCTCAACATATCGTCAACATCCTCCAGTCTTCCATTGACGAGGTCCTTGTGCTGGATCTCCGTGTGTCGACACAGTATGCCAAGGCTCGCATAACAGGCGCACTGAGCCTCTGTATTCCTACGACGCTGCTCAAGCGCGCTTCCTTCAATGTCCAGAAGCTAGCTGAGACCTTCAAAGATGACGAGCAAAGGGACAAGTTTGAGCGATGGAGGAGCAGCAAACACATCATAGTATATGACGCCAACTCGTCGCAAATGAAGGACGCCACAACCTGTGTCAACACCCTTAAAAAGTTCACCAGCGAGGGTTGGTCAGGTGGCACTTTTGTCATCCGTGGTGGATTCCAAGAATTTGCTGAAAAGTTCCCAGCCTGGATCACACACCAAAGCTCTGGAAGTCCGACCTCCGGCACTGCTGCTCTGAACCTCAACTCCGATCTCCCTGCTGTCGCGCCTGTTATCGGTGGCTGTCCCATGCCTGCAACCCAGAACGCTGCTAACCCTTTCTTTGGCAACATTCGTCAAAACATGGACCTCATTGGTGGAGTCGGGCAGATGCCCGTCAACCAGCCAGCAGGCATGACCCAGTCAGTGGAAGACGATCTTCCACAGTGGCTTCAGGCTGCATCTGAAGAGCAAGACAAGGGCAAGACAGTCGCAGAACGATTCTTGCAAATCGAGAAACGTGAACAAAAGCGTATGCAAAAGGCTTTGTCTGGTGAAGTTGTCTACGACGCTCCGTCGTCATCAGGAGGCAAGGGACAGCATATACAGATTGCAGGTATTGAGAAAGGTTCGAAGAATCGCTACAACAATATCTGGCCATACGAACACACTCGTGTCAAGCTCGAAGGAGTTGCTGAAGGAAGCTGCGATTATGTCAACGCCAACCACGTCCAAGCCGCCTACTCCAACAAGCGTTACATCGCAACGCAGGGACCCATACCGGCTACCTTCAAAGTATGTTCTCATTTATGTATATCACGTCACCCACTAACACTTTGACAGGACTTCTGGAACGTTGTTTGGCAGCAAGACGTTCGTGTCATTGTCATGTTAACTGCCGAGCAAGAAGGTGGACAGGTCAAGGCCCACAACTACTGGTCCGATAAGCGATATGGCCATCTACACCTCAACCCACTTGGCGAACGCAGGGCGTCTTTGGAGCCGTCGAAGATCCATCGTCACAGGGAACAATCGAGGCCATCAGTGGGTCAGCGCAGGTCAACGAACCCACCGAAGCTTGCCAACTTCACCAAGGAAGCTACTACTGGTTCTTCTAACCAGGAGCAGCCTTATGTCATCGTGCGCAAGTTCACTCTTTCGAACGATGATGAACCCTTCGCGCGTATGCGCGAAATCACACAGTTGCAGTACTCGCACTGGCCTGATTTCGGAGCCCCAGCCCATCCTACGCATTTATTGGGCCTGATTGAGCAGACTGATGCTGTTGTCCGCTCGGTCAACGGTGGCTCGCCTTCGCAGCCTGACCCACCCAACAGCCGCCCGATTATAGTCCATTGCTCCGCCGGATGTGGCCGTACTGGTACTTTTTGCACGGTCGACTCCGTCTTGGATATGCTCAAGCGGCAAAGGCAAGCTCGCAACGCCAGGCAATCGACTCCAATGGACACCGACGACAAGTTAGCCAAGAACGAGCGCGAAGAGGACAGCTGGGTGAACAACGAGGAGACCGATCTTATTGCAAAGACCGTGGAGGACTTCAGACTGCAGCGGTTGAGCATGGTACAGAGTCTACGACAGTTTGTACTATGCTACGAAAGTGTGATGGAATGGCTCGTTGAGCAGCACCCCAAGTCTGCGTAGAGCGCGGCGACTCAAACGATGTCTTCTGCTGACGGAAACATCTTTGTGCCCGTAATCATAATATGGAAATGAGAAACACGAATTTGTTAACGACCAAGGTAAACCGGGCAAACGGCGGCGCATGCATCATCATCGGTGTAGGACTGGGACTCATTGGGAGGCGTTCTGCATGCACGCAGCATTGTTTGGCTTAGAGCATATACATACATTGGGTATGCATTGGGACAGGTGTCATGGTGGTTTCGGCGTACAAGGGGCTTTAGCATAGTGTTCTTTGGTTTTGCTTAGATAATTTGAGCATTGCATCCTCCTACATATACTCTCTGTTGCATGTCGGTCTGCGCCATGATGTTATCACAATCACATCACTAAGAACGTAATGATTGTAAAAGAAGCCATTTCTTGTCCATGGAGAGATATTATCTAAGAATGGCAAAAAAATAAAGCAATAACACCATATTTCTGTAATACTACAAGCACCAATACCCAGGTAGACTCAACAAACTACTCCCACTATTGACTTACAAGCAAGATAGAATAAGCTAATAAGCAGCATTCCCCTGGTCATGCTCCTTGATATACTCGGCACCCTTTTCCAGAAATTCCTGCCTAGTGACAAAATGTTGCCTCGACTCCTTCTTGCCCGCCCATTGGGCCGCGCCACGCCAGGCATCAAGTACACAGTCCCCAGCTTTTCTTACGTTGATGGTTTGTTCAGCGGGGAGCACGGCGCGGAGTTCAGAGCGCAGGCGTTCCTCGAAACCCTGGAACATGGTGTTGCCACCTGTGAGGAAAATGTCCTTCAACACGTCGTCGCGGTGGGGCGAATCTGCCAGACGCTCTGTGAGAATATTCGAGGCAATTTCTACAATGCCAGCTTGGTCGAGACCTGCGATTGTCGGTTGGAAGACGACTTCGGGGACGCGGATGCGTTCAACGTTGAGGTGGATTTGGTTCATTTCCCTTTGGGACTCGGCGTCGTAAGGGTAGGGACCGTGGAGGAAGGAATGGAGGATGGATTTTGTCCAGTCTGTTTGTGCTTCGCGGGTTGATTCTTCGGTGAAGTCGGGGTCGTGTTGGAGAAGCTGGGATTCGATTTCTTTAAGATTCTTGGAAAGATCTTCTTCTTCTTCGTCGTCGGAACCTTCACCTGTAGCAATGGTGCGGTAGACACCCCAGTCTGCATCGTCGGCGCCAAAGGTGTCATCATCACCACCACCTCGTCGCCGCTTCTTGGTGGGTGCGTCCGAGGCAAGGTTGGCGATGGACTTCATTCGCATTTGGTTGGCGAGCGACTTGCGGTTTCCAAGTTCAGCCTTGAGACGCTCACGGTCCTTCATCTTCTGGATAATGGCTTGGCGAGCTATTCGGCGCTCTTCTATCCAGCCTTGAGGATCGGTTTCCCGCCGTTGGTCGTCAAGTCGTTGCTCTTCTGCTTGCCGTGCCTTCTCCTTCTCCTTTTCAATCTTCGCACGTTGGCGTGCATCGTAGTTTGACTTCATCAATCGTTGCTGTCGCTTTTGCTTAATACCCTCCTCGTCAAGCTGATCATCCGGAACCTCCAACAGGGGGAATGTAGGTGCTTCGACCTGCTCCTCCTCTACATCGCCAAGGTCCTTGTTACGAGCCTTCTTGATTGCGGCTTCCAGTTCCTTGACTCGTTTGTTGAGCTGGTTCTCGTCATCGAAGTCATTTGACTCAAGTATCCGTGCCTTTTCCTTTTTCGTGGTAATCTCTTCCAGTTGCGTCTGCAACTGCAAGCACCACTCCAGCTCTTCTTCTTTCTTCTTCAGCTTCTCCAGACGCATCTTTGCCGCCTGGGCCTGCAGCCTACGACCACTCTCCTTGCGCTTTTCCGCTGCAGCTGCCAGCTCTTCCTCGGTCTTTTGCACCACGATCTGCTCAGTATAAGGGAACTGAATTGTATGGTCTCGGTCTTCCAGGCCCGTCCAATCCAGGTAGCGGCTCAGGTCATTCTCGTAGTCTTGTGATACATAACAATGCTCTCGAACGAGGTCTTCAGCCTGGTTGTCGCTAATCTTTCCGGGGAATGTAGGGTACTTCAGCCTCAGTAGCTTGAGCAGGTATTGCGCGGACTGGAAGCGACCCCAGTTCAGACGCGTGGTTTGTGACAACAAGGGCTTGGAGTTTACTACGGGAATAATGTGCGTAGAGGTGTACGAAGAGTCCATGACCAGGCCGTTGCGACCGCCATTGTATGAGTAGGAGAAGAGCGAGTCGATACCGTATGCGACGGATGGTGCGCCGTAGCACTCGAAGAGGATTTCCGACATGGCTGTAGAGTTGATGTTAGCTGTACGCACAGTCTCATCTGTCATTGGCTCACGTACTCTTTCGTGAATAGCCCAGGTTCGCAACGGGCTCTGTCATGACGATGGGTCTATCTATGCGCCCGGAGCGTCCATCCACACCCATTTTAACAAAGCAGTAGTCAAGCACGCCCTCCATGACGTCCCAATTGTTCACGACGTTGCTGCCAGGCTCATAGACAGGCTTGGACTGTCCTCGCGCCGTACCGTCGGCGTAGACATCTGAGCCAACAAAGGTAAAGGTTCGGTTGAGCTTGCGGTCGCGGTACCTCGCCATGTTGGGCAACACTGATAACCGGGGTTTGGAGTCAAAAGACCACCCAGCGCGGACTGCGGACGAGCCTACAGTATGTTAGTCTGGGTAGAAACACGGGCGCATGTGCATTGCGAGCGTACCATTGTCAATTACGATGGCAGTTTCGCCGTTGCTACGCGACCATCCTTCTTTGTCGATGGGTCTGAAGCCTTCAAAAGGCGGTTCCGACACGCTCCAGAGCTTGGGTGGAGGTTTGGGTGGATTGCGCCCTGCGAGTTGGGGCGCCTCGTCGATAGCTGAGGGGGCCATGGCGGTGAAGTTGGAGATGGAGATTGGCCGAGGATCAGGTTGTTATTTCATATCGCGGACGGGAGATGTGGCGTGTGAGCTTGTTTAGCGCGACTGGCACTGAGGATGCGCGGCATTGCGGTTGCCATGTGGTGAGGCTCTTGCGATGCTCGGTGGTCCGAGCCCGTCTCCGTCCAGGGCCATGTTACGCTATTTCACATGACGACCATGCTCATTGCTGTGGTGCACGAAATTTGGACATGGTCATATCTCATTATTGGCTATCTACCCGCTCCATTCTGCTCCTTGTCTCCATAATTCCGGCTGTATGCGAGCTTTGGCTGTGCCGCGGGAAATGCAAATTGCACACCAAGAATACTCTACGTCGTATGCTTACGCAGGATCCTTCAGACCGTTTGTTGCTTTGGCCTGTCAGCTATGTCATACAGAATTCTCGACAGGACCGTATACCTTCTAGGTGAAAAAGAACGTTGGACTGGTAGTTCTTGAACATCTGAGCTACGAGCTCCGTGTCCATGTTCTGGATATTGATCTCTTGGAGATTTTTGTTTAGCATCATGATGGCCTCGTTCAACTTCTCCTTTGGAATAATCAGCATGCTTGTCTTGACTGGACCTGGAAACGTTTGGCTTGACTGACAACATTCACGATGATGCGAGAGAGCAGTTGGCTCTGTTGGTGTTCGTGTGGACTTTCCTGGAGACGAGGTCAGATTCACGCGCCGCTCAGGGGGCTGCTTCGTGACATCTCACCATTATTGTACCTCTGTGATATTGACGTTGGTTGTACGCGTCCAAGTTGTCTGGTGGGGAGGATGAAAGCAGTTAGTGTGGGTATGCAGGTCCAGAGGTCGGGCGGGAGAGCTCCACCTCCGCAAGCTCCATCGCGATACAACACCAACGCTCTGCCACGCTCACATTGATTCCCGCCACAGCTCACGCACCAGCATCGCGACTTATCAGATCAGCCCATCAAAACCGGCCCCGCACGCGATCAACGTGGAATAATAACAGGCCGACAACGCGACAAGACAACACGGAATCGCAGCCAAGACACCCAAGCCCATCGACTGCGATTTCTTGAGATCCCGGCACCTCCAAGCATGGCACCATTAACAGCCGCCTCGGATGAGAAAACGCATCAGGCGCTTCTTGATAAGCTTGACATCTACGCAGTACCCAAGCCTTTCCGCAACCCAAACTGGAAGCCACCGCAGCGACGCAACAAGAACCTCAAGCAGATTCTTGGCGAGGCGTCACGCAAAGAAGCCTCAGTCATGGCCACACAGAACAACAGCGGTAACTCGACACCTGCCGTAACTGCTGAAGGCAACGCTGCTTCCGGCCGCGCACCGAACATCGCCCAAGCAGCCCAGAGTCTGAGCACCCTGGTATTGGAGAAGAACGGCAGAGCTGCTGCTGGGCCGGCACCTACATACACCAACATCGAGTCGGCTCCGAGCTTCCACCCGAGCAGTCAGAAGAAGTACTGTGATATCACCGGTCTTCCTGCACCATACACCGATCCCAAGACGCGTCTAAGGTACCACAACAAGGAGGTGTTTGGAGGCATCCGTACCATGCCACAGAACGTGTCAGAGGGCTATCTCGCCGCAAGAGGTGCACACACAATCTTGAAGTGAGCGTTACCTCGATGCCGAGGTAGCTCCTACTACTCCAAGGTTGATAGTATGACATGCGTCCTTCACAGTCGGCGCAACGCTGCATTCGACAGAGGCTCAAGTTCATTCACTTGTCTAAAGTCTTGCATCAAACGGGCTAATGAAATGGGTACAAGCCTGGTCAGAAACCCAGGTGTAATTGAGGTTATGTATGATCATCAAAGTCAAACTACTCTCCACCCACCACATGCCTTTCGGCTTATGGCTCAAGGAGGTGTTCCGGCTTAACCGTGATCCAGTATTCTTCTGCGCCCATAAGACAGTATACCAGGGCCTCGAGGGAGGATTCCTAGTTACAGCAGCTTGAAGCATGCTGTTGTCAAGGCGGGATCTACATTGTAATAGTCATTCAAGTATCTTGTAGCTGTAGAAAAGAAACAACGCATCAATTGCTCTTTCTTGCTGAGTGTTTGAATGTTGACTACCTGTTCTCACTTTAGATGGTCGAGGGTTGTAGAGACTGAGAAGCATGATGCCAGAATTTTATGCGACAACCCGCGGGAACTCCAGCGCTAGCAGGGGTAAACTTTGGGCCGACCACCGACTGCGCGCGCCGCGTCTCAACTCTCACCAAGGGGACACGAGACAAGAAATCGACGGATACCGCCTTCGTGCCAGACGTACAGTGGAACCAGGTGCCCATCTACTACTTGTTCACTATTATCACGTTTTAAGTCTTCTCAACTATACAACCTCGCACGTTGCGCGCTGTACACATTCCGAACTTCCAAGATGCCGACTATGTGGCTTTCAGATACCCAGAGTATGTTGCGCCAACATGCAGCTTCGCGGTTACTGCATAGAACATCTGCTGACAACAGGAACAGAGATAGGGGTCGCTTTCTGCTCAGGGGGTAGGTACGCGCCCACTACCACGAATGCGCTCACTGTTCAACATCGGATTGACAAGACGAACAGGCGGACTCTTTCTGATGGGAGGTGTCATGATGTTTTTTGACCGCGCAATGTATGTCTCATCTCTTCACATATACATACATGCTTTGCTGACATGGTCATAGGCTCGCAATGGGAAACGTACGTTTATACCACACCTCCAAACCTCTACCTCTACCTCTACCATCGAACCAGCTCTGATACCCCCTTAATAGATATTATTTCTAATTGGCCTCACACTCATCATCGGAACAACCAAAACCGTCGCATTCTTTGCTCGCAAGCAGAAATGGAAAGGCACGGTGGCTTTTGTCGCTGGTATATCGCTTATTCTGATGCGATGGGCTTTCATCGGCTTCATAATTGAGCTATACGGCATACTCGTTCTGTTTGGGGATTTCCTGATGACAATCGCGGGTTTCGTCAGTAACGTACCGGTGATTGGACCGTATATTGCTAGGGCACTGGAGGCGATAAGTGGTGCGAGACGGAATGCCGATCTGCCTGTTTGAGATGGCATGGACAGCATCGACGTTACGATATGACGAAGTATGGATAGAGACTTTAGGACCTTGTATGATACACAGACGCACGAAGAACGGAAAGGCATTGCTTAACGCTGGGTCGGTCGTGACAAGCAGGATAACAGATAAGGATTAGCATTCGTATTCACGGCTAACAGATATTGCTTTGGATTGCTATCTATTTCAGTCAAAAAGAAGCATTACAATCTCAACGTAAACTGTAAAAACGTATTTCTACTTTGAAGTTTAATGGCGCTATTCAGACGTCCCTGAGTACTCCAGATACTCAGGTACAGACTTAGAGAAAGGTCACAGCTTGTGTCTAGTTCTCTCAATCGATGCAGATATTCGTCGTGTGAGTCTTTGGAGCTCTCCAAACATACCGAATGCTCTCAATTTGATACCCGGTCGTACTGGTTCTGCAGCGTCATCGTACAGCCACGACGGGTAAGGCAATGTGGTTAGAATGAAGAACACGTGCTTTCGCGTTCTCGCGTTTCCAGAATTTCCCCGCGATCGCGTAAGTACACCTTCTCCACACTCTACAGTACTTCTGCCGCACTGTCAAAGTTCCCCTCCTCTTGAGTCACTCACTTTCAAATCTCGCGCCAACATGTCCCGTGAAGATTCACCCTTTGTACGCGCTCCTGCCGAAAGCGAGGACTACAGCTCGATCCATCGCGCGTTCCTACAAGCCTTCCAAACGCACAGCGTCCTCACAGTGGATCAAATGAAAGCTATCCTAGCTCATGTGATGACTGCATACAGTCTGTTTTCGAGCCCTCGGTTAGTTTCATACTCTGACAGCTGCAACAGACCCCGAACGCCCATGGACAGAAGGCGACGTGACCCAACCCTACATCACCTCCACCATCCAGACCATAAATGCCAAAATCGAAGCATTCGACTACGAGATCCGATCAACTCGCGATCAGCAGAGCAAAGATAGCATATATGCCCTTGTCAACAATGCCAGCGATGCCGTCACTCAACTCGCTACTACTTTCTCCGCAAACGAAATCGCCTACATAAGACGCGTCCTTGACCACATGTTCGAAACCAACAACACCAACATCCGCGAAGTCATGGCCATAAAACACACCGAAGCCTCGCAGCTCGCCCGTCTTTCACGCAGAAATAGGCAAAGTCAGGCAGCCAGCAGACAAAGTCAGATCAATGGCGATGTGGAAGATTCACAAGCCAACATCGACACAGGCATTTCCATTGCGGAAGCCGATCTCGTCCTGGAAACCCTTGTCAAGGAAGCTTTCTTTCAAAAGTCGAGAAAAGGTTACTATTCTCTTGCCCCACGCGCACTGATGGAACTGCGTGCTTACCTTAAGGAGACGTATAATGAGTCTGCTGAAGAAAACGAAGATGGGCGCGAAGTCATCAGGATCAGGGACTGTGAGGGATGCAGGGAGATTGTCACAATTGGCATCCGGTGCAACAATCGAGAATGTGGTGTCAGGTGGCACGATGTGTGCGCGAACAGTTACTATAGGAGCAGAAGAGGCAGCAGAGTATGCCCTCGATGTAAGACGGAATGTTCGGGAGATGTGTTTGTGGGAGAGCGAGCGGCTGGGGTGGATGGAAGAGCAAGCACAGGCGGCAATCGGCGCAGCACGCAGAACAGAGACGAGGAGGACGAGGACGAAGAGGAAGATGAGTGAAGGCGCGGGCTGAGAGATTATAGCACTAATACCAAGATACCCATGAGTTCTCCGGCGTTAGACTCCATCACAACTTTGTACATGCGGAAAAACTTGTTTGGTTCCATCATATATTTCATGAATTGATCGTAAATCAGTCCCTATCATCACACCCATATTCCTTTCTGTCTGAACTTTTCCCAACGCCAGATATCCCCATACTATATACACAGTCCTGATCAATGCTCACCTCAATACAGATGTTTAGTGTACACCGTTAGACTTGGTCTTGTTCGCTCGCCTCTCAGCGACAGCAGACGCAAGGTTCTCAAGAGTGTCGACGGTGCTCTCCCAATCAATGCAAGCATCGGTGATGGAGACACCCTTCTTCAGGCCGCTAGGACCCTCAGGCGGGACCTTCTGGTTGCCTTCATTGATGTTGGACTCAATCATGACACCAACGATGCCGGTCTCGCCGTTGCGGATTTGGTCAGCAATGTCCTTGGCTACGAGGGGCTGGTTGCGGTGGTTCTTGTTAGAGTTACCTGTCGAAAGTTAGCGTCTATCCCTCCACGATCGTTGGACTATAGAGCATACCGTGTGAGCAATCGACCATCATGACCTCAGCGAGACCCTTTTTCTTTAAAGCTTCTCTCGCGGCTTTGATGCTGTCCTTGTCGAAATTGGTACCCTTGGTTCCACCACGGAGAATGACGAAGCAGTGCTCGTTACCTGCCGTCCTGGTGATAGCAGCAAGACCCTGCTTCGTTACACCCATGAAGTGATGCTTAGCAGCGGCTGCACCAAT